AATATATATATGTATATATATTATATTTAATTGTGAACTTATTTTTCTTATAAACAGCTGTTAGAAAATAAATGTGATCGATAAAATTTATTTTGATTATTATCGCTAGAGAATGGAAGTTTATATAAATTTGCAATATATTGTTTATTTGAAATTATATTGATGATATACGACCGTGCACATTAATAATTGCGTATCGACGTGGTTTATAATATATATTGTTTAATCGTTTAACAATAATGTTGTACAATTCACAGCGTGACGGGCGGCGACGTACCTATTGATTTTAGGAAAGAGGGAGGATGAGGAATGGAGGACGCGGGGATGAAGGTAGTCCGACAGTCTCTTCTGACCGCTGCAGCTTCATTCTCGACAAACCTTCTTTCAAGAACCTTGCACAGTCTCTTTTTTTAATATAAAATGAGATAGCTATCGTAATAAAATTATGATAAAACACTTTTTAAATGATTATTAAAGCTTTAATATTTTTTATGAATACATATACGAGAAAGAAATGTAATATAGATATCTTTTTAATCCTTATATTTAATTTAATTAAAATATAAAATCGTAGAAACATGATCTGCTTAAAATAGTTTATATACACATTGTAAAAAATATTTTTATTTAATTTATAATTTTTGAATAAAAACAATTTCTTTATCAAATAATGTTCTTTGTTTGCGAACATTATGTTGTCGATTTCAGTTTCAATAGAGAGTTAACGATTTTTCAGACCGTTTCAAGAGTCTATATGTCATCGATTGTACAGTCCATCGCTATTTACAAGGTAGCTACCCTAATAAGATCTCTGTGAATTTTTCATCCAAGCCCCGCGAGTCCTGGAGTTCTGTTTAAGAAATCAGACTTCCGCCTCACGTATTCTCCAGGATTACGGCTCGTCTTCGTTCTCGACCAGGAGGGCGGCCACTTCATCTCGAATATCCACAAACGGAAAGAGGATTCGTCCCTTCTCGACCCGATTGACCCTCTTTACTTTTCCCTTTGCCTTTTCTTTACAAAAGACTGCATTGATTTTTCACACACATACACGTACAACGATAAAAAAATATAAATTATTAAAAATTTGTATTTTCTTTTAATATACGTTTTTTTTCCATTTTTCTTGCAGTATATTATTTGCTAATAAATATTAAATTTTTGAGACATACTACTACGATTAATTCGTTTAATTCTGTAGACATGATTTCTTTTGAACACATTAATTCTAACAATCAAGAAATTAATTGTATATTTAATAATATTTAATAATAATTATTAATATTTATATTTTTTTCAAAATAATTTATGCTTTATAGTTTTTTATTTAATATCTTTTGACTTATTAAAAGTTAAAATGATAATATTACACTAAAATAACATCAATCAATGTTATAGAAATTATATTTTATACGCTTTTACATACTACTTGTGATAATATTTTTACCTTCGTCAAAGCAAAAATTTCGGTCCGAGAGATTCATTTATCACCGAAATATTATGTCGAGAGGGTCATCAGTGCGAAGAAGAGATATTATTCGACGACGAATGTTTGCGCGAATTAAATCGGCCGCGTGCCTAGTGAAAAGGATATGTCTAACGAGATTGTAAAATCCGCCAGGATAATTGTATTCGCGCTCAATTTAAACTCGCGTTGATAATCGATGGTCGTTAAATTGCACAGTGCTCTACGTGTGTCGCTTCCGGTTTTAATTTTACTTAACGAGCGGCTGGCGTGGACCGATGCGCGATTTAATGTTCAAACAAAATGCGCTGCATCAAATTCCGTTTATGATATAATTGAAGCCGCGATTTCGACTGCACGCATTTGCGTATTGTCGCAACACACATTTGTTTGTCTCGTTGCTCGTTTACAAATTTTCCATATCAATCCCCGTCGAAAAAGCGTGCGGTAAAAATGTCAGATTGGTCTAATTTAATTGAGTCAATGGCTCGGATTTAATAATTGGCTAATCGGTCGAAGCGCAAAACGACGTTTGCATCGCGACAGAAATTTTAAATGAGGTCTATAATGACTACTGAATGAATCGATGTTACGAGATAGAGAAAAAAAATGTATAATATAATTTCTCTTTTTATATTTATAAGATTATTTCGAAAAATTTATTGATATTATACATTAATAATAATATATTTATAACCGATTTTTCTATTGTTATAATTTAATATTTAAAATGTATTCTTTTAAGTTTGTTATTAAAAATTTTGCCGAAACAAGTTTAGAGCTTGATATTTTTTCTAAATAAGATGCATTGCAATTTTATATGAAACTAGTGTGTCTTTTTAATTCATTTATTTATATTAATTTAATTTCTCTCAGAATTTTTTTCTATTTCGTTATACATTTTTATACATGCGAGGAATATTATTATATTTAAAGTACAAGAGAAAAATTTTTGAAATATGTTTTATTAACATTAGCACTATTACGTTACATTGAAATGATAAAGTTAAAAAATATTAATATCTAATGAAATAATACTACATTAATTATTAAACATAATTATTATGTACACAATTTAATGTAAATTTTACTCTTATCCTTTATTAAAAAGATATTTCCTCTCTTTTCGAAGAAATATATTTGTAAATCTAATTTCCTTAATAATGAGAAAAAAACATATGATGCTTCATTAATGGATTCTTTAAAATAATTGATAAATGTTCTAGTATCTATTTTTTATTTTTTATTGATATATAAGGAAAAAGGATTTTAATTTTGTTTCATGATAGGTTTGAAATTTCGCATTCTCAATCGGAAATTAAATCCAGATTTATGAAGAAATAAAATATTCGATATTTCAGGATAACATCGAAGCATCGCTGTCAGCAAAAGTCGCGCGCGGAAGTTTCGCGCGAAACGATTTGAGAACCGTCGCTTTAAAGCCCCACTTATCGAGCGCCTAGTTGGTATGATAATGTAATAAAATAAATGGAGGTTGCTGCTTCCGAGCGATATAGTCCTCCACCCTCTTTCTCTCTCTTTCTACATTCCCCCTTCATTCCTTTGAAGCTCCGGAGATCGCTATGCACCCTTTCTCCTCTTCACCGTCGCTCTCTCCTTCCGCCACTCGCTCACACCACCCCGTCCGCCACCATCTCGTTTTGGTTCACGAGATCGGAGGAGCAGGGGGAGGACAGGGATAGAATCGAGAAGGTAGAAGGGAATGGAGAGAGCTCACCTCGAAAGCGAAATACAACAAGTCCCGCCGCCATTGCTGGGTCACCCTTCAGCGGGAGTTTTGTCGTCGCGTGGGTGGGGGGTTGACAGCCCCGTGCGACGAGAGTCAGTCTCACCCTTCCCGACCGACCCGATCGAGCCTGGCACGACCCCGGTTTCCTGGAGGCAGCGGGAGGACAGGGTTGCGGGGAGCATCGGGGTAGACAGGTCGAAAACTCCGCCCCCGCACGTCCGCGGAAGCGAGTCAATACTATCACGTTGCCTTCCACCCCCGCATCTCATGCCGCCATGCCTATGCTCGCCTTCTCTCGTCGGAGGATGGATATCGAAATTCGTTACCGGCTGCGACTCCCGCGGGACTTACGATTGCGAGGAAGGAGGAGGGGAAGAAGGGGATTCAGCGTGAAAGGGCTCGATATAGGTGTCTTGTAGAAAGTGTCGATTTGTCGTTCTACCTTTGACGATGCTCTTTTAATCCTTAGTTACGCGAACGGCATATATTTTGTATACGAGTCTGATCATTACGGAGCTTAATCCACTGAAAAATTTTCGCGCAAGCTGATTCCTTCTAATATGGATAAAGCAGGTAGATATAGACGATAATAACTTTAAATAGTAACTTATTAATGTGTTCTTTCGTTTTTATTGATATTATTTAAGCTCAGAAAAAAAGTCTTCCAAAGTATTTATAACACGGAATATATATATATAATTTTATATATTTTAAAAAATTTTTTATTTAAAAATTATTCAGATAAAATGCACATCTGTTTTTCATTTAATATCGAGTTTTAAATAAAAAATAATCACTAATAATACATTTAAAATGCATGTTTCACATAAAAAAATCACGAAAGAAATGTATAATATTAAAAATAAACTTGGCTTAATGTAAATTAGCCAAAGTTTTTCCGAGGCTATTTCTATCTTTCAAAACTTCCGAGGAATGGAGTCTACTTACTTTCCCCCCCCAATTATTCTCCGCGGTTCGCCGCCTGATTCCGCGCGTTTCGTGGATCCGCTCGAAAAGGCATTAAGGACGCTCACCCCCGGCGCCGGGGCGTTTAACTCCCCGATTGCTTTGACAACTTAAGCAGGCCCTTAAACCTCGCTCGAGCCCCGATGTAATTTATAAGCGGCTGAGGGGGTAATTCCGCCGGGGACCGTCAAACTGCCGTGCTGTGTGGCAAAACCCTCGTCGGCAGGGGAAGTCAGGGATTATGCGGTGATAAATAAATATGTACGTTTATGCAACAACCACCGTGACGGGGCTTGCGGGGATGCGGAGATACGTCGTTGCGTTGTGTTGCGATCGAAGTCAAATTGCGTTTCGAGGGGATCGCGGCCTAAATCCACCCCTCCTCGTCAAATACACCGGCAATCTTTGAACTTTGACTCCGTTCGAAGGATTCCACTTGGGCCCTCGCGTCTCCTTTTTATTTACGAATAATTATTAATTAAATTTATTACGATATATTTTATCGCATTAATCTGTCTGTGGTCGAATAATTTTCAACAATTTTATTTATAAAATATATTTTATAATCTTTTGATTTTTTTGTATGACGTATAACTTTTTATTTTACATATTTATACTTATGTAACTGCATTTATGTCAATGTTATTCTCGATATTTTTGTCATTATGAGCAAAATTAAGATGCTCAAATATTCAAAATTGAGGTAATTAACTTTACTTTGGAGTAATTCAGGTTTGATTCACTTTAAAAAAATTAGTATATGGTCTAAAATAATAATAAAAAATAAACTAGATAATAGAGACAGAAATAATAGACGAGTTAATCAGATTTACTTTTATTACAAGTAATCGTTACAATACATATCACCGATTGAGAATACGTAGACTTTTACAGCGAATAGTATCACAACACGAAATATACAGAGAAAGTGCGGACGAGCATTCATTTACAGCGCTGAAAAAAAGAAGTTAATTCCTCACACACCTTCGTGAATCAAATTACTTTCATTAATCATATTATGCAACATTAAATTTTATGAATTTATATTACTGCCTGAATAATTTCCAAATGCAATTTAATTCTGATTTTGCAGTATATATCTCCACGGTTTATTAATCATATCTCTGATGTATAAATTTGTTCAGGTGTAAAAAGGAGAAAAGAATATTTTAATTGCGTTAATTTTTCAAATAATTTCACTGCGATTTCACGAACATATATTCCACAAAATAATTGAATCCTGCGTCACATATTTTTAATAACGTTCGCACAAAGTTACAGATCGCAAGGTTACACACGTGTTCATCGCTCCCGTCACTTTCCTCTTTAATTCGGTAATTTCACGACGAACGTAAGTCAAGGTATAAAAGAGAAAAAAAAATAAAAACGAAATATCCCCGTTTTTTTCGGATTGATCGATCGATCTCCTACGAGAAACGAAAGAAACGCTCTATCAACGTGCCGGGCCTAACGCCCGATATATATGTCTATAATAAATAAATACATATATATGTATGTGTCTATGTGTATATTTACGCCGCGATTGAGTGCCCCTCGGTCGATTTTAGTTGCCGTTTTATTCGTTAGCGACGCCATTCTTCCTGTGCCTCGCGTTTGTACGGTAGGAATACTTGCCAATCGAATTTATTATCTTATGATCATCTCGAAGGGACTTCGTCCTTAGGCCTGATCATGTCGGAACAAAGCGCGCGCGCTTTGCTCTTTGATTTTTACATCCTTAGGAAAGTCGTTTACCAGTCTTTGCTGTCTATCTTCGGTGATTGATTCCGCCTCCCTTGTTCTAACGTCAAATCTTTCGAATCCTGCGTAACTCGCGTTATCAGTTTCATAGTTCTCGGGGAATTTCCCTGAAAGATGTCCGAGATGATTTTTAATTTTTGTACATGTCACAAAGGACTTTTTCCATCGGTGTATTGCCGATAGTCCTATGGAAATAAATCAGTTCCACTCTTGAGGCTGGAACCATTCGCAGCAACGGGAGCAACAACAGCAACCTGCCAAAACGGGCCGGGCTATTTGGCTGTTGAGCGCGCGCGTGATGTCCCAACATTAACTGTGCCTGATCCTGCAGATTCTCAATTTGACTGGAGTCCTTTAAGCCTCGGGTTTCTGCAACCGAAAATCCGCGTTTCTAGATATATAATCTCGAATTTGCAAAATTCAATAATTAAGCGCGAACGATAAATTTTTTTAAACAATAGGAGGAGAAAAGGAGAGACGGAGGCAAACAGTTTATAACTAAATTTTGAAGTGTATTTTATAAGAAAAGTAATACAAATTATATACGCTTTATATTATGTATACGAAATATATCGAAAGCCACTGACCTGGGCGGAAGAGAACGATGGCCTTCATGCAAGCGAATTCCGCGGGATCGACCATGACTGCCTTATATCTCTGCAGGGTATCGTGCAAGTGCCTGACATCCGCCGCTACTTGACTGGGTTTACCCGTGGTGGTTTGTAGGTGCAATCCCGAATGCGGATGCGGATGCGGCGAAAGGGTCAGAGCCGTCAGTTCGGCAGCGCTGAAGAGAGGCGACGATTCGAGTGGCAGACACCATTGAACCGCATTGAGGAGGAACAGCTCCGACCAGACCTCTTCCAGCAATATTACCTAAACACAATCGATCGAAATACTTGTGATTTATTTTAAAAAATTGTATTATTATTTCCATATATTTTTTAATTTTTCTATTATTCGATGTCTGTCTAAAATTTAACATAATAATCAAATCTTTTTAATCTTTAGATTTTAATTATATCCAAATCTTTTTGATATTTTTATTATAATTAGATTTAATAGATTTAGTATAATTTTAAACTTTTTTCTTATATATACATCATTTACATATTTTTATTCATATATTTTCATTTATCGCGTTGATACAAAAATGTTGTTTGCTGACATTCATCAAGATCGAAATAAATTATCAAATAAAAATGCGTTAAAATATTTATATACACGCTAAATTTATATATTACAAATTGCAATTGTAAATTTGCTAAAACGTTACCTGATCTCTGAATGGCAAGCCAGCGAAAGAGGGAAGATTTTTCGCCCATTTAACGGCCATGAAGAGCAGCCTCGCACTGGTCTCGTAGACCGTTTCGGCACTCGCAGGTGAATATAATGACGGGAGTATTGGTGGAAGCTGCGCGCATCCACTTCGTTGAGGTGTCAATGGCTCCTCGTTCGTTACATCTATACTATCCTCGGACGCGTTTCCTATTTAAACATAAAACTCTTTTCTATCTCGTATACTCTTCGTGACAGCTGTGACAATAGCAAGCGATAAAAGTGTGAATGGCGCTGATGCAAATTTGATTTTTTTAAAAGAATCATAAAAATATGCTTTATATGTTTTTAATAAAATAAAACAGATATAAATGTAAAATCTCTTTTGTTGAAATTTATAAAAATAGATGTGTCATCTTTTTTATGAAAAATTATTATTACTTGTAAAAGAATATTAATGATTTGTTAAGCATAATAATTTTTTATTCGAAATGTAGAAGATGCATACCGTCCTCGTTGTCTTGTCGAGGTGGTGTTGCTGTATTATTTGTAGAGTTTGTCGTCGGTGCGACTGTGGGTAGAGGTAGTGGCGTAGTGTATCTTGCCATAGCCAAGGAGACTGGCGGTCTGAGAAACAATTCATGTTTCGAAGAGATTATAACATCTGAACAATAAAAATAATTATATAATAATTTACTTTTTACAGAAATGTGAAAAATTTAAAGATACTTAAAGAGAAAAATTAAGCATCACATTTATTCTTAAATAATTATTATAATCTTTTTTAAGTAGAAAAAAGAATGGCGTTTATTCTTCTTTCTTATACATCCACTTCGCGAAGTGAGTTTCGATTATAAGATATCACGTTATAATTTAGCAAGTAAACTCGATTTGGCAAAATTGGAATGAAATAAATCAGAGTAAAATAATCGCGAGCGACGACATGTTCAGTCCGTTCGCGTGTGAGTCTCGTTTGTAGGTTCGCCGTGATTTCCGCGTAGCGGAAATTTCACGTCGATCTCGGGTAGGTAGGCGATCACGATCGAAAAGGGAAGCCGTCGATGTTTTCGAAAAATATCCCCCTCGAAACCTTCCCTCGCAACTCGGCGATCTCTTCCAAATCTGGTGCAGATGACGTTTCGCGGTGAGATCGCGGTTAGTCGGGCAAAGCAACAACGGCGAAGGTAAATTCCCTACATATATGTGTGTAAATAATTTTTCAAGAATACGTTGGCGTCCGTTTAAATGTCTAAAAACAAGACTCCTTATACCAAGCGATGAGAGAGCGGATCTGATAATGCGCCGATTTACAACAGCGGCCGAGACTGTTCGTAATTCTGGAGGCGAGACCACCGGCACCATTACGACCCTCGAGGGTAAAATTCCGTCGCGACGCCGACGGAAGATCGATGCGGCTGCCCCGGCTTCGCCGCGGAAAATGACGATCCCGACCGGCAGGAACTTCGCAAGCTGCTACATGGAACTGTGCAAGCAGCAACGACTGCGACCGTTGCCGGTTATATGTGTCACCCTACCGCACAGCTTGGACTTCACCACCGATCGCGTCAAGATGGACGATTGGGGCCCGATCTTGAATTCCCTTTCTCTCGATCGCTCGCTCAAATCGATTAGCGTGCACAGCAGGTTGCAAAATAAGCGATTTACATTGATATTTTCATTGATATTGTCTATTCATTTCTGATTTAATTAATTTTTATACCAGCCATTTTTAAATGACTGAATGTATTATAACGATTTAGTCTAAATCTTTTAAAGTTACTGATATAATGTGCAATACGCATGTATATTTTTGATTAATTTTGATAATTTTGATTGATTTATTATTTTCACATTATTATTTCTCCGATGCCAGCTGATTTTTGTATAAGATTTTTTCATTATTTTTTAATGATAAATTTAGCAGTATTAATTTGTCATTATTGAATTATACATATGATGAGAAATATATATGTAAATTTGGCTGCAATTTTTTATTTATTTTTGCACTTTTTTGCAATTTTTAATTATCTGAGCTTTTTGAAAATTATTTCTTTTTTTTATTATATTTTTTTCGAATTTTTATTATTAAATTATATATTTCGATGAAAAAATCATTCCAGAAAATAAGATAAATTCTTTACTATTTTTGAATTTGTCAAAAATCTCGAGGTGATACAAGAGACATTTATTATCAGGTATCAGTGTCGAAAACCATTGGAAGAGGTGAATTCCGAGGACAAGGCGCGAGCGATGGGTAAGGCCCCGGTGGTCCTCACGCGTTATTTGTTGGAATGGCTATCGCAGAGCGTCGGTCAATGCATGAGAAATTCGCCCAGCCTCACGCATTTGGAACTCGAGGGTATCCCGTTTCCGCCTGACTGCGTCGCAGTTCTCTGCGTCGGTCTGTCGGGAACCGAGACTCTGCACCACCTGTCCCTACGACGGTGCTGCATCGGCGACACCGGCTGCGAAATGATCTGCCGAACGATCGCGGACGCTCGCAGCGTGAGGTCGTTGAATCTCAGTCACTGCGACCTCACGTCAAGCAGCGGTGGCGCGTTAGCATCAGCGCTTTCCAGGCAGAAACTGGCGCTTTACCACGACACCTGGAAGCAATCGCTGAGATATCGCGAGCCTAATTTCGAGGCGATGCCGGGATTACGTCGATTGACTCTGAACGATAATCCTCATCTCGGCAATTGTGCCGTAATAGAGATGATCGAGGCTATACGCGATAGTCTATGGATAAAGGCGCTGGATCTTCAGCACTGCGGCTTGACGAATCAGATCGGCGCGGATCTGCTGAACCTACTCGATCAGAATAATACGCTGGCAGTGCTTGACGTGAGGAAGAACGCAAACCTGAACGATGAACTTGCGACGGAGGTGATGAGGAGACTGGGAGAAAACGACGTCGAGGGAAAGTCGGAGTACAAGTGGATGGGATTGGCGCCTAAAGACAAGAGAATCGCGTCGGCTGGTACTCGAAGGTGCAACGAGAATGAAGACACCACGAAGCTCTCGAGAATCCAAAGTGCCTTCACTAAGTACACGAGAAAATCATACCAGGCGATTCCTCCGAGGAGGACGACTCCGATGCCGCTTCTACCGGCGAAAATGAAGATCCGACCGCCTTCACCTCCGGTTCGCGACATCACTCAGCAACGTTCTGCTTTGACTCGGTCGCGAACGATCAGCAGCATACAAACGGTGCCCAAGGTTTCCCTCCACCTGAATCTTCAATCCCAGATCCAATCCGTGGTGAGTCGTGACATCGAGGATCAAAAGACGACGCCGGAACACAAAGATATCATGCATCCCTTTGAGGAAACGAGTCTGAGAAGCTTCGATTCCAAAGTGGATGTTGGCACGCAAAGCGTGGACCGACAAGACGATCCAGAGGAAATTCAGAACATTCTCAAGCAATTGGCGGAAGCTCAAGCGGAACACCATTGTCTCCTAGAGGAGATCAAGCGGGTTGATCTTCTGCTCAACGAGGAACGCGCGTGTCGTGAGATCGCCGAGGAGAACCTACGATCGGCCCAGAACGATATAGCTACGCTAGAGAACGTTCTGAAGAAAAAGGAGATCGAGACCAGCGGTTACGTACTGATCAGCCAGCAGTCTTTGGACGAGATATGCCTATCCTTCGATCGGCTCCTGGATCTGCTGGAGGATGTCGCCAAACATCCGTTCGACCGAACGCAACCGAGTGCTCAGCAGATCGCGAGCGCAGACATCAAGCGACGACTAGTGTCCGTCATCAGGCAGACCAAGTCGGAGAACCTGAAGAGGGGTTACAGGATGGAAATCGAGTCGCACGTCGTGGACAGCGCGCGAAAGTTCGTCAAATCCGAGAGCGACGTGAGATCCATCATGCCGATTCCGGCGGCGCACTTGGAGAAGAAGATCGGCGAGTGTCCGGAGAATAACGAGCTGCGCGATCGGCGTCGTCACGACGTCGATGCGAAGCCGATGTCGGCCGGCGATCGAGCTCGTGCGATTTTCGCGAGCATCGTCAGCGGCGAGGCCGTGCTTGACTTTTACTAGTCGTCGATCGATCGGTTGAATTCGATAATTGAAGGTAAAATGGTGTGGAGCCTTTACATGGAGAGACTTTACGTGGATATTGGTATTTCGTACACGTATATATTATACACTACGTGCAGAAAACGCGCAGACAATGCTCTACATTTTTCTATTATCACAAAAAAAAAAATACTTCCATTGCTGTAATTTTTTCTTTAGATAAACTTTAATTGATATTCGAATGTCATAAACATCTAAGACATCTACGTCCGTAAAAATGCCGTGAGAATTTCTTTTTAAATATTTATTAATAGACGTCTTTTATACTTTTATGTTGTTTAAAAAAGGTCAATAATTATTGCCATCTCTTGATAAGATCGGGAAATTTAAAAAAAATGGAAATTAGGGAAAAATTAAGCCAGATATGACTAGCTTTTATTTGTTAAAAAAATCAACTTAATCATGTCGTTATTAATATAATTTGTCATTACGAGACAATTACCTCGTAGAAAATACGTTCATTTCTATTAAATTGCATTCAATCGCTAAACATTTTCGAGTAAAATGAAAGTGACAGACGACGCGATGTGATGCGGGAAATTGTTTATTGAAATCGGGATAATTACTGGGTTAAGAATAATGGAAACAATTAGCGTTTCTGGATAATCGATAAAGTGCATAATCCATAATCTGAAGATGACACAACGAGATGAGATCGATCACGATGAGGAATGTATAACGTTCCGACCCGTTTATAGCTACATTTTTCTTAGCACGTTATTGTGTATACATTGAATAATATAAATTTATTATTTCCACAAAACTTTGTTCAAGTTTCTTGCTGCAAACTACGGATAATTATTTCTTTTTTTGTGATTTACTTAGTTGTCATCACATTTTTGGCTTTTATAATGAATTATAAGCTGTTAAAATTTATTATATATATATCGATTCAATATTCATTTATTAATTAAGTAATTATAATTGTGAATTCTGATACTTCTAACATATTTTTCTCCTGATGCAAACTTCAAAATTTCACGATTATGTAATCGAATTGTTGATTTTAGGAACAATCGTGATCTGATATTGAAATTCTACTGAACCAACTTTATTTAAAACTTTATTTAAAACTTAATGTTAAATTGATTTATTATATATTGAGTTACGTAAATATTCTCGGATAAATTTGTGTTTATTTTTTAATAATACTTTGCTCTAGCTTTATTATATTTTCTTGACGTATCAAATTATTCTAAATTAATCGAATTATATATCAATCAAGCGCGAACATAAAAAGAACATCCTGCACTAAAATATAATTTCTTCACAAAATTAATAGATTCAGTATAATTGATTTATCGATCTTTTATTTTCGATATAATTCGATATTTTGATTCTGAATCCTTAACATTTTTAGATATTTTAAAATATGATAAGAGAGATGAATTTTCTCTATTGAATTAATCTGCAACTAGGTCTATGTTTCACCATTTTTTTTGACTCACCAAATTATTTTAAATTAATCAAATTGTATATCAATCACGCGAGCTAAAATATAATTTCCCCACGAAATTAACAGATTATGTATAATTGATTTATTGATCAGGATCTTTTATTTTTAATATAGCGTTTCTGAAGGATTCTGAATCCTTAATATTTCGAGACATTTTAGGGTATAAGAGGGGTGGGATTCTTCCTGTTGAATCTGTGACTAAGCTTGTGTATCGCGGAAGGATTGATCGCGCTTGCGTAACGAACGCGGTGTAATAACTCGTCGAAGACGACGCGTTGTGCCGCGTCGGGACGCCGGCCTGTCGCTTTTAACGTTCACCCCTTGGCGCTCTATGGATTTTCCATTAGTTCCAACCTGGGCAACCGGTTACCTGAAAAACGCTACGCATACTCGGGCTGCTAGTCAAAGGTAATTTTTCATGATAGATCACGCTCGGCGTGTCGCTCACAACGGCGAAAGGTAAGCCTGGTGTGCAGCACAAGATCAAACGTGCCAACAACGTCGCCGGCCCTTGTTGCTCCTATCGTTGCACCCGTCGACAGGTGACTATCGATCGTCGCCTCCGTCGCCTGTCGCTCTAATCGACCGTATCTAAGGGCCACTTCGACCAAACTCCCATTAACTCATTGGTCGATTAATAGGATTGCAAAAATTACTGGCTGCATAATTTGTTGGTTCGAATTCAATTCTTCTTCCCCAATGTGTCGACAGAAGATTAATAAATTCTCATATTAATAAGGTATTGCACAAATTAATCGACAATTAAGTTAATCGAAGTTTGAGTAGCCCGAAGCGTTGAAATTTTGCAGAATCATTGTGACATGAATCTCGGCATTCGATAATCTTCCGATCGATAATCGCGTTCAAAAGCTTCGGACTTGTTCTATCAATTTGCGCGAACATCTCAATTATTATATAATTAATGTCTCTGTTAATTAATTCTTAATTAATTTCTTGATAAAATTTTATTCTACCCTCTCATTTTCTCTCTTTTTTTATTTGGTTTGTAATGTTTAATAATTGATGTTGAATAATTGAGAGAATAAAAAAAAAATGGCAAAAATAGAAGAGCGAGAAATTAATTATCGCTTACCCGAAGACGCCCACGGCGACGGCGGCTTCGCGCAGCGCCCTTTCTTGGTCCATCTCGACGAGTGCTTCCGGTCTAATGGTGGCAGTATTCCTCGGCTGACGTTCGTTCTGGACAGCTGCAATATCACGATTTTGTCCTGTTTATAGATATATACGGCCATTTACGGACAAGACATTTAACTTTTGACATTTTGCTAAAAATTAATACGTAATTTGTAATTAACTTGTAATTAATTTGTAATTAATTATAAGATTAACATCTTATTAATATCTTTATCTTCTCATTTTTTTCGATGCATTTTGATCGTTGATTTTTGCGCATCATTTGTAATGAATATTTATAACCAAGTTACAAGCTAGGCTCGCTGTTTTTAATTGACGATCGGCACGGCGAGTGTTTTCGCAGGTGCAACGATCATAAACTTCCTCTTAAGTTCGTTGAATTATTGAATCGCTTATCGGTTATCGCGAATTGCGATAAGTCACAATACGAATTTACCCGTACATCAATTGTATCTACAAATAACATAGTCACGTATATAGATATATATTCTGCGCAAATTACTGTTGCATATAATCCTTCGAACGTCTTTTTCGCGAGATTGCATGGATTATGCGAATATATTTCTCTCATGCTTGCGCAATTTTTGATGCAATGCATTTTTCAGAGATGAGAGTGCTGTTACGCTTGCCACAATACTACGGTATAAAAGCGACAACTATATTTTCCGCTGTATATCGATTATTATGTAACAATAGGATGAGCAGAACCACCATCGGCAAAGCTCGTATTTCGTTAAAAACCGAATAGCTTTTCCGACTGATCGAGAAAAATCAGAGGGCAATAGTAAAGCTTTTACAATATTCATCAATTTCGTTCACTCTTTTTTTTTTACTTTATTTCTCTCTCTCTCTCTCTCTCTCTTTCGAACGATTCAAAAGGATATTGAAAACGGCGATGCGGTCGGCGAACAATGGGAGCATTGTGTCGCTTTGTCGAAACCGTCGAATTCGCGGATGATTGAAATATTATTGGAATATTAGTCGATTTCCCCATCTTCTCCCCCGGTTCCGCCGGATTTACGGGGGAACGAAGCGAGAGCGGTTGCCTGCCGCCCTCTCGTCAAACTCACGTAACGCTACGTTACGTCACGCCGGCAGTCTGCGTCTGACACGCGTGAATTTAACGGGCACGCAATAGCCACTCTTATTGTTTGCAATACGCAACGCAGTGCATGACCACCCGAGAGTTTCATTTACCGATCAATACGAGAGGATTCCGTTAAAAAGGATTTTTGATGATGCTGTTACGTCCATATCCAGTCCATTTTTCAAAATGAGCGATCCATGCGCTTTTTGACACGCCACACAGAAAAAAAGAACATTCTTGTTTTGAAAATATATTTATAGTTTTTTTTTTAGTTTTAACTTGAAAATCTTGAAATGATGTTATATTGCGTTAATTAAAGAAAAATATAATTGCTTGAATAATTGCTTACTTGAATGAAGCCATTTTATATAGTTCAATCGTGAAAAATATATTCTTATGATTTAAGATTTAATTTTCTTGAATGGAAAAGAAACGATGTTAGATAGAATATAATTAAAAATTGTAAATAATTTAATGTCGCCAGTCGAATAATCAAAGGATCATTGAAAAATTGTAGTCGACCAAACTAGCCAAAAAAATTAAGTTTATTAATACGTTTCGACCATATGGTTGTGGTCCTTATCAAGTATACACTAGAAAAGATTTATAAATGAATAAATTAATTAAATTAACGGTTTGAATACATAGTAACGCACAAAGAATTAAAGTGTGAAACAATTTTTATTCATTTATAAATCTTTTCTAGTAGTATCAAGTATACTTGATAAGGACCAGAACCATATCGTCGAAACGTCGTATTAATAAACTTAATTTTTTTGGCTAGTTTGGTCGACTACAATTTTTCAATGATCCATAGAATATAATATTTTTAAATCAAAGATTATAATTTTCTTAAAGTAGAATTAAATAATTATATATTCTTGAGGTGACAATTACAATATTAAAATAAGACTATAATATTGTTGAAATTTAAAATTATTAAATTCTTCTAAAAAAATTATAAATCCATACGCAACAATGAACGCGTTAGTTTAAGTATATAAGTTTTGATTTAACACTTATTTTTTTTCTGTGCAATAATGATATATACATAGATCAACTGCAAAGCAGAATTTTTTTTCGCAGATATCGATGGTATAGTTTTCATTATGACATTATTTTTAGAATCATCCATCATATGAAGAGAATTCCGTTTTTTTAAATATTTTCGCAAAGATAAACCTGTTTAAAAAATTGCTCAATAAATATTTATTAAAAATATTTATTAAATATTTATTAATATTTATTAAAAATATATATTTATTAAAAAGAATCGCGGGGATATCCTCTGTACCGCACACTTTTTAAATAAATGTCTCGCGTAGAAATAAACTAACAGGGAGGAGGGGGAGCGGGCGCAAGGGTTAGTTAATTTTTATTCACGCGAGCCAATCAAGCGCATTTGCGTGCTCACGCTCGTGCGGTTCGCCGCGAAATGACGACGACGACGACGTCCTCTTCGTCGTCGTCGTCGCCGTAAACACTGCGGTCGTTAGCGACGGTCACGTGGCCCTCGGCGAATCCCGAAGGGTTAATTGGAGGAAATAAACGTATGCAACGTGCGGCCGACCGCCCGATGCGCAGATTCGTTTCATGACCCTCGATCACCTCTCTCTCTGTCGCTTCCCCGTTTGCGACTTGGCGGAGACGGTGTCAGAAAGGATGAAGGAGACGAGCGGAAAGGGTTCGTCTCTCCCGCGGAGCGAGAACTCGTCATGCAAATGAGAGAAACAATCTACGAGGACGTTCGCGTGTCCTGGTGCGAGAAATGTTAAGGATACCGTCTACGTTCTCCAAATCATCGACTATCACGCGAGAAGCGATCTTTAAATTGCGCTTCTCGACAATTAAAAGTGTAAAGAGGTGCGTTGAAAGACGCCTCTATTATTCGCATGAATTTTTCTATTATAATAATTACATCGTGATTTATATTTTTCAAAGAAGATAAAATTGTTAGGAAGATCTATTCGAGTTAAGGATCAAGTAAAAATAACAGGACCTTACATGCATCAGCGAACAAACGGGCACGCTCGTCAGTTAAACGAGCGAAGAAGAAGTCGAGGAAAGAGGGGACAAAAAGCAGGGCGGCCTTTCGCAGCGAGGTGCATGCAAATTAAACAGAAACAGAGTGCACGGGGCGTTTATCTCTTCTAGTGCGAGAAAGAGATGCGCCGCGAGAACAACGGGGAGGAAAGAGAGAGAGAGAGAAAGGGAGAGAAGAAACGGAGGCCCGACGAAGCAAGAGGACCCCATTAAGCCGCCCAGCGGGCTGCACGCCGGAGGTAAAGCGAGCCGACACGCTTTTTATTATTACGAAATTACTGCGCGTGCCCGTGGTAAAAGGGATGCCGGGAAAAATTGCGTCCGCGACAATGAGTGCCCTAATCGCGCATCTATTAAAGCACGGCGGACGACACGAATCTCTTTCCTTTCGGCGCTCGTGACACGAGAACGTGTCTTCCCCGTGCGTTAATACGCTCTCGTAATTATTCTGGTCACCTTCTCCGCGTAAAAGTCCGAAGAGCAACGGATCCTGAAGAACCGCGAGAGATTTTAACTATCTGCATATTTGTATCTTTTCCATATGACACTTCAGAATTTATATTTCATCGTATTCCATCTCTGTAATCGAGATTTATATTTAATTTAATTATATTTAATATTTTAATAATTAATCATTTAATTATATTTAATTATATTTAATATTTAATAATTTAATTATATTTAATATTTTTTAGTTATATATAGATTTTTATATTAATTTTTAATTTAATATTCTTGATATATATATTGTATATTTTTACACATTTAAATTATTTCATTTGATCAATTGAAAGAATTGTAAAATCTAACTTTGTAATTTTTTTTCATCAAATGAAGAAGTCATTATTTTTTTCAAAGAGAAAATTAATCGATCGATCGATCATAAGATGTCACGTAGGTGTTATTCCGTCGATCACCGTCGCGAAAATATCCCATATCGCGAGTTTCGAAGACATTGTCGCCGAACGGGAGTTATGGATCCGGCGGATTATCCATTTTCGTGGGTACGGGCCGTAATGCCGGAATCAATCAGCGGCGGGGGTGGCGGAATTCAGTCGGAGGGCCCTTTATGTTCGCAACATAAATAACTGGATAAAGGCGGGAAGTCTGGCTGCGTCTCCCGAACAGCCTCCGATTCAACTCTTAATGCCTCCCGGCGAGATACGGGCGTGCACCTGTCCTTCCTGTCTTGTTCTCTTGTTCTTCCTCCCTTCGGCCATTCCGCTGATAACTTTCTTATTGCCGAACTCGATGTCGCAGGGCGGTGATCCTCCCGATTGAATCGAATCGCGCCACCGCGATACTTTTTATCCGAACTCGGTCGCGGGCGTGATCGGAATCCGAAACCATCTTATCGCTCGTCGATGTGCGATTTATTGCACGACATGAAATTTTATGATGGAATCTTAGCTCTCATTCCTCAGTGCCATTGTGTATTGCACAAAGAGATTTATTTCATAAATTATATCAACGTTCTCATCAGTCGAAAGGCGATGCAACTTATAAAAAATTTTAATAATTATTATATTTTTTCGTATTTGTTATGATTCATTATAAAAATTTTTTTACAGAGAAATTTTTTATATTGCATCTTTCAATTTATAAATGCGCTGAAAGCTATAATTTATTAAAATTGTCGACATATTCTCGATTTTTTGAATCGACGAAAGGTATAATTATTTTTGAACCTAATGTTTGTACGGAATTCGGTTTAAACTTACAATCAGATTAATTGGAGATGTATGTATTATCACTCACCATCTTTATTCATTCCCATTTGCATACATTTCTTCAGACGGCAAGCTTGACACTGATTTCGATGCGCCTTGTCCACGACGCATCTTCCGGTACCAGCTTGACATCTGTGCAAAAACATATAGCGCATACACATATATTTAATATAAGATATTTTATTATATTTTATTATATTTAAACATATATGTAACGAAAAATTCTCATTTTTATAGGATATTTAATATATAATCTTTCTATAAAAGTTAAGACTATTTTTTTTTAATGCGATATTTCTTGAAGCTTGAATGATTTATCGTATCAAAAAGAAAAAAATATAATTCTATATTTGTGTTATATTAACTTGCTAGCAAAAAATTGTTAATATTATATTTGATCCTGCTTGGCAAGGATACACTTATTGTGTAAAAATTTTCCGGTCTTATTCGGATCGTAGTGATTTTTATATCTTGTGCTATGTAATAAAGAAAGAAAAATAGGACGCCTTTAAGGTCGGGCAATGAAGTTGCGGGGATGCTGTCGTTGGATTGGACGAGATTAAGAGGGATAAGAAGAAGGTACGTGACCCCGGACGGTTCGCCTCTTTACGTTAGCCAGCTCGGAGGGATAACCGGGTTAGCCCAACAATGAAAGTAATCGAATTTAACACCATCTCCCGAAGAGTGCGCACCCCGGATTTCCGACAAGTGCGACTGAATTTCGTCGACTTTCCGCGAGGGATAAAAGCTACGGAGTTACGATTGATCGTTGATGAAATGTCATCGTCAAGGATCGATCGATCGTCGCGAGAGATGGTTGACGAACTCGTCGCGTAAAAAATCGAAAAAAATGTTCAACCGGTTAAAATTAGAATTTTAAAAAAATTCTAAGAATTAATTAATTAGTATATAAAAAAAAGTATGTGTATTTTTTTATTCTAATGTTGAAATAGTATAAGAAGGGCTTTCGAGAGATTACGAATGTTCATCCTCATGTTCTCTGTAGAAGTAGATAATAATGAACATAATAATGAAGCTCTATTTTTGCACTAATTATTTATAATTCTTTCCGATGAATTGCATGGCTTAGTATATGTCGTTTATCCTCTCTTAGCATTCATAACATCACGTTACATCAAAAAGATCGTTTAACAGAGGCCTATCGGCTGAAGGGTTGCAGCGAAGGCCTGCCGCTTCGCCGACGACACCGTCAATAAACAACACACATCTATCGCATCGAGCCTGCATCGGACAACGCGAAGTAGGGCGATCCGACGGGCGTGATAACCGGCAGCACATGCTTCCGGTAATTCAATGAGGCGAACAATGCCGCGGGGCCGCTCGTAGAACAGAGAGATGCGTAAATAAATGTATGATGTGGTTCTGAAGGGTGAATGCAGGAAGGGAAGAGGGGAATCGCTCTCGCGCCCTGTGGATCCGCTGGGGTGCGAACGCAAATCAATTTGCACGACGGACCCCCCGCCGAAGGACCAGTTCGGTGGGTCCTTCGCGTTACACATCGCCGCAGGACAAGATAGCGCTCCGTTCCTTGTGACTGACGTTTGTTAAAATCGCGCTAACAGCGGTCCAGCGACAGCCGCCGGCAGAAAATCTCGGAGAGACAAGCGTCTGCTACTAATTCGCGCGTGAAGTGTATCTTGTGGGAAGGATATGACCACGAACGATGATGTCATTAAGTCGACAAACTTTTTATTTATTTTTCTTTTATTAAAAAAAAAAAATATATATATATATAATATATAATATAAATATATAATATATAATATAAATAAATATATAATATATATATACTTTTTTTAAACAAAATGTATTATATAATTCTAATTTTTGCAATGAATTTTTTAGGCTTTTAATTTTTGAGGCTCTTCCAGGAATTTTACGATGTGTGATTGTGAAACAAATTTTGTTTAAATTCTAAAACTCTCAACGATTGTAAAATTGATTCTATCATGTTCGATGCGACTTGCATCTGCAAAATATATTATTCCTCGCAAAAAAAATTAAATATAAATTTTCTCGGATATTTAGCGGGCGAGTATCGGCAATCTATATCGGTGGGCGACGTTTAATTTCATCGTTTGTGAAAATGGGAGGAGAACGAGAGAGAGAAGGCCGTTTTCGCTCCCGTCGGACGGCTATAACGCAGTAAAAGATTGAAGAGCCTCCGCACAGATAACCAATTACCCGCGGAGGGGAACGAGATGCGACAGATGCGTCCCGACGCGATGCGCCACGACGTCCACAATCGCCGGATTAGCGCAAATCCTCACGGATCGGTTAGATGCAATTAAGTGCATCGTGCGTGGATAAGAGCGAGCGAAATGTTCGCACGGACTCCCGCGGGGCTTGCACTTGAACTCTGCACGCAAATGTCGCTACTCGAATAACAAAGGCCGCATCTTCCTTCCTTCTGTTTCATCGTGTTCAAAAATTCTATGAGAGATAATATTTATATCATTTACCAAAGGTCTCTTAAACCGTTCATTTTTGCATTTTTTAAATCGTTAATTTTGCTTGCTCTTGTCCACGATAATCATTATTATTTTTGTTCCTCGGATGAATGTAATATCGAGCTAAAATGCATTGATGTCTCTGAAATCGAATTATTGAATTGTTTTATATGTCTTCTATCATCTAGAAAATGTTTTCTTTTTTTAAATAATTTTTTCAGCCATTTAATCGTAATGTGTGACGTATTCTTTTCCAGTATATTCGTTAATTAAAAAATAATAAACACGGAAATACATGTAGATTATATTATGCGCAAAGATGAGAGACTTGATTCGACGCTTCCGTTAACAAACATTTGATAAGGAAAATATTCCGATACGATATAAATACAGATCCGGTCGGGTTGAGTAAATAAACTCATGGTTCTCTATCTTCTTTCGGGAAAATTAAAAATGTTCGGATCTGTATCAAGCATTAAAGAAAATATATCGCAAGACGGAAACAATTTTTGTCGCGAATCGTTGTAACGATAAGTCATTGTAACAACACTAGCTATTTAGCTGAGTATTTTAGACATTTGTGACAAGTCAGATATTGTGTTAAGATATTAAAATAAATGCTCGATAATTTATATCTGTTTAATACAAGGTAAAAATCTATAATGCGAAAAATATGATAAAAATCTAATTACTTTTTAAGTTTAAAATCATTAGTTTTGTATGTATTATGGAATCTATGCGAGATTTCTTTGCACAATTTTTGATCTTGTATTTATTAACATATATTTTTAAAAATGAGTTTTTAAAACTTTTGATGCACAGTACCCTCTTCTCGTAACATTTTTACATCGCAAAATCTGGGCATCGAGGGGGAGATGCTATTGATTGGCGCTAGTATCATTCGGGATTAATATCGAGTTAAGCATCGTGCGGAGCCATGTGTGGGCCAAGTCGAGCAGGCTCATCCTAATACCGGGCCTGGACGCGGGGAACGGCATAATGTCGTATCCGCCGGGGGCCCATCGAGAGAGAGCCACACCGTGGCCGCACCGGTGGCGAATTATGCCCGGGTATCCGAGCCGGGGTAGCGCGAGGAACTATTACCGTCCCTCGGGAACACGGCCATCCATCTCCATCGGATCCCGCTCGCGCGCGATCCGGAATCTCGCCCCCGTCCCTCTCGACCCGCGCCACTCGATACGCAAACTATTAACCCCCGCGCGTTGCCCTTTGAAAAATGAACACGCGCGGGTGAGCGTGATCGAAATGCAAAGCGACCCGTCGAGTCCGACGATTCGCGAAAGGGGCCAACCGGACATTACAATTCTTCCCCCGTCTGCGGATCGACCGGTTGCCGGACTGTTAACGAGTGCGTCGATGAACTATCGTCACGTTTGACCCTGACGAATATCGCTAATCCGATCCGCGTGCCTTGCGATATCGTTCTTGCACCGTGTAATCTCCTGTGTCGTAAAATCGCACCCCGCGATTTCATCGATTAAAGTCGCGCTCGTTGCAGTAACGCGATTATATATCCATGCGTCACCTGCATGAACTGCGGAATTGCGTTAAGGAATCGAGGGGCGCCGTTGGATGAATAATAATTAATCTTAATTACATCCTCTCTGTGGCATGCAATAATAACAGTAGACGCGGCAGACGAGCCGCTGGTTGCTTAAATTAAGTCACCTCGCGCTCATCTAGAACTGTAGCTACGGTTGCACTTGTTCGTGCGTGCCATTCCAGAGGTATATTTTATTCAAAATTGAAAAAGACGGCATTAAAGAACCTCCTTCAGCCTGATACGAAAATTTATTCTTACGATCTAGATCATCGAAGTGACCTCCGACTCACCTGTAAATCAACTTCCGTCTGACGCTCCTCTTGAAGAAGCCACTGCAACCGTTGCAGGCGAGTATCCCGTAATGTTTCCCGGAGCTGGTGTCACCGCAGACCACGCAAATTAGCCCGAGGCTTCGCGGCGGTTTGCTGCCGTGTTGCGGCTGCTGCGATTGCTGCTGCTGCTGCTGTTGCTGATGCTGCACCTGGCCGAGCAAGTGCGGATGGCCGTTCCCCAGCGCGGTCAGGTATGGTGACCTGGCCAGAGGGAAGTCCGTCGGCATCCCTCTGCAGAGGGGCACCGGACATTCCTGGACCGACCGGGAGGCGTAAGGATCGTGGCTGGATGTGGATCCCGTCGCTCCCAGAGGACTGTAACGCTCCGGCAGGCCTGGGGAAATGACACTGCTCTCGCCGGAATCTGTAGATTGAATACGCCAATTTTCATCATGAAGTCTCTGACAAGGAAATAGATATAACTTTTCAATAGAAATTGATATATTAATATAATTAATATAATATATTAATACAATTATATATATATATATATATATATAATATATAATATATATAATATAATATATATTATTATTTTTGAAATTTCGTAGATCATGAAGTCTCTGACAAGGAAATAGATATAATTTTCAATAGAAATTGATATATTAATATAATTAATATAATATATTAATACAATATATATATATATATATAATATAATATATTAATATAATATATATTATTATTTTTGAAATTTTGTGAGATCTTGAAGTCTTACGATAAATTACAGCTCTGAGTGAAATTAACGAGGCAAGTGTCAGAAAGATGTTGAACTCAAAGAATAAGTTAATCAAACATGCGTTTTATCAGTAAATGACCTGTTCTGATAACGAAAAAGTTGGAGATAAACATGGAGTCATAAGTTAATATATGCGATCTCTACAGGTGTCGAAATTTTCTAGGTGATTGAACTTCCGAAAGGAAAAAAAATCACATATCGAGATAATTCGTAAATGATGAATTATTGTCTTCACTTTTCCGGTTGTGTCGGCGTTGTCAACATTCACGAATTATTTTCCTTGTAGCGTTGTTCCAGACTTTGCACAATTGCGACAACCACAAAGAATGTGTTGACGGAGCGTCTGGTTTCTTCGATTTTTTTCAATAGATCGCGATCGACGAAAGTGAGAAAAATCGTTATAATCCGATACTAGACTCGAATCTTTTCATGTCGGACTAAAATGAGATTTTCTATTATTAAACGTATTTATAGAAATACATTTGCAAATGTAAAATGCAAATATAAAATGAGCCTGTCATCGTTAATCACATTAGTTTGACGCTAATTTAATTGAAAATATCGCTCGATTGTTAAATTACTACCTCGCGTTTATCTGCGATTATTAATTATAATTTTAATTATAACGAGCTTGAATTTAGCTGAATTGCACTTATTTACATATTTCTATTAATTTAATTCTACATTTCCATGAGAGAAAGAGGCATGACAATTTTTAACATCGCAAACTCCTACAATTTTGCATAATTTTGCGTAAATTAATTTATCTATTACATCATTAAATTATATTTTATTTTAAACGAAAATCAATTTTCGCGAAGCGGAAAATCACGATCAAGAGAAAACGGAAAATCAGATTATTGTTCCAACTGAAATATAACATCTAACTATGGCAATCCATTATCTTTTTCCATAGAATGGCTTTCTTGATAATCAAGTGGCACGATGGAAGGCCCGAGATTTACGATCGAAATATCATTTTTCCGCGATCAGTTCGGCAGCGTTTTCATCCGATCAGTTGGCCGTTACTTTCGGCTTAATCCCAGAAATCTCCTTCGCGCGTCCGGACGAGCGACCCTAAGCAGGATTGAAGGGTCCCCGCCATCCTTGATTGATTTCGAAACAGAGATGGTCGTTTATAAAATAATTCTGCACGCTCGCTTAACGCTTGATCGTTATGGACCGCCACGAAAATCGCGCGATCTACTTTGTTGTCATTCCTATTCAATTGGCAATTGATATCACCACGCATTGACAATCGAAATCCTCTCATAACCCTCGGCGGGGCGATTCTAAAGGATTCTCTTACCCTTTGCGTCATAATAACAAGTCACCCTCGTGTTATGCGATAGCGATCGGATTTGATAACAACGATATCTATCTCTAGATCGTTTTTTGAGTGAGATATTTTTGAGATTTATTTTTTAACATGTATTTTAACATTGTATTTTAAAATATTATACTTTGAAGATACACAAATAATTTAATTTTAACGAATTTAATTCTATCTAAGAAATATTAATATACAAAACTTTAATTCAATTTGAATGACAAATTTATTGCATAAATAATTTTTGATAAATAAAATTTAAAAAATTATAAGAAATATATACATGTGTCGACTGTGAAAGCGTGATTTGTGACGATTTTTAGCGACTATATTTAAGCTACCAAGTACAGTGGATTTGTTTCGCGTAGAATTGTCCCTATCTTGACGTTGTCCTGTTGTATGGTAATTCTCGAATGGATTCGATCTGACCCCGCGGCATTAACGAGGCTGGAACGAGTTTTCGATCGAATTCGGGGGTGGCTGACAAATACGATTCGAGCGAGATCTCGTGCCTCGCTGAGAATACCAGCGTGACTAATAAAGTCGAGCCAAGCAGAGAAGCGAAATCGCATTTCGTTGATCACGCAGATGTTCATAGTGCACGCAAAACGCGAAACGCGAAACTTGTACAATGTTCCACTTTTTGAGTACTCGAAGGATTTACCTTCTCACCTTTTGGTAACGTAATTTTTTTATTGTCAGATGCAATTGCAATTTTTGTGAAAAATAAAATTTATTTGGCGTAAATTGAGTGTGTTCGTATGTGCGGATAAAATTAGAGCAAGAGACAATCATATGGAAAATAAAATTTAATTATAATTATATTAAATCTGAAAAAATACAAGTTAAATAAAGATATTTAAAATTCTGTAATTATATCTGCTAATTTAAGATTTAAGAAAGGACATGATCGCAAGATTTTGAAAATTTTGATGAAACAGCAGGTTGATGATCTATTATGCGATGCGCGTTACAACGGAATCGTCGCGATTCCCTTTCTCCATTCGGCATAAATATTTATATTAGAGCGTTCTTACTTCCTGAGCTTTTTCCAAACTCATTTCCCGATGTAAATACTGTTTGTCCCCGCGATCCAGCCCGTAAGCCTTCAGGGACGCGAAAAAGGAACAGGAGAATCTCTCGTGGGGTGCCAGAAGCTATCGAGTAACTTTGCCGTCAGAAAAAAAGATACCCTATCATTGCCAAAATTCCTCTCCACAATTTTCCTTTCGAGTTCTTTTACTATTTTTGAATATGTTAGTTACTTGAACAATACGATTGTTGAATCACATCCTCCGATCGTTATCAAATCACGTCGAGGACAGGAGGCCGTGTCAATCTTATTAATTCAACTCACGTGACATTGTATAAGCGTACGGGCTTTTCGATCTCGTTAACATACACCCCGTAATCCTGTCGATTATTAGTGAAGTATACTCTGCGCTGGTTCAATCTTTAAAACGATGAAGGATTTGCTTCACGATAACATCGAGATCGGCTCATGAGTATTTTCTTTCACAATTATTTTATTACTAATTAATATTGCCCTATTTGAAAAATTTCTAGCAAAATTTTGTGTTGCTTTCCTTAATCAAAGAAGGATGGGATATAATAATAATAATTATATCTAATTTTTATATCAGTTTCATGCTTATATCGTTGAAGACGATGTTTAAGATGCACGCACACGCGTGCATTCGCAAATTACGGCATTAGAGTAATCAAATCTTGTCGCGGTACAATCTGTCGTCCGCGCGGGGTTAAACGAGAGGAGAAAAATGACGGTCCAATACAGAATACACACCCGCTATAAGCCACCCGCGCCGAGAGTAACGCGCGCAAAAGCAGGGGCGTCAAATTTCATTAGCATATCAATGCTGGCGGATGGCAAGGCGCCACCTGCGCCCTCGCATTATGGGATCATCGGGAAAAGTGAGAGGGGGATCGTTGCGAGTGGGGCCAGGGGTTGCGCTAGTTGAGAAGATAAAAAAAAAGAAGAACAATTTTTCCCCCTTTTCCTCTTCGCTAATTTCGGCTAATCGTCAGCGCATTGGATGCGACGATAGAGAGAGAGAGAGAGAGAGAAAGAGTATTTCTTGCACTTTTACACTTCTGGAAAGGAAAGTCGAGATTAAATATGACGATATAAATATGACAATTATTGAACGCAATTGAAGATTTACTTTGTCGCAAAAATAATGCAAATTAAAAAAAATAAATGTAATTTTTTAAATATTTATTTATTTTATTTATTTTGCAAAGGCTAGGAAGAAAAAACACATTCATCAAGACTTAATGTTATTGAAATAATGTTACTGGGACAACAATTTTAACATTGACGAGGGAATAGTATTAAACACAGCTGTTCTGTTTCTCGATATTTGTTTTAAGTAGGTGCAGGTTGATGCCACAATCGAGTGAAATGCTACGTATGCGCTAATCATGCGAGAGAAGAAAACAGCAGAAACTCCATATATTTCCCGTTTGTTTAAATTCAAATTGTACGGTCAAAGTTTTAAGTCACAACACGGAAATTGATAAACAAAAATTTGCCGATGACTAAGAAAGCATGTGTCGCTGAGCAAAATTAAGCGCATCCGTCGATGCATATAAGACAAACAATTAACAAACTGGATAAACACTCGCGATTCCACGTCGACGAGAATGACAGAGAGATTAAACTATACTTGTCATTTTCAAAAATTCCCGAACAATGAGATCAAGATTAAACAAATTAGTTTTAATAGCAATACGGGTCAAGTGTCGATCTTATAACACAATTATTTATTATACAATCAAATAAGTATGGAATAAATTACAAAGAAAAGTTTGCGAATGTTTTCGACCTTATTTTTGGGTCATCTTCAGCGCAAATGTGATGATGTGATAAAAAATAACAAAAGGTTTTACATCGGAGTCAATTACAAAGTGTGCCGTCTAAAGTAATAATAAATTCTTCGGTATCTCATTATTTTGATGCCTATAATAAAATCAGTCAAATTTGTCAAAGAAAAAATTATGTGAAAATAAAAAACAAAAAGTGAAATAAATTAAATAAATAATGTAAACTAACGTGAACAAAGATAGAAATAAGTAATAAAATTAAACTTGAAAGGTTAAGAGAAAATTTTATGTCAATTTTTTAAAAGTCAACAACAATTAGAATAATTTAAATAAATATAAATTAAATATAGAATCATAAAGAATTAAAAATTAAAAAGTTAAGAAGTTAAAACTACGAAATTAAGACTTCCAGGCATCGAAAACAATGACGAATCGTTGGAGATGAATGGAGACAACTCAACATTTTCGAAGACAAAGATCGACTAGTCTTTTACGGATAGATGTGACTAAACGACAAATCAAATAATATATAAATATACGCAAAGTGGCAGACCTATTTATTACAAAAGAAGACTATGTTAAATTTTTGGCAAATTGTTGACAATGTTTAAATAAATTTCTGATAAACGTTCAATATCTGTTTTGCAAATTTAGACCATTTTTTTTGTCTTTTGATAAATAGCATTTCAGAAATCAATCTTTTATTCAAAAGTGGTTTTCGATTTAAAATCTGCATCTCATCCCAATTAAAAACATGATCGAAACCTTGTGATTAGTGATGACAGATTGAGTATTAGTGTTACATCTAATATGACTGCGATGTTCGTTGATTCTGGTGTGCAATTGTCTGCTAGTTTGTCCAACATAGGATGCATTGCAATTTAATTTGTATATAACATTTATGGAATTAGAGGTAGGAAGGGAGTCCTGATGAATCCTGATGAAACTTCTCATTTTATTAATACCATAGTACGAGAGTCGGACATCCAAATCTTTAACGATATGTTTGAAATGCTCGGAAATTGAAGGAACATATATGGTATCGTGAAATACATAATGGAATCATTTGTATTTGTGACATGAGTATTATTGACTAAAGAATCTGATTTAAAAAGGTGTTTTTAAGGCGGTCCAACCATGTATGGACATCAAGATTATTATCAAATATCTTATCCAACTATATATTTTACAAATATTTCACACGAGAAATATGTCACTGAGTTAATCGATTAAAATTTAGTGATACTTTTTTAATTGATTTCAATTTAATAAACTTTTAATTATAAGCAATTAATAATAAAATTCCTCCCGATAATAAAATTAAATTTTAAACATTATTGTTTATTTAATTTTAAATTGAAGAGCTTTCAGGATTTTAATTCAACCTTGAAAAGATATTCAATGTTAAGTCAGATAAATTTTTTAAATTGAGAACCATGATTGAAAAGCTATCTGTGAGTTTGATTAATGACACTTTATGATAAATTAGAGGGTATAATAATTACATGCTAAGTTTATGAGAGAAATATTACATGTATGTCAGGAGGTGGGTTAATCAAATGGGCAAAGAATCTCATCTTGTGATCCGTCGTTAAGGGTAGACGATGCGACGCGACGGACAAAACGCACGCAGATTCACCCTCGCGACGGACTTTTATACGAGTCGCAGGGTGGGATAAGTGGAAAAAGAGGGTGGCACGTAGGCAACGACATTATGCCATTAGAATAATCAAATCTCGACTGACCCGGCGCGAACGGGGAAGGAGGAATCGTGCGTTGATGCAAGTTTACGCATTACATTACGCATTACGACGCGAGAAAAATGTCGTGACGGCATTGAATGTAAGAAGGTTAATCCCTCTCACTCTATTGATCTACAATAAATCGTAATGAAAGGTAAAGTTTAAAAATACCCCTTACTTACGCATGTTCCTTCCGGCTGATGTAATCTTTCTTTTATATAGTTTTTCAAACGTTGTTAATAAACTATCCAATAATAATGTACATAATTTTACATCTTTATACTTTATCTCGTAATAAAATACATGTACATAACTTTATTATCAGAAAGTTAAAAGTTTAATAGAATATTGAACTTTTCAGTTAATTTTTCTCTTAGATTTTATACGCGAATTTATCACAATAATATTTAAGCTTTTTAAAAATAGTTGAATTATAAAGTTGTGTCTGTTTCTTTCAGCATTTGTTAATTTTCTTTATATTAACTCACCGTGTCTAACGCTCAGCGGACTGGCAGGACTCCGTGGATGCTCCGACGTCGTTTCATTCTGCGCTTGTTGGTGCTGATGCTGATGATCTTCGGAGGCCGTGACCGTTGCTGCCCCGTTCATCGTGCCTCCTCGATCATTCGTTATCAGGCCGATATCAAACGCGCTAAAATCGATATACGTCTTTTTTATACATGACGTTTACGTTTACGATACAAAGTAAATATGAAAATGCAAAAATTTAATCATCATTTTTTGCAATTTATCGAATTTGTTGCAGTTATTTCTAAAAAGATATATAAAATATAAAGATATATAAAAATATATATATCTATTTAACTTATTTATCTGAAGATTTATTTTAAATATCATAATCAATAATCACATCTGCGTAATTATATATTTTATATCATATATTTATTTATATGTGATCAAGAAAATTATTACAATAATTTATTTTTTACTTATGTAAAATAATGTCGTCAATTGGATTTAGCTAAGTGAGAAGTGTAATCTCAAATAATTTTTCAAAAATAATTATTGTAACAATTAAAAATTAATCTTCGTTATATCCATATATTTACAGCAAGAATTTGTTATCTTTTTCTTAATTTTATAAAATTCTTAAAAAAATTTTATTAGCTTGACTATCAGACTTGCCAGACTATCAGAGAAATATATCATCTCATCATTGAAAGTAAATTCTAATATATTTCATGTTCACGTAACACTCTTTCTCTTTTTTCCTCCTTCTTTCCTTATCTTCCTTTTTAAAGATAATTGCAAACTCTTACCTAGGATAACTCCAGGTTTTAGCGTACTCGCACTGTGGCACGTAAGTCACTTCTTGTGCGATCACTGACTTCTCCACCCTCTTTAATCTACGAATCACCAAATCCTTTAATCGCTCGACTCGATTCGATCTAGGATCATTTAGTTCTCCGAGCGATCACCACCGATATTAGCGACACGAAAAGCACCTCGGCGACTCCGAGGAAGCTTGTGAAAGCCACGATGCGTGATCTAGACCGACGCTAAATGCAAGATGAGGAGATACTTGATGAGGAGGGATCGAGCTGATACTGCGTTCGCGCTCTCGAGATTGACGTTCAGCCCCGAGATCGACGCGTGAGCGGAACGATCGTTCGTCGATGTCAGATTGGCGTATGACGTCTGCGGCGTCCCGATCCGGGATCTCGGCGGCGAATCGCCGTTACCCGCGGATGACGTCGGCGTCGTCGTCGTTGTCGTCGTCACCGCCGCCGATGCCGCCGCCGCCACCGCCGTCGTCGTCGTCGTCGTGGTGCTTGCCGTGTCGTCGGAGGCAGCGGGCGAGCAACGCCCGGCGCCGATTGGTCCAGCGGCACTTTTGAAGGCGGGATCAGGAGGCAACGCCGGAAAAACGACAAAAACGAGGAGCGGGAGGATTTAACCTATAGCCTCCACGTTTGATGCGGCGCCTCGTCGCGACGCCCGTCGTCGCGACTACGCGCCTGCGCCAACCCCTTCGGGGTGGGAGATGACGCCTGGCATCTCCCACCTCGCGGCAACCTGGACTAAACTACCCCTACAGAAGGGAGACGCTTTCGCGGGGAACAAGTACCTGAGCATCGCTGCAATTGTTGATCGTTGGCTACGCGACGGCGAGGCTCTCTTTGCCGGGTCGCCTCGGCATCGGTTCGCCTGGATAAAAAGTGACGATACGCTAAATAGCGGGGGGATCCTTTGATCCGTTGCAATTTAATCGAATTCAGCTGAAATGAGATTGAACGGAGATGCGAGGATTTTAAAGTAAACCTTGATGATTGTGTATAATTTATTTTTTATTTTAAACTTTTAAATATCTTTTTTAGAAAAAATTGCGATGTAATTTTTTGTTTAATGTATAACAAGAGGGAGTGCTATTTGAAAATTTACTGGAGATCGCAGAAAGAGATTCACAGAACATCATATATTTATATATATTTTCCTTGTAACAAAATGCATCTAATTAACACTGAAAAAATGTGAACAAATTAATATTTTTTAAAACATAATATTATAATATTACTTATCAAAAAGAAATCGAATTTATATCTTCTAAAACTAAATAGCTTTCTCTTCTCCTAAAATGTCTGCGAAGAGAAAATCTCTGAGGTGATACAATTTTCCCCGCCAAAGAATCAACATTCAAAAGGAGTCGTTAACGGAGCGATTAATCGACCGCGATCGAACTTTCGATTCCTGAAGTGATCCCCCGAACAAATCGAGCGAGATCCACGAAAGTGGGTGCGGGTAATCGGTAACGACCGACGCCGAGCGTCGTTGTGGTGGTTGGCGGTGGGTGGCGAGAGCCCGGAGGCGCCCAAGGGGTTGTTGCCGGGATCGCCGCCATGCTGGATTCCTGCCGTACCCCGGTTGCCTTCTGGTAATCGTTGCCAGGGATGCAACAACCCCTTCCTCCCCTACTAAACCGGCATCGCCACGCCCCGTGGATCGCAGATGGACCAATGATGTCGGGACGTCGCGACGCCGGCGTCCACCAATAGGATTACCCTCTGATACGCTCTTTCGCTTGTCAGTGACTGCTGCGCGTCCCCCCTCTGGCCCCAACCCCCCGTATACTCTCCTACCCCCTCGCGAGACTGGATGCCTTTCAATTTCGGGCTCGCGGCCTCATAAACGCAGCCAACCACCCATCCACCCGCACGACAGGGGTGGCTTGGGGCGGCAGGGGATGCAAACACACAACCGTCGAGTTACTTGTCGTCGACGTGATGGTGTGCGTGGACACGCAGACAATCGCAATTCGGGGTACAAAGCCGCGTGGAAAGTCGGGGATGAGTAGCGGGGGTGTGTGCGCGCTCGTTCTCCTTCTAGTACACGGGAATGCGCGTTATGGGACGATAGGGTGGATTGGATGTGTACGGGGATAGAATGGTACAGTGACGCTGATCAATCATTCGAATATGTTGTAAGGGAAATGTTTACATTATATAAAGATACGTGTTTACGATAAACTTAAAATTATACACCATCTCTTTTGGTGATGATTATATTTATTTTATGATATAATACATATACGTTTGTATATAATATCATAATACATAAATATTAAAAACATGATTATTTTGTTTCAATTTAATTCTATAAATCTATATTTCTGATTTTTAATTTTTGAAATTTTGACTCTGAGAATTGAATACACAATTAATTTTCAATATTACATTCGCGTAAATCGTTATCACCAAAGTAATTATTATTTTCTTGTTAGTTTATGTACTTTTTGTTCTATTTATTAGGATAAATATTTAGAAAATAAAAAACATAAAAGAGATATCGTTTCTTAATTTCTTAAAATAAAATATGTCATTTATTTTGCGTGGATTTAATTTGATCTTATATTGAGAATTTATTGCGCAATTTATTATTCATTATGGAGAGGTTCATTGTTACAAAAAAGTTTCATAATAAAATTAAAATATCTACCGATTTTTACAACATCTTAAAAGTAAATTTAATCGTAGTATTTCATATAATTCTTATCAAATGATTAAAGTTTTCGAAAATACGCCTCAGTACAATCATTTAATATATGTACGATCAATTTCTTAGAAGCTGAGTATTTGCGAGACATCCATCAAACTCGCGTTCGTCTCGTTTAATACCACGCTAGAAAGTAGAACGAGCAGCGAAGAGGAAGTTGCTCTTCCTCCCTCGATGAATACCTCAAAGGGGATGCTCCGATCGGTGTGCACATCTCAAGCATCACCCCGCAAATTTACACGCCTGTGCTTTCTTAGCGCGTCTTTGTGCAATGTTCCTTAGATGAACGTTATTTTCATGCATGTATGATAAAGACGGATGTGTGTCGCTCTACATGAGTTCTCAGAAAAAGAACCTTTTTTAGCACAGATGCCCACGTAACGCGAGATTATACGCCAAGATTCTGCTGAATAAAAAAATTATGACCTTCGATATAATAATGATATTTAATAGCAAAGGGCTTCTGTTGCATTTAAAGGAAAAATAAAACTGCAATGGTTTTTATAAAAATGTTATATTGTTAGAAGCCGTTTTTTTCCATCAGAATATAAATTCAATGTAACCGGCATTATTTTTAAACAAATTGAAGAGTACAATCGAATTATAAGAAAAATAATGTGATACAAAAATTTCGTAACAATAATAATTTCGTGCAGAAATACATATATGTATAAAAAATGTATAAAGCAAATATTATATATGTTTTTCCAACAAAGAATTTATAATTTGATATATTTTTATGCATATATTATACATATAAGAGATATATAATTTTCCAATACATTCGCAGATCGTTTCGAATATCTTATACTCTTTCTCTTAAACATATCAAATAATGATAATTTATCGGTAGTGAATAAAAACGAACGCGTTCACTGTTACCGTTGTTCACATTTAGCGTGTCCACCCTTGTCTACATCCCGAGTGTTGATATATTGAAACATATAAATCAGACTCGACATTTAAAAATAAATAGATTTCCCGAAATAAAAAATTTTGATATCTGATTGAATTGCTCACGTAAATCAAATCAAAGTTACTCTCTTTTCACATCTTGCTACTTGTTATAATATATTTATTGTAATAGTAATTATAATTTCTTTACATATTAATATATATTATAATTACATATACATATAATAATTATTTGAATATTTACGTGACACATACACAGCACAGGTTTCTAGAATCCAAGAGTGTACGAAATACATTGCATTAATTATATTATTATATAATTTTACATTATAATCGACACTAATCAAGTATCGTTACTTCAACACAACACGCGTGAACAAGCTTTAATTGACCGTTTTTACTGTAGACGTGTTTGGAAAATTCTCCAGGACGTTATCAATCGCGTTGCAAATTTCCTCGAAAACTGCCGTTTCGTCGTTTTCGCCATCAATGACTACCAGTCGTTTTCTGTAATACTTTAGAATCGGTTTGACCATTTTTTCGTGATCCTTGATCCGTTGCATATTTTCGTCGAAGTTGCGGCTCTGTCGCTCGGTTGCAGTGATGGTCCTGGCTAAAATTCTGTCCATCAGCAGCGACTCCCTGACGTACAGGTACAGGACGAGATCCGGCGGCCGGATGTGCTCGTCGAAGTGCTTACATTGTGCTTTTTCCCGGGGAAATCCGCTCAGCAAAAAACCCCGCGACGTCTCTAAGCTGCCCAGCATCCTCGCCTTGATGAGCTCTACCATGACATCCGCGGGAACTAGTTTACCCTCGGACATCAGGTACGCCAGGATAACGCCTCTCTGCGAACCGGTAGCCACTTCAACCCGCAGCAATTCTCTGGTTATAATAGTGCAAAAACCGTAATGCTCTGCTATTCGTGTAGACTGTGTTGCTGCAAGAGAAATTGTTTCTAAATTATTCTTTTTAAATCGAACCGTAATTTAAAATGCATTGTTATTTTTTTTATTCATATTTATTTTATGTTGATATTTATTATTATTATTATTATTATTATTATTATTATTATTATTATTATTATTATTATTCATAATTATTTAATCAAAAAATTGTATAAAATATTTTATAAACTTGGCAAATTTTTTTCCATAAGATAACATCTTCAATTACTAAGGGAATTTATGAGTCATCAAGAAAAAAAGAGAGGGATTGATTTTATTAATTCATAATTTTAAAGTATTTAGCTTTGGATAAATGTAAAAAGAATCAACCAACTTTTTCCTGCTCCTGGACCTCCAATCAAGAAAATAATCGGCAATCTTGATTCCCTAATCGTCGAAACGTCGAGCTCGGTGCTTCTTGGAATCAAAGCACATAGAGGATCGACGGGCCTCACACAATTGAGACCCATTTTTACTTTTTACAAGTATTATATTGTAATGATAATTATAAAAAATAATATTATGTTCTATTTTATGTATAAACGAAATTGTACGAGTAGCAAAGTTTGCTACGCACTTTTATAATAATACGACATATTAAAAATCTTGAAGTTGAAATATGTAATGTTAGAAAAGTATCGATTTCTGAATAATCGCGAATATAGGAACAATATAATTTTACGAAAAAATATATAATAAATTAACAGTATATATTTGACAGCTTTTATAATTATGTTCATTCAAAATTCTGTCATTTAAAGCATAATTTTCTATACAATGATTATGCATTTATTATACGGCGAGTTATATTGCGGCTAAAGTAATCAACTACATTTTCGATCGTTGATAATTTGCCTCACACTCTCAAGAAAAAAATGGTAGCAGTTTCATTTAATTTCATTATAAATATATTTTTACTATAATTTACTTTGATATTATTTATTCTTATTCTACAAAAATTTTATATAATCCAATTAATTTTTTTTATCATTTTCACAATTTTTATAATTTTATCTGGAAATATTAACTCATTTTAATGTCATTCTTACTTTGCAATTATATCTTTTGATATGTATTAATATTAACAATAACAATTTATTAAAGAAATACATATCTTTTATATCTAGGCTTATTAGGTAATTTGTATGCACGTAAAAGTGTATGTCTACACATTTTACAGTAGGAATTTTTTTTCTTATTTAGTCGTAAAATGACAATTCCATCAGGCTGATTCGTAAATTCTTTCAAAAAATTGAAGGACATAGATGGATGGCTTTTAATCGTATAAAGAACGAGCATCCCTTGAAGGAGCGCGAGGAATTGAGGTACATCAGAAGATGTCGAGTCGCTATCGTCAGTCTTGGCGGAGTCGGCAAATCCTTGGCACACTTGTTGAAGACTTATCCAGGTGGTCTAAGCTGCGACTTTGCAATCGAAGCCATCCTGAGGGAATCGTGGAAGAGCTAAATCATATACCTACGAGATTGCCCGTTCGAGGATTTAAGGGAATAGATAGCATAATTATAATAGAAGGCATCTTCGTAATAATTATAACGATATTTTGATCTATTATATTGTATACATATTTAGTTAAAATTTGAAATTTATGTTGTATGATAATTTTTTTAATGTATTGTCATACATATTATTATTTATAAAAAAACTATATGAATATTATTTAAAAGAGTAATTGTACGGTACCTATAATGCTATATTTTTTACAAATATGACTAATAAATTTGTTTTCTCTTATTTTTTGATTTAGTTAGTGTTTAATCATTTATGAAATAAAAAATAATCTGTATTTAATTGTAACATTATTGTTACACAAAAAATAATTTTATCCCAACTTGAAGTTTTTTTTCTGAAATACAATGACAATGCATAAATTACTATTATATTATACATTATTATTAATCTTTATTGGATTAATTACGCTTTTAAAATACTAGGTCTAATTTAAGATGTAACCTCCCATGAAGACTTTATTTACATTTACATTTACTTCCATCATTCGCTATAGGAGAACGCTGCAATCATCAGAGACATAATCAATATCTGCGCAGACAGATGTCCTGATGCTCTGATAGCCATAGTGACGAACCCTTTGGACTCGATGGTACCAGTTACGGCGGGAGTCTTAAAGAAGCGCAGGGTTTATTGGCCTGAAAGGCTCTTTGGCGTCTGTCAGATTGACCAGATGCGAGCGAAGCGTTTCTACGCAAAGGCCATTGGACAGGAACCGAGAAAGACTTACGTTCCTGTCGTAAGTGGATAACACCACGCGGATAACACCACAATTCCTTTATTTTCTAAAGCGAGACCGAATGTTCCTTTGACAGAGGAAGAAACCAGAACTTTGATTCAGCTTGTACGAGATGCTGGAATAAGAGTCATTCAAGTAAGAGGCAGAATTATTTTATAAGTAAATTAAAAAATATATAAAAATATTTTCTTTTACCATATATCATCATCAACGTAAAATTCAATGCCATGTTTACTACGTGATTAGATTTAGAATAAGATTTTTTCAGAAAAGATTTATTGAACCGGCAACTATTCAGTCAAGTATATCGCTCACCTAGGCAAGGAAGGGAGCAGACGGGTCTATGTATTCAATGGCATCAGCGACGCTGGGTTTTGTTCATAAATTATGTCGCATTCATCACGAGCCGCATGTAATCATTTCCGCTTATGTGGAGTCGACGGTGACCAACGCGCGTTTCTTCAGCAATGAATTGTTACTCGGACCACGTGGTGTTCACAGAAATCTCGGATACGGTACAGTCACAAAGTTCGAGCAAAATCTAATCGACGAAGCAGTACTGGTCCTTCAGGGAGATGTTGCGATGGCTGACGAATTTTTCAAGAAAAATGTATAAAGTAATTTACAAAAATGAAGCTATAATCTTCATTATTAAAATAGATAGGTACATTATTAATATAAATTTAATTTCTTTGGCTAATATGTTTGAGTTTCATGTGATTTTCAATTTATTTTTTTTTATTAAGTCTCTATGATTTGTATATTTATTAAAGTTAATAGTATTACGTATTTATAATAATATAAGATTTAAATTATTACAAAGTATACGTGTACATTTCTTTTTACTTGTAAATACAGTTCTCGGTTATGTAGAATGATCATTAGTCTACTGTAATTAATAAGATAAATACACGATTAGCAAAATAACTATTTTCATTAAGTTCATTGTTTTATGTCGCAATCTAAGATTTCTGATGAAATATATTTATATTATATTATTTGGCTGATATTAAGAATAATATATACGTATAAGAATTTATAATATTAAATTTTATTTCTAGATATTAGATATTATTTTGTAAATTTTTAAATTTATTATCTCATAATATTATGGCAAATGTTTAGAGAATGTTATTATAAATATCAATTCAATTGCACCATGTCCCGTTAAAAATTGCAAGACATGCAACTAACGAGATAATCGTCCGCTAATCCGAATCGGAATAAAATTGAAGTACAGATATTGCGCCGTCGTGACAAGAAGTTGCATAGTTGCTGGAAGGCACTTCCGCACTCTAGGTCGTAACTCGCAACAATACGTCGTCATTGTAAAATATGAACCGGATTCTGCATCAGGCCGTAATTTTCCAAATAATACGGGTCTCGGTTCATAGATCGATTGTGATCCAATGCATCGGTCCGGAAGGGCTGATATTATCTTCTGAAACGGAAATTGTGTACGCGCGCGCATGTCCGCGAAAGGTTTTGCTAATTTCGTTGTATTCCCGATGACGCAATGACGTAATTTATTTGTCACTCGAGGCAACACTCGGTAGAGAAATAAAAAGTCAAAGTGAAAGCTTTACAGCCTTCGTAGCCCTTGAAACAAAAGGTTAAGGATCGGAAATTGTTATATCGCCTTAATGATTTCCGCTTAATAATTATAAAAAACGTTAAAATTTTCATAAATTCGAAAAATATTGTAATTTTTAGATTATTCTTTTATTTCTTTTAAAATACATATGATATTATAATTTATTTTTAAAAGAATAGATACATGTAAAAATTTAAATTAAAATGTACTAGTTTTTTTTCTTTATTTTATTCCCTTTCATAAAGATATTTTCTAATTTAAATTGGAAATAATAAATTTACATATAAATATGCTGGATAATTTTTTCTTGAGGTGGAAGCACTTTATAAAAAAATGTGCAGATTACATACGCTTCGAAAAGAAAAATAATTTTGCTTCAAATATCAGATATAACTAAATACAATCTCAAATACAATCTCAAAGTGCTACTCGTTAAAATTAGCAAATGTGATATTATCGGAGATTGAAACTTTTTAAATATGTTTATTAAAGGAAATTAGCGTCATTTCAACACAAACTAGATCGTGACTTAAGATCACGATTAGAAGGCATTTACAGACACGGCGAATTGTGAAGAGTGATGTACGGCTCGACCGCTGTCTCGTTAAAACCGCGGAATTACACGCTGGAATTATGCGTAAATCTGTCCGCGATCTGACTGCCTTTAAATATCGGCGCCAGTGGCATTCGACTGCATAATTCACCGGGTAAGTCGCAGCAAGTTACTGAATCTGAATCTTTACGAGGGATTTACGAATTAATAATAGATTCTGTGAACAAAGGAAGAAAAGGGAGATGGTTTTATGCGGTTGCGATCGCGTTTCTTCCCCGCATTAATCTAATATCAATTACTTTATTTCACCTAAATCGGTTACATTTGATTATATTTATAACTCTTGTTTTAATTCTTATTTAAAAAGAATTAATCTATTTTGACAGGCTTATCTATTTTGTTTCGTAAGAATTCTTGCGTCATAAAAAATTTCTTTCATTTATATTTAAGAATGTTTGTTTATTGTTTCGTAAATTTTTTATTTTTGTATTTTATTAATTTATTTTAGTAAATATAAAATAATTTCTTGATGCAAAATTAATTCCACAAAAACAAAGTAATCTCGTATTAGTATACATTGATGTGACATGTTTCATCGCATGAATTTTCTAAATAGTTTTTTCATATTACTTGAGAGAAACGATTTATCTCAATTGAAAGAATCGTAGATATTCAAAATTCCTCAAACATCCGGATAATACAATTAAAAAAATTCCTGTTTTTTAAATTGCCTAATTAAGATAGGTAGTATTAGGATGCGGAAGGGTTTTCCTCGTTTCATCGATAGAATCAGAAGCGTATTCTCCGTGCGGACGATGATAAGAGAACAGGTTCAGTAGCGGTATTTAAGAGACTAGAAAGGGACAAACTTAGCCATAGGACGTTAATCACGGTGGTATCGTCGCATTAGCGATAACGCGAAATTATCACGAGGCTTGATTCTCGTGAATCAAGCCTCGATGAGCAACCGTTGGTTTTATTGAGAGACAATTGTAGCTTCGAGTCGCGGAAAAAGCGTTACTAAACGAACAAATCGTGGAAGAGAAAATCCCATTTCACAAAAAGTGGCGATATTAAATAGAGATTGTGTTATGCATCGTGATGTTTTGAAGAGCCGCCGTCACGTAAATCGCGATTAGGAATTCCCACGCTGCATTTCCGCACGGCGGACATTTCACGTTTTATCAAGACCTTATTCTGCCATGATCAATGATCGGAATGAAGATATATTGTCAAGCGAGCGGAGGTTTAATGCGGAAACCAGCGGATGCGATCTTAATCTAGTAAACCGTATCTAGCTTTCATTAAATTTACGCGCTTATGTGTGTTTACTTTACATTTATTAGTTATATATTCCGCTCGTTAATCCGCGTTTTTGCAAAAACGCTCATGTTTATTGCCAGGACACTCGTATATATAAAAGTTTAATGAAGAGTAAGAGAGTAAAGAGATAGATGTTGCTACTAATTTTTCTTCCCTTAGTTTTGCCAGGTAGGAAACGTTAATTAGCTGACTTTATTCCACCTTCTACGATTTATATATTGTATTAATGTGCGCGCATTAATGAAATTTTTTATTAAAGCTGTGCTGGATTATTTGCACCATAATCTTTAACAACGTTCGTACACATTGCACAACACTGTCTAATGCAAAAACCTCTTAGCTGAGAATGTCGTAGTTATGGGTGCAACTAGGACCGAGAGTTGAGAATTCAACGTTAATGGCGAGCAGATTTTTCAGAAATACTCGATTACAAGACACTCTTTGCCGTTGATTTATGACATCATTATTTTGCGCTGATTTACATGGAAATAAAGCTGAGAGCGATATGCTTCGCATGATCGCGGCGCGCATTTCTGTATATCTCGCAGTATTTAAAAAGCCATTTATAACGCGCCGCACCTAAGGGGGATAATCGTACTTGCGTGCTTGCGAAATTTTCGCGTTTCTGCCGTTAAACCGGCCGTAATAATTATTGCAAAAATTTCGCTCTTCCCATCAATTACGTAACAGAATACACGGACGTGCAGATCAGCGCCTAATATTAAACCGTTGCTCATTGCGCGGTAGTGAAGCGGATTTTGCCGATAAGTTATGCATGTACCAGATGCCATTAGCGCGAATGAATTGCGCGTTTATTTCCGCACGTTAATAAATAACAGTCTCCTCCGGGAATTCCGAAAAAAAAAAATTGGAGCGTTGCATCCCGGGCCGATATATTTTCTCAAAGTTACACACAATGCGAGCTCCGAGAGACACTCTGTTGTCAAACAGCGACATCGATCGCGGTGTTTTATCGGGTGTTTAATTAATAAAGCAAACAGTACGATTTTCGTTGCTGAAAATAATTTACTCGCGGAATTGAAACATTATTGATTCGTGAACTGTATTTTCGTAACGCGTTGAATCGATCCAAAGCTCGCAAAGCGATAGCTTATGCTTGTAGGCACGTCGTTCAATGCTCTTAAACCATCGATCGTTATCGCCTGAATCGAGTAATTATGACGCAACATTAATGATCCTGATGAATGGTGTCATCAAGTCAATGACACTGCGAGCGGTGCCGGCAAAAAAGCAGGTAGCTATACGAGTCGAGTGTAATTAGCTCCACTTGCCACGCTATAATCACCATATTACATTAAAACATTGCATGGCATTTGAATTGTATGTCGCGGAAAGATGGATATTTAAATCTTGTTAATTATTATCATTATATGCTATAATCATAATAAAGTAACTTAAATGCGAATACTTCATCACACATAATCGTTACTGTGTGTTAATAAAATTACTTACACATTAATCTTCTCTCCCTGGTTACTTTTTCTTAATCACAATGTTATTTATATATATATATATATATATATATATATATATATATTATTTATATTAGTTTTAATTAGCATACAAACATTTCTTTGTAAATATATAATTTTTTAATGCACAATAATATCAATCTTATGTACATTATTTTATTAAAAAAAATATTTTAATATAAATTAATATTTAATATAAATATTTTATTATAAATAAAAATATTTTAAAATACACTATAAAATACCCTGTTAATTAGCTTATCCGGCGTCATTTCGAACGATTTAAAATATCGAATGCTGCAGTTTGTGTGGGAAAATGCCTTGCATTTATTTGCATTTTTTTCAAAATAACGAGGCCCGCTGTTTCGCGAAAGCATAAATTATCATATGAAAATTATTTCTCGTACTTTGACAGCGCGATCGAGAGGATGACCTGATATATTTATTTATACCTCGCGTGAGCGAACGTAACGGAGGCTGATGAACGACGATGATACAAGATGCACTCCGGACGCGCTCCTTTACTCTAGGAACGCAGCAATTTAGCGATATCAGCCGACGGGCCGGCGTGGCTAATTCTATCTACGTAGCGCCCCACTCGATAATTTGCTCGGGCAAACTTATTAGATTGCCACCGGGCTGGCCGCTAATTACAGGCTGTTCATACGGACGCATCTAGGCTGCGAACGAGATGTTAAGTTACTCTGGCGAAAGTCGATCGGCTTATCAATGTCAGTTGCTGTCGTCGAGTCCATCTAAAATCGCTTAAAGTAGTAGGTTTTCTCGATTAATTACGATATCTCCAACATACTTGAATTTAACTATAATTTAGAAACTGATTTATCGATGTAGATCAATGTTGCATTTTAAGAAATATTTTAAAGAGGGTAACAAGTAAATAATTGATGGTAAATAATACTTAAACGAATGTATTTGTGTGTAAAAAGAGAGTTCATTTTTTGAAATAAATAATCTAGAGAAAAAGAAAAGAGCAAGTCAATAACCGATCGACTGCTTCGCAGCAATAATTTAATGTACAGCCGGTTGTATCTTTTGCTTTTTCAAGGAAAGATATACATAATAATTCCAAGAAATTTGACATATATACATATACTGTCATAAATTTTGTTCAAAATCTCATCATTGAATAAGGAAAAATAATATTCCAGAAATAACTCTATGTTCTGCAGCTTTGCTAATTATAATACCACAAACACCACAATAATATTATTACAAACTAATTATATAATACCACAAGCGCCATAAACTATATATATCTGGCTCACCTTTGGACCATGTTTAATCTGTTATCAAAGTTCAATTTTAGCTTTTTATCTCAAAAATGCCTACGTTTATCTTTTCAATAATAAAATTAATGGAATAATTTTATTGATAAATTAATTTCAAACTTATCGAAATATTTAATATTTTATTATCGATAATTCTATAAAAATGTTATTAAAGTTATTTATATTATATTCATTAAATATTTATCATATTTTGAAGATAAAAATATGTGGGATATAGTTTTAATTTTTATATCATTGAGTGCGTTTTTCAAAGGATAGCGTGATAGATAGAAGTTTGTTTTAATTAACATATTTCCCAAACATTTTTCTTATGTTAAGTTTTAAGACGAAATAATTTTATCAATAAATTAATTTATCGAAATATTTAATATTTTAATATCGGAAATTTTGTAAAAACATAAAGATATTTTTAATAGGAGAAATATACAAGATATGTTTTTAATTTTTATAATATCACTGAGTACGTGTTCTCCAAAGGATATCGTGATAGATAGAAGTCTATTCTAATCAATATTATTCTTAAACATTCCTCTTATGTTACTGAATTTCACATCATGAGATGAAGAGAAAAGCGGACTTGCATCACTATTAAAATAACGTCTTTATACTTGGTTGCCAGGTGACGGCGCCATGGCGGAGGCACCCAAAGCTTGATTCCGCGACTCCACGCGGGCGTATAAAGTCAGTCCTGCACCGACGGGAGCCGTCAGTACGAAACGACACCTCTGACAGAGGAACTCGGCTCTCGGTCTCCTCCAGGCTGCGACATGCACCTCTTGCTGCACTTTGTCTAGCTTTACGCGCGAGATAATATCGAAAAAAAAACTATCGGGCAATAAGAACCCCTGTGCAGCTATTCCGTAATATTCCCGCACATTTGCAATTGCAATATTGATAAACACCGTTTTGCTCATTGATCGGAACCGCTGGTGAATCAATCAGCTGGTGAATTAATCGGAGATATAAATTAGCTTATAAGCATACCTGCAATAAAAACATTGTTCTTTTTGAGATAATTGTGTAATTAAAGTGCGGTCAATTGAGATGAATCTTATATCACCAAGATGTGATAACAATTTGCTCTGTAAATTCGTAAACGAAAGTCGTATTTTGTGATGTGAGAATTGATTTTGGCCACCGTGTTCGGTTTTAGTGTACTCATTCTATGCCAACAGTTGCATATACAATTTGAACTCGATGCAACAGGTTAGTCAAGTGGTTGCATCGATCACAATTAGATGCTAATATTTTTCTTTTTAATTAAATGCAGATGTAAACAATTTTTTTTAACGCTTTAAATAATAAATTAACAAAAAATAATTTTCTTAGGATTAACAATTATGAAATATGCTATTACTTATTTTTTAATTATAACTCCATAAAATATGTTTAAGCCATGCGACTTAACACAACAATAATTAATGTAATTTTACACATAAATTAAATTAAACAAAAAAACTAATTTTATTAATGAATAATACACAAATATTATAATAACAATATATTATATTAAATTTGTATTTACTTCGACAATTAAAGCTTGATTAATACCATTTAATTTATTTCTCATAATTATTAGTTTAATAAATGTTAATTTAATAATTAATTTCCATAATGGTCAATGCAGCAATTAACGGCCGTAGTAAAGAATGTGTAAAACTGTGACTAGTTACGTGTCGCTTTCATTCTGTTCGTTCGAAAATTATTCCTTGTTCACAGGTATGCCTTTTGCAAACGTGTATTAATAGTGCGGCAATGCTAGCGGTTCGATAATCGTAAAAATAAACGGTACACCGCGACTTGCGTAAGAAGATTCCCCTTAAATGCTCCATCTTGCCGCGATACGACGTGTTTTCGCTGCAATAAAGTTAGACGTCTAATAAACAACATTATGCGTAGAAAATGTACACACGAAAACGCATGCAAATAATTTTCCAATGAGAGCTTTTATACGCACTATGAATACACACGTTGATATTTTCAACGTACTTGTAAGAGATCTGTTCACAGCTCATAACGAGATTTATAATAAATAATAATTATTGCACATTACATAAGATTAGAAAAATTAACATGATCGTTCACATCGAAGAGCAAATTTTTCTCGTAATAATTAGATTTTAATGTAACTTCCGGCAGAAAGAAAAATGAATTCCCGTCATATGAAATGTTAATATTGGCTCGTTGACAAGTGAGTTATTGCAATTTTAATTTACACTTTATGTGGAATAAATTATAACGCAATACTGGAGATATATCAACAAAATAGTGACTCTGATAAAATCAACTGCTACAGATCGCACGATATATTACTGTACGTGGTCGCATTAAAATTTCTTATTTGCGGCAATAATTATCTCCAACTTGAGCTGGAGAGAGAGAGTATTCAGGTACTGCACAAAAAGTTAATAAACTTATTCCGCATGACAATTATGCATGTGCGCGACTTATTCGTTATCCGTGCGCCCGGTCTATGATTTGCTGGCGTGCGTAACATGCATTCGATATGCACTCTCGCCGGTAATAATTGTGAGCTTAATGAGCAATTCGTATGCGATTTAACGATCGTATATCGCGCGTGTTAATTTGCATTTATCACGCATTTGTGCGCGCGTCGCTATCCCGTATCGGGGTGACAGATCTTTTTTCGGCTTTATGCGAATGCGCGTTTGTCACCGAACAAAACGGCGCACTTACGCGACAGCATTGTACGCACTTGGTGCGTATGCATCGAGATTATCGTGGGGAAATATCGCATTTCAGAATATACGGTGGACGGAGAGCACGTGAATGCTCACCCCACAGGTTTCGTTTCTACGAAAAAAAAAAATCCTCGACCGGCACCACTCGACTGTCGCGAATTTATTATGACCGATTATGCAAGTCGCATAATTAGCGACGCGACTCGGCTTTGTCGGTGATTTATCTCGCGACGGGTATTAGACTCGCACGGAGACAAGTTTGTCCTGGTTTGGTAAACGATCAAGATTAATTGCGATGCATATCTCAAGTTCTCGTAATCGATTAATTGATTTCCATTGATTGATCTTTGAGATGAAAGGAGATTACACAAATTAATTTTCTGCTTCGAGATGCAAGGTTTTGAGGAATATTTCAGGAGATTTTATCTAAATCTTGAGATACCTCGAAATGCATAATAAAATGCGATGAATAGAGAAATCTCCGATATTCGTGCAATCTACGGATAATTCTAGCTTCAGGCTACTCCACCTTCGACAGGTCGACGTACGGGTAATATAGGTTCTTGTCTAACGCTCACTAGCAACTGGAGCATGAAAGCATTATACGTGCATATGCACTCACACGCATGCCAGCCGATGACTTCTCTAATATCCAATTTCCTTCGCCTTGGATAGCCTCTCTAGCGTCACGCCGTAACATTTGATTTGAATGTCAAATCAATCGTTTAAGTGCAAATAAGTCATAACGATAATTAAATCGCGGACTATTAATTAAATCAATGGCAAGTAAAATTTGACTACATTAATCATCATAATCTAACGTTATCAATCTATCTCTATCGCTTTTTCAACTTTGTATTACTTAGCTTAGAAATAAATGCATTTCTAAGTGGATACATACACATACATAACGCAAACTGATAACTACTTTCTCAAGTCAAAATTAGAAAAGTAGATTCCATTAAGATAATATGATTGCCATTTTTAATAGTATAACTAATATTGAATAGCGATTATTACATACATACATTCTATATAGCAAACTTATTTCAAATACAAAGATTTTTATTTAAAAATACAAAAATTTATATATACGAGTGTATTCATATTATTTTTGAAATTTTACTATACATATATATTAATCCATGATTTGATTAAGCAAGCAAATTATACAGATAATTTAAAACCGGAATTTTTTAGAAATAGTAGGAACAGGTGATTCACTGATTCAAAAAAATCACACACAAAATAATAATTTTATATAAAACTTTATTTATAACATTATTTTAATTTTTCTTATATATAACATTATTTTAATTTAATTTTTATAAGAGAAATGACATAAAAAAAGAGATGCGAATAAAATATAAATGTGTGTGAATTCGAGAGGTGTGTGCAAAGTAATAAACCCGTCACTTAGGAGACGTCTTATTGAGCGAAAATACATATTATGCAAAGTTAAATTTATAAGGGTTCAATAAAGGTCTCGTAAAATTGCGGATCCCGTCGGAACTTTATGAAGATGATGATGTAATTGCATTCCACGCGATTTATTCGTCAGCATTCGCCGGTTTTCATTTTTAGAATGTTACAATGATAATATTTTTATCATTCGCAAAATATCTCGGAGATGACGCTTGAAGATTTAATAATACCGCAGATTGCATGGTAATCGCGCGGAAAGATATATATTAAAAAAGATATTACGAAAGAATATCTCTCGAATTTACTTAAAAGAAATTCTTGATAAATATTATATTTAAATATTTAAATATTACGCGAGTGTTTTTGGAGATACAAGAGATTGTCTTAATATTTAGCCTTTAATTACAATATTATTTTCAAATAAATATTATTGTTAAAAATTAATCATATTACGGTGCTATATTAATTCGAATAAAAGTAAAAATTTTAATTATTTTCTAAATTATTAACAGTATACTTCCAGAAAAGATATATATACTGCTAATATTCACAATTATAATATATCCTAAATACTTAAATAATGTTAAAAATATTAAATAATAATATTTAAAAAATTGATTTAATACAAATAAATTGCATATTAAAATAGAAGGTCGCGCAGAAGGAAGAGTCAATGAGAAAAAAATTCTTTGACGACTTACAAATCTTTATTTTTGATCGCAGAAAGTTTTAATCGACAGAGAAATCAACTGACATCGTAACGTGCAAGTGAAAAATGACGTAAAGCTCAGCCGAACGCAGGCGGAGAGTGTCCCATCCACCGGAAATTGCAGCGGAGATGCGTCAATAGTGAGACCGATAAAAGGAGAAAGAGAGCGAGCGAAAATCCCTCAAGATGCATCTACTCATCTTTCCCTTTTTGCTGCTATCTTTAACGGTAAGGCACAAGCGCAGCGCGCAACTAACATATTGACGTGTGATTTATCGCGCCATTAACACGGCCGGCCTGCCGCAGACCCAGTGTCAAACTCGTATGTCAAACGTGGGCGAAATTGTTCGTAAATATGTTCCGGCATATGTCACGAACATTGCGCTGCCGGTCCTAACCATTGAGATCGATCACGTAATTTCCCTTCAGCGAGAAAGCAAAGGGTGAAAAGTTTCACAACATTAGTGTGAAATAGCGTAATTCCATTAGATAAGATTGATACGAGGCTAGAAATAAAGTTAAGTGGCAAAAGAGAAAACTGATCGTTACACGGCAAGATATTAACACTGTAATTATACTGTAATTATTAATTACTTTATAATAATTTTCTCTTAATTAATAATCAAGTTTGATAAATGTAAGATTAAAAAAATATATCATGATATTGAAATTCACGAGAATTCTCAGATAAATTTAGACATTTTTTAAAATTCGTTAATCTCGAAGACACATCGAATCAGTTTGTTTCGGTATCTCTATTATCTTTTTTTTGGCCTTTTTTCAATCGACGATGAGAGACTCTCGTCGAGCTCTGTCTCTACGAGGTAATAAAAAAAAGTGTTACACTACAGATTCTTCGTCCCTGCTGATAAGAGTCTTTCATAAGAGAGAGAGAAACGTAGTTTTATCTACATACATGGCGGAAATTCTCCGAAAATGCGCGCATATATTTTCGACGGAGGTTAATGCACCGATGCGTAGTTAACGTCATTGGATATGGTAGCTAAAATAAATTTCTGAGAAACTTGTAAAGTGGAACCCCATATAAGATGAATAAAATAAGATATTAAACACAGAATAATAAAGTAATTTATATATATGACATAGAGAAAAAAAATTTAGAATAATTTAAATTCCAATAACGGTATTTTATGAATTTAAATTCTAATAACGGCATTTTATGAATTAAAAAATCATCTCTTAGTCTATTTTGACAGTGGAAATACTTTTTAATTCGGCAATTATTTGTATAAATTTATTATTTTTATAAAATTGTACTAAATTTTTTAATTAAGCTTACATAGCATATGAAAATATCTGCTTCTGTTCGCGTATTGTTCGTTTATGCGTAAGTAAATATCCGGTTGTTAGATTCAAATCACATGGCATGATGCTTAGGCTATATATATATTAATCACATTCAATAAAAAAAAACACAACGTGACGAGGGCAATTTTGTGAAAAAAATCTAAAGTATTACTTTGCTTTATAAAAATTACGAAGGTATCGCAGGATGCTAATTGGAACAAACGATCAACCTTGTACACTAACGTCATCATTATTACCTCGACTGGACCAACCGGCTCGGGCGTGAAACGCTGTTTTATTAGCATAATTCAAACGCTACTGACGCCTAATTACGGGTAATTTAAGGACGTACGAGGATCGTTCTTCTCGCGAAAATGAGCGGCGACACGCAAAGACGACGAGATTAATCGAACTTCCAGGCAATACAATATTCACACATTCGAGTTTTCGGTGACCGTGATGTAAATTATGTTTGAATAGCTAGTATATGTTTTGAATGTGTTGAAGTAGGAAGTCTCGCTTAACGCATTCTTGCGGCTAAGTGTTGTCGGCGGTGTCGGTATTTTTAGAATGAGAGAATAATATAATCCGAGTAAAGAATGTGCAACTTCCTGTCTTATATGATTTAAATTCAGATCGCGAATCTTAATCGTTAAGAATTTGTCAAGCAATTATAGTCTTTAGAATTTCTATAAATATTTCTTTCACTGTCTCTCGATATTCATGTTTGATAATCTTTACTTTTCCCACAAGAGACTGTCATTTCTTTTAATACGTATAACAATAAGAAACCTTTTTGGGCTACAAAATTTTTCAATGTCAAAAATTTGAAGATAAAAGTTAAAGATTGACAGAGCAAATTCCTGTTCTTTATTTTTAATGTAAAGCTTTTGATCACTCTCCTATAAAATTGTGAGCACCAGGTGAAAATTAAGATGTAATAGGATGTGAATATATACAAATCGCAAAGAGACGTTAAGATCTGACATACGATGTTCAGTGGAAAGATTCTGCGGGTTACCGCCGCTTTATTTTTCTACTGTCAGCAAGATTGCAGCTTTCACTCGCTTGAACGTATTTGACATGTCCATGTGGCGACTATTCGTCTTCATTATTGTGGGAACGTGGCGCCAGAAGTTGCGCTGTTCCAGCGATGTCTTCGTCTCACAAAATCACGACGACGTCTTTATTTTCTGTAGATACTTTTCGTTGAATAGCTCGCGAGATTTCTCGTCGGATCGAGAACGGAACCGAATTTCCTCGACCGGCTACCGAGAAGACGCACGTCGTCGCGACCAACCTCTTTGTCGCTGTCATCATCTGTGTTTCCTCGCGTTGAAACATTTTATATGGCTTGACGTTTAAGTGGTTGTAGCACAGACTTCTATATATTATATCTGCTAATATTGACAGGTTGTCATTTACAATTGGGCAGAATATATAAAATGGGTTAATATACTAATATTTTGAGTCATATTTCAATTTATCGGCAATTATTAAAATATATAAGCTATTTTCATGTATAGATAGATATTGATTGATATTTTAGATTGATTTTCTGCTCATTAATTATATTGTGCCCAATTATAAATAGCTATCCTGAAAAATCGCTGTTAGCAATCTAGCATAATATTTAGAAGTCTGTAGTTTACAAATTTTGTTAATTCTAAAAGATAATTGGCAAGCTCTAAAAGATAATTGGCAATATTTTGAATATATATATATATATATATATATATATATATTCAAAATATTTTATATAAATTTTCAATACGTTGCTAAAATAATTGAGAATAATTTCCATTCTGACTTAAAAAAAATCGCAATAAACGCTATGTTGATATCAAAATATCCATTCATGTTTTCGAAGTAATGATATTAGCCTTTGATAAAATCCGTGAAATTATATTTTTCATTAAAAATTTTATTAAACATTTTATTCAAATCAATAATATCAAAATTCATTCAATCTCCTTTCTTAATTGATTAATCAGTAACTTGCCTTCATATGATAAATACAAATTAGAAACAAAGGAAGCATTTCCGAAGGAATTTTAATGTTTGACCCAATAGCGGATATCTATAAAAAAAGCGTCGCGATGTATAAAACGCAGCGGGTACGTCATTATGCGCCGCATTTAGGGCGATGGGGATTTAACGGCTTGAGTGGCTACAAAAATAACACACTGAAAATAAGAGCTAAGCAGAGATTCGATGTTGGATCATCGTGAGGCGATCGGCTCAACGCCGTCGATCTTGATTATCGTAAAAAAGGGAGATGCGACGCGGCGCTGTCTCAGGTGTATTCAACCTCTCTCTTGGCGGTGACATTACGCATAATCCAGCTAAGCTGCCGCTTAGAAAGTGCATTTGTTTTTCCAGATCTTGCCTTTACACGCTGTACTGCTCGTCAGTATAAATATGCATGGATACGTTAAAAAAAGGGACACATTGCACTCACGAGATCTCTACAGTGACATTATTTTTCATACCTTAATAAATGACGAAACATATATATGCAAGTGTCTCCCTTTGTTACCGAAATTAATGAGATAATTAAATTAATGAGTTGAACGTGTAAAGCGATACGGTTAATTAGATGAGAGGAATGAAACATCGCGCGCGATGTAATCTCGGAGGAAACCGAGGGGACCATTCAGTCGCCCAAAAATGGTTCCCTCTTAATCGCGTATTCATACATTACTCCACGGAATGTACATACGCGGGCGCGTTATTTTATCGCAGTGTAAACACCTGATGTGGCCAGACGAGGAGGAAGTTGCACGTTCGCAGGCTCGACAGAATTATGGCCCGTTCATTATTATTTACGATGCCATTCGATAAATTTCGTTATTAACTAAGACCAAGTTATTTCACTTGGACCCAACAATTTTGTTTCGCAAAAAAAACATTTATTAGCGATATATGATGCTCGATCTATATTAATTTAATTTTCTAATGGCTAAGTATGTGAATTCTAATTTCATATAAAGATCAGATTTAATTGGATCTAATAATAATTTTTATCATAATTGTCGTAAAGGCTTATCGAAGATCTATTTCTCTTATTTTTTAGAAATTTATTTCGATTCCGTATCTTACACAATAAAAGTCGTAACCATTAGTTCGTCGACTAGATTCTAAATCGGCGGCATACATTTATAATCCGTTTATTTATATATCACTTTCGATAGTCCTGAAATCTTTCTCTCGCGACCGTTTCGCCGCTTGAGCATTGAACGTTTTACGCCACTGTAGGTTTATTGTTCGCCGCCGATTTATAAATTTGCTCATGCGATATTCATACAATTAACATCGCGCGATCGTTCGTATACAAACGGCAAGCCAGTTGACATTCATCCCGAGTTAATCCAATTGAAGAGAGGAGTGTCACTTTGGGCGCGGCTTGATGTGCAGTTTGCGCCGATTAGACCTGGTTGAAAATGAATGGCCAGACTCGATCAAGTCCCGTCACTCTTTCAGAATGATCCCCGACGTGTAAACTGTCGAATTATGATGTTGCAATTATTTTTGTATGCCGAGCAGAAATGTATTGCTAAAGAAAATATCAAGTGAATATAAATCGATTCTCTTTACGATTTTTATTTATTTAATTCTGATTAGAATAATAATAAAAACTGAAAATTATAATATAAAAATTATAAAGAGTATTTATATATTTATCGCATTCTTTTTTAATTAATAATGATCTAAAGATAAATAATAATAATTATTAAATAATAATAATTAATTTGCAAGGAAATTCAATAATAAATTTTGTTGAAAATCTCTACAACTTGTAAATTAATTTTTAATTTTTTTGCTTATTATTAATTAAAATTTTAAAAATTACAATAAAAATAAAATACTTTTTATTAATTTCTAGATTTTATCATTAATTTTAAAAATAATATACAATTTTCTTACATTTCAGAGATATTCAACAAAATTTCAATATTAATAAATAAAATTATTTGTGATAGTGTAAAACAGTGTGAAAATAATTCACCAGAGCTTAGAGAGGTGATTTATTGCAGATACTAGCAATCGAAGAAGCTTGTGGTAGATTAGAAGAAACTACGTGGAGCGTGGAACGGTATGTGCTACGAATGGGGCCACGTGGCCACATACAGGCCATGATAATACTTTAATCGCGATTCAGGTCAAATTGCGCATCTTGCATCTTCAGCCACCGTTTGATGGTTTAATTAACCTTGATGAGATTTTACGCGGTGATCTAACGAGGAAGGAAAACATTCCATCGTTTCAATGTAATAGATTTTGCTTTCAAGTTATTTTAGTATTCTCATGCATAGGATGCTTTAAAAAGACGTGCGCGATGAACATAATTCTAATTTAAGTTTTATCTCACTTTTTGATATAGAATGTATATTGGAAAAATCTTACTTAAATTTTATTTTTAAATGCTGTATTTTTATTTTTATTTAATCTTGTGACACATTTATCTTTACTATTAAAATATATTGGGATCTATCAAAAGTATTTTGTTATATTATATACTTACGCCATTTTACAAGATTGACAATTTGCCACTAGTATTTATTTTTATATATTAGTGGATGCAGCAATATAAAATAAATATAAAATATTTATTATATAAAATATAAAATATTTATTAAATATAAATTATTACGTCGAATAAAAAGGATGTAGCACGAAGTTATGGCTATCACAATATAAATTTAGATAAAGATTTGCCATGTCAATTTACTTGCATTTTGTTATATCATCCGGCTAAAAGTTGCGATCAAAATGTTACGATCAGAAATCGAAATCTAGGAGCCTTCGTTGTTTAAGAAAATATTTTATAACTACTAGCGGATCTTTCTATCGTTCTATCGTTCCTATTATTCTATTGTTTGCAAAATTTTTGCATTTTTTCGGCTTTGTAATCGGTGCATCGAGATACTTATCAAGCACACAAGCGCATCGCCTGTCCGCATCGGTCATCTGCCTGCGGGTGTGCCATTTCCTATTAATTCATTTCGCAGATTCGCATCGGCGCGATGATTCGTGTTCTTTGACTTCCACCGATTCCGCTCTGACATCTGGAAAAATAGAGGTGCTACCAGAAAACGTCACTCGTCGCCCACGATCGGCCCGACAAACGGACTTTGATCTTGGACGCTAAAACTGCAATTGAAGTTCGGTCCCGCGAAGTCGCATGATTTATTATTCTTCGTGCGAATTTCTCGGGCGTGCATAACGCGCTCTATTACCGGCTGTTTCAGGGTGGCGTGAGATTTGGCAGCGGTCATCTGATAGACGGAATTTTCACGGAACCGACTTTGGAACCGGGCTACAATTTGGTGGCGGTGGTCCCCCGTGGCGCCTTGGCATTGAACGTGACCGAACTCCGTCACACGCAGAACTATCTTGGTAAGAGAAATAGAAATTCCTAGCTGCTGATTATAAGATAAATTAAGATGGCCAAATTATTCTCTCTCCCTGCTCAATGGAAGTTTGTATTCTAAATTTGAAGCATACATATTTGCGTACTCTTTGAAGTTATTTAAGTAATAAAATGTTATTTATAATCATATATAACTGTGTACTCTTTTAGAGAGAATGCGCTTATATCACTATAATATTTTTTATTATTATATAAATATGGATTTATGCGGATTTGCTGAGATGCCTTGACGTTCTAGTTATCTCCTACAGCCGGAATTATAAAATATATAAATCCATTTTCTCGATGAAAAGTAAGAGAGGAGAGAAGTTGACAGTAATTGCTTTATTATTGCGAGATATTGGCGCATGTACAACTTTGTATATTTTGCAATGTAAATTGAACGTTATATGATCAGCGAAAGATTCTTTTTATTAACATTCCCATCAAGATTTTACAAGATTCTTAACATTAATTGCGCGATTGGCGCCAGATAAAATAATTCAGTGGAATATCGTTGCGGATTTCGTGGAAATTGCAGGCAACCGGTTGATAGGAATGCATTTCCTACCGTCATTTCTCACCGTTTATGCACTGTTTACGGTAACCCGTTTACATGGCGTAGTTATTAAACAGCGATCGTAACCGATGATTAAGATCATCGACGACCGTGTGAATGATTACATGCAAAAATTAATTTATAACAGATATTTTGTTTGTGCAATCGAAATGCGATTAAAAATAATGAAAAACCACTGGTCTCGATGAAATTACAAAATTATTAGATTTGCATTAAAAAAAGATTTATGAGAAGCTATAAGTAATTCAAGATATATTGGATATGAAAATGCAAATAAATTTATTAAATCAATGATATTAGGTTAAACATTCGATTAATCATCCGCGTCAAGTGCCTGGATAATTCCTGAGAAGAAGTCTTGAAGGATAATATTTTCATGAAACAAGACATATAATAAATGTAATTATTAATGGTGTTTGAATTTGTGAAAACCGATCCATTCGTTTTATAATGTATGTAAAATAAGATGTTAGAACATCTTATTCTAATAACTAATTATGTAAATTTTATGCTATGATAGTCCTTGTTTCTTAAAAATTATACATTTTAAATGACTTAACATATAATAAATAATCTATTCATTTTCTTCTTCAATGTAATGTGTGTAAAATAAGACGTTAAACACTTTATTCTAGTAACTAATTATGTAAATTTTATGCTACATGATAGTCCTTGTTCCTTAAAAATTATACATTTTAAACGACTTGACGTATAATAAATCGCAAGATTTTTGCCTAATAAAAAATTAATTGCACGCTACCTTTATTCATTTATGTCAGATATAATCTACTTCTATTAAATATCATTTATCTCTCTTGGTTTTTAAATTTCAAGAGTTATTGTATATAATAAAAATCTAATAGAGTAAATAATATCAGTTAATAAGAAAAGCAGATAAAATACTTTATAACGTATTAAAATATTTTATAATGATGTTAAAAATAAAAAGTATAAAAAAGTGCGTAGTGAAAAGAGAAATGAATTTGAAGAATATTTAAATATAATAAATAATTTATAAATTCAATAAAAAATGTTTATAACACGGGCGTCATTCTTTAACAAATTTGGCAGTCGTATAACATCATCAAGAATACGATTAGAAATTGAACTTTGATTTATTGTATCTGAAGGTAATCATCATTACCGCCTTCAATACCTTTCGAATCTATTCATCGCTCGATCAGATCAACATAATGACTGCCTTTCACAGGATACGAACACAACAGATCGTAATCGATGCGTCTCCTATGCAATGATCGCGTTGCCGATAAGCAAACGAATCGCCCGCGGCGTGATTAGTCGTGATCGTTAACAATGCTGTCGGAACATTCATTACCGCCGACGCGATCGCGCCTCCTATTATCCTCACCTAATCTGCAAAGATAGATGACTTGAGAGGAGCGGATAGAAAATCGCTTCTCGCGAAATTCAATCCATATAATCTTTCAAAATTCAAGAAATAAATATAAGAATATAAACATATACAAAGTGTGTAACGTTTACATAAGATATATTTAATAAGTTTAATATATATTTAACAAATTTTAACATCTTAATTACTTATTTATTATATGTATATATTTAATAAATTAAAAAATTCCAAAACTTGAAGTAAATTCGAAGACCAAAGATGAGGTTCTGGAGAACAAATCTGTCGATTTTCTTAATCTACTCAATCACGGCGTTCTTAAATGGAATGGGACCCGCTGTTCTGCTAAATTAGATGCACTGGTCCATGCCACGTGGATTACATAAATCGCCCGCAACCGTAAACTCGCTCATAAACGACCGTCATTGTACGCGTAAGTCTCGCTTTAAACGATCGTGATTGCCAGCTTTAGCGTGATACGTGTCAATCGACATGTCGGAGATCATCGCCGTTCTATGAATAGAAGCAGTAGGTCATTCGTGAATAAATGCGGTCATCGCGATTTTTTCCAAATTGCCTAATATATTTTGCAACACGGTCCCAAGACGCACTCGAAGTCACTGCAACCGTATCTTGCTCGAAGAGTCGTGCTAAAAACAAATTCTAATACCATGCAAGACAATGATATAGATTATTTTTCAAAGGGTATATAAATTTTATATTATTGATTTTTATTATAATTTATCTTATTACAATTAAAGATATTGTCTATAATTATTTATTTTTTTTTTTACGTATTTCAATGTTTATCAATTATAATGTTCTTCATTTCATAATGTAATAGTAATTAATTGTGTTATTTACACGTACTTCTCAATGTTTTTTAGCTCAGAAATTTAACGTGCTTCTTTCAATTTCAGTAGAGGAAAATGATAAAGTATAATAATAAATTTACAGCGATTAGATTGCAAGATGGCAGTTACCTGTTGAATGGAAATTATACTATCAACTGGTCCGGTGAGTACAAGGCGGCCGGAACAACATTTATCTACCTGCGTCAGGGTTCTCAGAATTTAGAGAGTTTTTCCGCAGCCGGTCCATTACAGGAACCTATAGATGTCATGGTAAGTTATATGATATTAATAAATTATATAGTTTAACCTTTTACAAGAGCGCCGCATATATATATGAAGAAACTTTTACTATCTCTATGATGTAAAGCTATGACATATGATAAAAAATGCATAATAAGTGCATTTAATCGGTGGAAAAATAATCAAATTAGAGTAAATTATTTAAACGCAATAAATATCATCGAATTTTTCATGAAAATCACAAACATTATGTTAATAAAATATGTTCAATCTGTAATAATTCTGCAGAATATTTGTCGTCCTTCGACTAAATTGCAGATATTGTTGTAACGCGATCATCACACAATGGCGTTTTACGAGTAGCAATATAGAACATTATTGTGCTTGGACAATCGTGGGCGTTAATGGGCTCAATCGTGTTCTATTTAACCCTTTCACCGTTGAATTTCCACCATAAATCATATATAGACTCTATTGACATAAATTGTAGACTTTATAGTTACTAGATTTAAATTGCTTATTCTTCTACTTTTGGATATGACATTTAAAATTTAACAATTGAACAATCACATAAATCAAAGATAATGCTACTTATACGTACAAAGTTATTAAATTTCGATTTTTATTCCGCAGGTTCTATATCAAGAACCAAACCCTGGTATTGTTTATCGATATGTGATTCCTGGAAATACGAATTTACCGAGAAGCAGTCATCTCGCGCATAATGCAGGTATTATTTTAATATGATACATGTATTATTACATTCTTTGCTTTTCAAGTACTTTTTGCGCTAAAGAAAATGTTTCTATTATTTTTTATTAATTTATTTGGGTGCTTCCATATTTAGGATTGCTTTAAAGCAGAGCTTAAATTTGACATGTTGACGAAAAGATTTGTAGCATTATTTTTCTTCTTAAGTCAATAAATATTTTAATAATAAATTAATTCTTGAAAATATATATATTTACAGTTTCAAATAAAGGCATTGAGCCTGGTTTACAAAATAGAAGGTAAGAAATATTTCCAATAAATTCTAATATACAATATTTAATCAATCTGATATTTTACACAAATGAATTATAATTTACTTCTTAACATATCTTGTGTATCTAAAATTTTATATCTAATAGTTTTAAAGACTAGCCTATATTCTTCCTAGCAATTACAAAATTCCATTTTAGAGCCGACAATGGACCTGCAGCCAGTAACGTAACATCTTCACCATATCTATGGCGTAACAAAAGAAGAAAATTTGCTTGGAAGGCGATTGGTTACAGCGAGTGTAGCAAATCATGCGGCGGAGGTAAACGAGAACTGACTAATAATTAGTTTGTTTAGTAGCAATTTATGCATATTTGTGGATATAAAGACCTTGTGTATGTTATATAAGGTGCTCAGACACTTAGACACATATGTATCAAAGAACGTACGCAGCAACAAGTGCCAGAGAAGAGATGTCACGCGTTAGAAAAGCCACGGGAAATTCGTCTCAGGTGTAATACTAGGCCATGTCCGCCCAGGTGAGCCAATTTTAGTTTACATTCTGTATGGTAAATCTATTCTATATTATATGCATAGTTATCTGAAGGTATTAAATAATCATAGATACAAAAATATAAGCTTGAAATGAATGTGATTATATAAGTATTGCAATTATATTATTTTATTAAGTTTTTCATATATATTTTTTATTTAAAAAATATGTATTTTCAATGAAAGATATTTAATAAAAAAAAAAACTAAATTATATATTAAAAATGTATTATTATAATATTGCAAGACGATTTAAACTAAAACGCACTGCATTGCCATTGAATAAAGACTTTTCAATTATCACAAAAATCGAATTAATTATTCAAAATTATTTAACTAGCAGTCTTTAATTCCCTTTGAAAATAATGTAATAAAAAATCGATATATTTGAAAGATGGCGCGGCGGACCATGGAGTGACTGTTCCACTTCCTGCGGTACCGGAGTTCGTTAACGATGAGGATCGCCGATGGAGCTTGCACGGAATCGAGAGATTTGCCCACAAACGAGGTGTGCGAGATGCCAGCATGCGAGGAGATCAAGCAAACGTCAACGCAAATATCCTCTCAATCATCGTCACCGCGATGGATTGTAGGCGTTTGGTCACAGGTAATCTTATCCAATTATATATCTCATTGCCAGTAGAACGAGTCAATTTATTAATAGAACATCTTTGACCCACATGTTTTTAATTTAAAAAATTAAAAAAAAAATATATATATATATATATATCTTTAATTTGAAGTTATAATTGTTGAGCGAATTAATTTGTTGAGAATTAATGTCTAAAAAAAAATTTTAATCAAACTAATGAATATGTTGTTTATTTGGATACTTAGCTTCCACTTCAGGATAAACCTTCAGGTACTAAGCTCTTCTACCAACGTCAAAGTGTACCCTTTGGGAGAATTTATTTATATAATTTTTCTAAATATATATAACTTATAATTTATTTCAAGTAAAAGATTTTATTTTTGTCTTTGTCATTTTAACATAAGTAAACAAATATACAAATTAAAATTACAATTAAAGATAAAGATACTCAGAATATAATTAGATATTGTCCGTATGAAATGAAGGTGTGTATTTCAAATTAATTTCGATGTTTGGGTCATTATCACATATAAAATATAGCATGTTTATTTGAAAAATATAACTTTTAATTTAATGAAAAATTATTTATTAATTATAATTTTATTTAATATTATCATTTATCGCTAAATTTTTATTTTTTAATTCTGGGAATTTTCGTATTCTCTGATTTCTTTTTTTAAATTTGAAATTTTTTAAATTGCTATTTATTAAATAATACATATACGACGTAAAACAACAAATGACGTGCTTTGTAATATTTTAATTTATTTAAATATTGTGTAGAAAGATATTAAGTTAATTAAATATACATTTTTTATGTCGTTTGTTTTAAGTGTTCCACGTCCTGTGGCGTAGGAAAAAGAACGAGACTCGTAACTTGCGTTACTGATGATGCTCCGTGCGATCTTTCGGAGAAGCCTGAAGCACATGAGACCTGTGATTTGGGGCCATGTTTAGCGAAATCAATGCCATTGAGCATCATCTCCATGAACCTTCAGAGTCCGCAATGGTTATTTACTGAATGGTCTGATCAGGTGAACTGTTATCACTCAAGAAATATTTATAAAAGTTAAACGTTATCTTAATAAAAATGTGCACATGATTAACTTAATATTATTTAACGCGCACAATAACTTATTATTTATATATCCTATAGCGAAAAAAATAAATTAATTAAATTATTGCATTGTTTAAAAAATTTAACTTATAAAAATATTAAAATAATGCAGACTGAAATAATACCGATTTCAACTGTCTAAAATTATGGATTTTAGTGCTCGGCGGAATGTGGAACAGGAGTTCAAACTAGGAGGGTTTTCTGCGAGATAAGCTCTGACCAAGAGTACTGTGATGAATCTAACCGACCTGAAATCTCCAGAGATTGCGCGAGTAACAGAACTTGCAGCGGTCAATGGTTTACAGGGCCGTGGACGAAGGTCAGACTTAAACATAATCGTCTGATAATCTTACAAAAAATTAATTTTAAGTCGGAATTTATGAATAGGAAATAGTATTATCATATATCAGCCCTTGCTTTCTATTTCTGTGATAAATAAAAACGGAAGTAATTAGATTATTTCATTTTATACTCCTTAGTGTTCCTCAAGCTGCGACTTGGGTGAGCAAGTTAGAGATGTGGTATGCGTTACGAGCCTTCGAGGTTCTCTACGTGTCGTTCTAGACATGAATTGTCCTGCGAACAAGCCGGAAACTAGAAAACCTTGCAACGAACATCCTTGCGTATCGTCTTGGTTTATATCAGACTGGACGGAGGTAAATTATTTACTTGCTCATACATATATATATTACTCTAGAATCTCAAATACTTTAATATGTGTGGAATTTTTGACAGATTTAATGAATTATAATTGCTTTTTTAATCTGTTTGTAGTGTTCAAGATCCTGCGGTAAAGGCATTCAGAAACGGGAAGTCCGATGCTTAAATCCGGACGGCCAATTACCAGAACCTCATCAGATTCACTGCCGAGAAGACGATCGACCGATATCTCGAAGGACATGCAACGATTATCCCTGTAAAGACGATCTACGCGCGTCTGAAAATCCTCACAGGGTTTTGCAAGTTCAGGACGATCCTGAAATAACGAATGGTAAAACGAACTTTCCCTTTTATCAAGAAAGTGTTTCTGCTGCAGAGTTAGATAATTTAGTATAAATATATAAACATTTTGCAGAACTGCTGTAGAGCCCAAAAAACTCTTCTATATAAAAGTCATATAAAATGATTTATTATTTTATTCGTTTTAGGTGTCGAGAGCAATCCACTTTGCAAGGATAAAATAGCTAACTGCAATTTAGTCACGCAAGCTCGGCTCTGCTCTTACCAATTTTATCAAGAGTCTTGCTGTCTGTCGTGTTCTCGAACCAAGCAAGATTTGGAGTAGAAACTTATCGACAATCATGTTTACGATGACGCTTTAACGCAAAAATCTGCCTTAGTAGTATTCCCTGTTGATACACCGTCAATTAAAACTCGATTTTCAACGTCTATCGGTGCAGATAACTTTTCATTAATAAATTAATAAATATATCTGTATAGCAAAATTTTTGTACGTTCTATTTGTAGGAGTGTAGATGTGCATGTTATGGGCGCAGAATATAATTTAATACGAAGCCCACGATTCCGTAGATAAATTTCAATAAGATATTCGATAGAAAAACATGAGAGAGAGACTGATCGCGTGTAATTGCTAATTCGTTCAACAGTGATACAACATAATTTAAGTCCACATAATCGTAAATGTATATCGAGCATTAATAAAAGTTGCGCTTTTTCAATCCTCCGTTCCCTTACCTTATGCCTCTCTGCTTCTGTTTTTATTATTGAATGTTAATTTCAACGGAAAGGGAAATTTTTGACAAAAAAAGAAATATAATATATATTATTATTCAACGAAATTGATCGAAAGCCAGGAACGTGTACTATTTACATTGCCTCTATGTAAAGTAGAAATCTAACTTATTCCTTATTTACTCTTTCTCTTTCTTAACCAAATAAATTATATATACAGATAAAAGCTTTAACACGTTCTAAAACTAGATGAGAAACTCGTATGAAAACACGATAGTTTTCATACAAAATTGAGCTTAATAATTACAATTCTATAATTTTTTCCATACAAGGAAAATTGAGCTTAATAATTACATTTCTATAATTTTTGATTGACCTGCTGATTTAAGATTTATTTTCGCTTTGTTGCTCATTGTTTGTTCCGTTTTCGTGATTTTTGTACGCCGAAAAGAATGCTAGAGCCTTCATCAGCTGATAACTCTTGCTAATAGGTATATTGCTGTCATACAAGCTCTTGGAAGCTTTACAGTCCACGTAGAACCACCAGTTGCATTTCAGAATCGTTTGATCAAACAGCGTCGATTCCGGACACAGGAAACTTTTCATAATCAGTCCATCATCCGTCAGTGCACAAACGTGAAATACCTAAATAAAAAAATTAATTTTGTATAAAAATTAATTTAAAAAATTTTTTAAATAATAAAAATAAATTCTTTTATAAAATAATATAATTTTTTGTATATTTATATGATAATTTTAATTAAATATTATTTTAATTAATTATATTTAAATATACTATTAATAATATAATGTATAATATTATAATAATATCTAAGAAGAAGATTTTTTGTTATAAAATAAATTAAAAAAACTCTTTCTTGGATCATTTTTATACAATGTATTTTTTTAAAGATTTACCATGCATCCTAAATCTTCGTCGGCGTAGAGACCTGGAAAATGTTTCTGATCGCCGCAATAAAAGGTCGTGTCAGGCAAATCAACGCGACTTGCAAAATTGTCGTCAAAATTCTTGTCGTATCCTACCGGATAGTATTCCCGAGGCGCGTTCATCACTTTGGTGGCTCCAGAATTATATTTACTGAACATAAGAAAAATTTTAGTTATCGCTTCTTATTGTGGACTAACTACACTATCGTTACTGTGTATTTCGAGTATAATAAACAATCTATCCTATAGAAATTATTCTATTCAAAAAAAAATATTGGAAGGATTAGTTAAATATACAAAAATTAAAAACATTGATTGGATGTAATTTACTTTTTAAGAGGTGTCGTTGTAGTTGTTGTACTTGTCGTCATAGGTCCTTGCTGTTTTTTAAGAAGCTGCTGCTGTCTCAGAAGAATTGCCGCTTCCAAGGCTTCTAGAGTGATATTACTTGCCTCCGCGAGAGCCTTCAGAGAAGTTTCCATGCCCTGGATAGGAGCTAAGGATGGTAAGCTGTCAGGTAGGGACTGTTTTTCATTTTGTTGAAGAGGCTGATTGGTTTCAGCTGCAGCGACAGGCTGCAACGAAAGCAACGTCATTTCGTTCACTGAAGCAGCCATCTCGTCACTCGGCAAAGGTAGCTGCATGAGAAAATAACCATTTATAATTTGTAAATTACAATCCTCTCTCAAGATATATCTATACCTCAACGGCTAATTTTTTCAGAACATTAATTCTATTGACACGTAAGAATTAGACAGCCAATATACAAGAAGATATAATTCAAGGTAATTGTATAATATATATAATAATAACAAATATACGATAGTAATAATAAAAATAATAATTATAAGATATTTTTATAACCGAGCATATAATTTTAGCAAAATTAGATTATATGCATTACCTGAGTATAATCATCTTTTGGCAATTCATTATCGGAATCTTGCAAAATACCACTGTTACTGATTCTGTTTGTGAGTTTCACCGATGATTGTGGCATCGCGATGAAAGGTGGCAAGGCAGCATTTGACGCGATCAAAGTGCCTGTTACCTTTGATGACATCGGCGAAAGAACTTCGGTCATACCACTTTGTGGAATTGCAGCGACACTAGGTAGCTTCGGTACTGTCCCCGTTACTGCTATCATCTGCGGTGGCTGGAGATGGAAAGCAGAGTGAATTTCAGAAACGAGAAATGCCACAAATTATTACGAAGATTTAAAGTAATCTTAGTAATCAAATACGGAAATTATTACAATAAAATAGCAAAAAATATACCAGTTCCATCAGAATAATAATTAAATCCATGATTAGAAAGAAATAGCGTATTATTAAATGCATTCCAAGAGTTCTTCACATTGAAACAATATTAATTAAAGTGAAAATATAGAGCAAATTACTCACAGTAATTACCTGATCTTTTTTATTTTGCATCGTCATGATCTGCTGGCGTTGCGCGAGCATCTGTTGCTGCTTCTGCATTTGCTGTATCTTTTGCACATGCTGCTGCCTCATGGCCTCCTGCTGTTGCTGACGTTGCTGCTTCAATACCTGTAGTGCCAACGCCTCTTGTTGTATCCTCTGCTGCTGCTTTAACTTGGCTTCCTGGTGAATTCGTTGATGCTGTTGATGTAACGCTTCTAGCTGCGCCGACATCACCGGCGATGTCTTAACAGCTGTCGAGTTCACCACCAGCTTCTGACGTTCAGGTTGTTGGGCTAATGGTCGGGCTGTTCCAAGTGGCAAGGGTTTGAAAGGCGGCACCGCTTGGCGGGTATTTAGCGAGGCTGAATGCACTTCATCCCGATTGCCTACCTGAAAAACAGTAGAAAATTTTTTAAACAAAAAGTCTCGCAGTTCCATTTCTTCTTAATAATTTCAGATACTAATCGCAAATATCAACTCTATTAATGCAACACTCGCGAATTGGCACCGGTAAAAAAGCCGCGATATTCCGAGGAAATATTAGCAAAATTGCAATATAAACTCGGCGTACGTGAATGTAACCGGAGCGACATTCACGCATCAGTTGCGACAAGGCCGGTTTCGATAACTCGTATTATTTCTCGCAGCGCAGGGTGCAAAAAACGTGATCCTCTTATTTGATCAAACTAAATACCGTTCTCTCAAGGTGTTATAAATAAAACAGTATTTTTTACATGTATAAATAAAACAGTATTTTTTACAGATTGCATGAGGATAATTTCTTCCGTTGAAGAAGCAAAAGTGAATATCCGGAAACAATGCATCTAACGCGAAGCTGATATAAATCACAATATTGTTTATTCATGATTTTAACATCGCACGAGAAGGGGAAGAGGAAAAGGAACTTATTCTAACTATGCATAACAATTAAAGTTTCGTGATAAGTTACATTTTCGCATATAAAGTATCAGTTGCGAAACGGTGAACGTACCGTATATTTTCCTTGACGAAGTGGCTACGAAATGAAAAGTTAATAACGACGTTATGGAATGAGAGCTTGTAATCACGAGATCGAAGAGACAATATCGAGAGCGAATGAGATTAGATTGCACACCGTGTTATCAAATGATCAACGCTGCTCCTTCAAAGAGGAACTTGACGTTTTAACGATTAACGAGTGAACGCTTTCGTGCTGATCCCCTTTTGCGTTGGACTTTCCCTGAACCGATTTGCGTAGTTATCGTTTACATCGCGATAGATATCTCTGTATACAGGATGTTCAATGCGGATGTATCACGAAGTGAACGCGTTAAAGAGCAATACTGACACAGAAGGCAGGAAGGAAAGTTGGAAATATGAGAAATAAATATGAGATGAACCATCACCGAGAGTAAAATCAAAAATTCTATTTGTTTAATTCACTTAATCAATCTATTATGTATTTTAATATGCATATGCAATTTTTATTAAATACCCAGTTGTGATAATGTACATGTATTGTTCCAAACGTATGTATATTTTAAGTACTTTATTTACCTAAATAGATTCTTTCCCTTCCTTTGTCTCGTAAATGATGATTGATATAAATGGAATCGTTGGAATCGTTATTTCGGAAATTTTTACTTACCACATTTAAAGGATTAATTGCAAGGCCGTTAACTCTATTTTGCACGCTTCTTCTTTTCGCACTTTCCAAATTAGAGAGCGATTGGCTGAAGCCTAATTCGTCTCCAACGGAAAATCCTGCAATAGCCAGGCAATATTAAATTAAATTAATTTAATCAAATTATTTATATGGAGAAAAGATGTAAGATTCTTGAGATCTGGGAGAAGCAGTATACGATTTAATTTATTTACATAGAGGCAAAGGTAATACTTTTGTAGAAAGCTTCTAATAAGTATGTTAAGAGGGAATAAAGATGAGCACAAAGTATAGATGCATGAAGATAGATCAATCAGTTAGAAATTGCAGCTTTCAGATGCTTCAAACTTCACTTTTCCATCGTTCTTTTCCTACATTTCATCATACCTGATACAATTTGTATATATTTATATACAAGTTTCTACAATTCTACATATTTACATTTTTATTTTTCTTTATGTTATATTTATCTTTTTAAATTAAAATTTATAGATTTTTTTTGAGGTCTCTCTACAGTCACATCTGTATGTATGTCAATGCTAATTATGTTTATGTTAACTATTGTGATGCATAAATGTTCGAGTAAAACGCAATAAAATTGTAACTGTTGAATAGTTTTAAAGACAAGCAGATATTACGCAAAAGATATTGCTTCATTTTAACGTCTTTGACGGTAACTTATTGTTGCAATGAATGACATCTTTGATTCTTCGTTGCATACATTAAATGTAAATTGTGCCTGGAAATCTTTATGAAAATATTAGTCTGTAACTGGGTCATGTCAGAGCGATGAATAAATCATCAGCATTTGTCGCGTGTTTTTTAAAGCTGCATAACTGCAATAAAAATCGGTTGAAGGGCAGCATTCAATGCAATCCACAGATTAAACCATTGCGATTCTTATGCAGATCAATTAGGTTCAGATCAGAGTTCTCAATACTATTTTTTTCGATATTAACACAATTTATATACAAAGTCTGTTTGAAATTAATTAATTATAAGATAAAGATGAATTAATCAATCGTTAGAGGAATAAAAAGTTAAAATGTAAAGGACAAATATTTTTAAGAATCGATAACATTATACAAACACGGCAAAATATACAACTGGATATTTCCATCAATTCTATTTATTCTGTTTTATTCGTGATAATTGTAAGAAGGAGGAAGCAGAATTATATAAATCGTTCGATTTGACAATTTGATTTGGTATCAGGATGTCGATATAGTATCGCGATCATTATAATTTATTAATGTACTTATTATATCCTTTTTCTTCTGTCTTTGGTCTTATGTAATATTTGAATATATAATCGGATGTGCAGTCTTGTCGACATCGTGGCGATAAATGTATTTACTAGATTGCAAATAACGCACTGACTTTGTTACATTATTCAAGCTATCTTGTTTCTCAATCCTTCGAAGATGATATAAGCACAAATAAACACGTAAAAGACAAATTGGTAGAAACTCATTTCGTAAGTCTTAAACTATGAATAAATTTCATATACAAACTAGGTCATGTATAATTTAGAAATCATTATAGAAATATTACATTTACTATATAATAAAAAGAGTTTCACAATATTGCGAAAATGCATACATCTGTTTAAATAAGAATATAACGCAATATAAAGGGATTCGATTAATTTATTATCGAGTGATAGGGATCTTAAGTTCGCTCTTGAAGAATGTTCTTGACAAGAAAATAATTTATAAATGCAGCACATTAAAATAGCGTAACATTTTAACCAAAGTTGATTAGATATTTATATATATGTATTACATAATGTATCATATAATCAAATGTGTCAATTTTTTTTTTAAATACAAGTATGAAAAGAAATGTCAAGGTAAAAGTAGTGACATTAATCTATACCTGGTTACAAAAGTTATATAAATGTGAGTAAATAAATGCCAACTAAATTAAAATTAAATAAATTACAGCATTCTTTGTACATAAAATATAAATATAATTTACTTTTACACATAAGATCTAGTTTAAATTGCAGTAAACTGTTTTGTAGTTTAATTAAATAAATTAATATAATATAATATATTAAATAAGATATTCAGCTAAAGTAAAATATATATTTAATGGAATTATTTTTTTTAAATATTAAGTATTTAATAAAAGTGTTATTCGAATTATTTAATAAAAATGTATATATTTAATAGAATTATTTTTTCCTTACAAACTGAAAGCGAATGAGACGTATATAATATTGGAGTTACTACATAAAAATAATTTTTTTTCTAATGCGGATTTAAAGAGACGATTCGGTCGGCTACTATAGTTTCTTGCCTCCTAGTTCTCTATTTATATCTCCGATGAGATTAATCGATTGAATCGGATCAAAAAATCAATCTGCCGATAAACACAATTATTAAGATCGATCGCGATCACTCCCATAATTCAACTCACCCAGGCCGACGTAACCTTTTACACCTCCGAGGTTTCTGACCCGAAAGAGTCCGGACTTTTTGAAAGCGCAGTTTAGCACGAAACCAAAGTCCGACTGAAATACACATGTGCATAGTGCCTCTCGCCACGTACATCCTGTAAGCAAAACCGGAAAAAACAAAGCCATGGATCGTTTCCATCGAATCCGGAATGATCCACGCGATGCGTTACGCGTTCATCGTGATATAATTTTGTGAATTTTAAGAGCTTTAAAGCTGCTTATTATATTAATGATGCCTGTCAAGCTTTAATTTGCATGCAATTTTGATTAGAGAATATGTTTAATTGTATTTTGCCAATTTTCATTGTCAAGTAGTTATGGATTAAATAAAAGATGAAAAATCTGTTTTTATTAATATAGGAATAAATTTTAGAAGTATGTATTTATAAAAATTTAAATGAAAAATTTTTATGATAATTTTATGTATGATATATTTGCCATATATCTTGAAATCATTGAATAAAAAATTTATTAAATTAGCACGTAATGATTGTAAATAATAAATAATATTATATAAATAAAAACTGATACAATTAAATATATGAATATTTAAAAAATTTTATTTTAATATATCACGTAATGTAAATGAATGTATGTCATTTCAATGAAAAAAGAAATTGATGCTTATCAGAGTACATGCTTGTAAGCGAGGAGAGCACGCATATTCTGTGCTATTAATTCTTCAGTCTGTTAACATCGTCTATTTTAAAGAGATGTATTTCCACGCATGTAAAATATCTATCTGATTAAGTGAACAAATCTCAAATAAGATTAATGTGAATTCTTAGATGTTTAAGAGAGAACTCTATAATTCGCAATTTTTATTATATTATTTTTGTTAAATATATATTTTTACATCGTATACGTATTGGGGTATTTATATTATATACGGGATTGGTTTTATATTTATTACAAACATTCTGTTCATATATAATATAATTTTAATAAATTAATGATAACAATATTGGGATATCTTTTATTTGGGATCTTTTTTTTATTAATTAATAAAAATCTTTTTAATTGCCAAATAATTATTTATTAATGACGATATAAATATATCAGTTGATCAAATAAATCATGTTGTAAAACATATATAAAAATTGGAGTCTAAAAAAAAATCTGCATTAATTTTTGTCTTTCTCAACCTCTTTTCTCAAAGGTTATTTCAGAGGTGAATAGCTTTGTCATCATATAATCATCATGACAAAAAATAATAACAAATTTACATCCATGAATGTTTTCTCTTTGTTTAAACATAATTGCAAGCGATTGTAGGCCAAATACCATTAAATTGTCCATCATCTTGACTTCTATTTTGTAGCAGCATTTTCTACTTTCGATACATTTTTATATATTTTTATCGAATATATTTTTTATCTTTACAAAAATATGTTATTTGTACTTTTAATAATCGTATTGTATGTGTATTTATTACATTCTAAAAATAATTGCTTTTTTATTTAAATTTATGTTCATCTCTTCTTGATTATCAAATAAATATTTTCAATAAATCACAAATATATATCACTTTATATAACGATTATATACTTGAATCATTAGCTCAATAAATTATATTAAAATGTGCACCTTGAGAAATGTACAAGTTTAAAAGCATATTTTGCAAAAATTGCACTTTCTCGTTTTTGCAAAAACGAGGGGCACTCCAAACTTCGTGAAAGGTACTTCCGGAATTTCTTCAAAGAACATTTGCCGGATCCGAGGCGTGCCATTGGGCCAAGGCCTAGTGACCCACTTGAAGCCTGACTAAACGTTCTGTCTTGAAGAAGCGCTACGTATTACATGGTGCCTTTATAACCAAACTGCTTTCTTATCGACGTCGAATTCTTCTTGGATCATTGACTTTTAATCGATATATAATCACTACCGTGCTTAAAAGGTAACCGCGATTTATCATTTATTACTTTCTTTTTAACTTTATTATCAAAACATTTATTACATACGTTCTTTAGATTTTTTCTCGTTAATTAGGGAAAAAACATTAGAAAAATATATATAACATACAATCAACATTTCATAAATTATATTTATTTGCAAATCTAAAAGAGCCGACAATTGAAACTGCTTTTGTTTTCAATTAGAGGCAGCTAGGTAGGAATTAATAAAAACTTTGTGGAAAAAAATTAATAAAAACTTTGTGGAAAAAATTATGCAGGCTGCGTGCGGCAGAGGGCATAAATTGCCATAGTGCATAAATTACATTAATAATTACAACGGGTTGGATTATTAATATTGTTTCGTTCTCTTCTGACGCGAAGTTCGTTATCATGAATGGTTCTTTTTTTCTCTTGCCCTGAATTCGTTATACAATTGTATTGCACTACGACAAACGAAACCCCGGAAATGGAGATTTCGTAATATGGAAAATTTTCTTTGAATAGAAATTCCACCGTTTCGGTCCGACAAACAGGAATAAGCTTTTTTTCAGAACCATCGATAATCATATGTCGCGTGTACATCATTTATGTGATAGCGAGAAGTGAAAAAGTCGAGCGAAAAAAACGACTCACCTCTCAAAAACTCTCACTTCGATCCGTGATTAATTAGATTCGATTTCACACCAACTATTTTAAAATAATATTTCAGCTGAATATAGATTTGTTTATTATACATATTTTATATTTTAGTAAAACGAAAAGTAATATTTTACCACACAATTTAATATTGATAAAAAACCGTACTTATGAATAATGTAAAGAAAACATCGACAAAATAAATTGCTCCTGTATTAAATATTTGAATAATTAATATTTTCGCAAGATCTTGTCATGTAGGAATTTGTCATTTTATATGTCAAGCTAAGCATCTGTAATAAAAAACAAAAAATGAAAACGATGACTTTTGACAGCACAAATCACGCGTATACTTTCACTGTTTCTCGCTTTTGAGGGGTGTCTGATGTAATCGAGTCACGATACAATCCTCAAGAGTTATACAGGATCTTAATAATGATGATATTCACTTTTCTTTGGTTAACCGGGTTCCTCGGTCACATCGGAAGACATAACAATGTCTTCGTATACTAGCTAACTGTACATACGGCCGTACTTTCCCAAGGCTGGCCTTCACCTTGACTGCTCCAGCAACTTCTGTATTATTATTCTATTATCTTTGGGATATCGTAAAAATGGATACCGGTTATAGATGGAACGAGGAGAAAATCGATACGGTCGACATTTAGAAAGTAATACTAAAATCTCTCTTCTTACGAATACTAGCAATTTTCGATGATAAAATGAACATTTAGTGATTCTTTAAGCGTACATAATAATGTTGATCATCAATCAAAGCAAAATTGATTTGATAGAAGAAAGTAGTCATTTTACTCTCTATATATTTTTATTAGAGTATATTATAGAGTAGTCGTTATTTATTATCTATTTTTCTCATCATGATATGAAAGAAATCGAGGTAAATATTTTTATTAGATAAAATCGAGTAATATTTTTATGAAATAGCGTTTGAAATATCCGTAAAATGGGTAAAACAACTAACAAAATTTTTTTCTATAATTATAAGTGTAATAAATAAATAATACATAACGTTCAATCAGCATAAACAATGAATATAACAACTAGAAAGTATGTGAATAGATGACATTTACATAAAACACGTTGGCCTAATTCCCTAAATCCGTATTTTATGAATCTTGATAGATTATTTGGAAAAATACTGTTCATTTTTTGGAGAAACTCAAATTTTTGGTTAAATTATTGCTGTTCCAAAATTTGCGAAATAATATAATCCCTTACTTTTGTATCACATGCTACTTTTTCGAGTCTACGTAAATAATTTGTTGCATGTACAATATATAGCAAATAAACAGCTTAATTATAAATAAATTAAAAATAACAATATATTCTAACATTTTAGAATAAATAATATTTTGTGCACATGATAGGCTCCTTGAAAATATTCAAAATATCTTTTTGATGTACGATATAAAATAGATAAAAATTATCAATAGAAAAAATAGATATTTTATTTAAATGTGAGATTCTGAAGAGTTCTAGAGGATTTATATACTTACTTTCCTATTCATCTCGGCATTAGATATTACTATAAAAGCCACTTTTCCGATAATCGCGTGGAGAAAGCTTTCGCGCATCTTTAATATAACGATATTATGCGTTATGTGACATGACATGTTTTGTGGCACATAAAATGTGCATGTCATGATGTCTTTCATAAAAGCCTCGACCGAGACATCTCTCTCTCTCTCTCTCTCTCTCTCTTTTCCTTTACTTTTATAAGAACGATCGATAATATGCAGTTATATTTGTAGAAGCGAAACGGCTTCACAGTCCCTTTCTCTTAGATCACTTTCAATCGCAATCGTTCAGTGATTGAAATTGCGTACTTTCGTCGACGCCCTGCTCTATTTTTTCCACTCTACATTCTGCGACAAGTGCACCTGATCTTCTTGCACTTTCTATCCTGCATCAATGAACGGATCAATAGCAATACTTTTCTTTACATAGTAAATTTCTGTTCTCCCACATACATGGATTGTTACGCGCGCAACTTGTCGCGTAAGAAACATTTTGTTACGTGAACCTATTTGGAAACACATTTAATCATATGAAGCTCTCTAGAGAATTACAAGTCGCAATATTTAATTTCTTTTAATATTATTAGAAAAGTAGATACTAAAAGAATAGAATTATCAACTTTCCAACATGTGATTCATGTATAAAATAATATAATATTTAAAATTTAAATAATATTGTATATATATATATATAAATAATATTGTATATATATAAGTGAAAAGTGAAATATAAGTGAAATATATATAATACAAATAAAGTCTTGCAACGTTTCGCTAGTTTTTTGGTATTGACCTAACATTTTATCATTAATAATAAATTATACTGCATAAAGTTCTCTCTCAATTTATAATATGTTGTTATTTATTTCACTGAATAAAACAGTAAGTCGCGAAATGAACAGTTTATAATATTATCAAACTTTTTATGTAATATATACAAAGAAATTATCAAACACTGTTAATTATAGAAACGTTACGAGTAATTATAGATTTGTCATTATTTACATTGTATATACACAGGTTAGCTATATATATAATATGTACACCGACTGAGTTTGAGATTTGTTTTATAATTCTTGGACAAATAATTTACAATGTCACGCACATTTAATTAAATAGACTTTTATGCGTTTTCGAAACATACAAGGCTACATTTTACAAACGCTTATTTTATACATATTATTATAAAAAATACTATGTAAGAAAATTAAATTATTATATAATATTATTATTTACAAATATTTTGATCGATCGAAAGATTGCAAGGAAAAATTAATATTTGTAAATAATAATATACATATAAACAATTTAGTTTATCACTCTTTTAAAAACATTTTGATTGATCTTGATTAGAGCTATATATTTTGTTGTCGGAAAAACAATAAAAAAGAATTTTCGCCTAAGTTAAAATTTTCAATTTCTTCGTGTGCTAATTCTGGTGCATCGTGATGATGCATCGAGTGCAACGCACTATAGTATCGACCCACGAGAAGTCCGGCTACTTCTGCGTAACCATCGTAGTCACGCTCAGATCATTGCAAACAGTAGCGTGAAATTACGGAAAATTATTTTTGCGCGACTCACGTATGTAAGTATGACACGAGTTTTCCGCGAGGCATGTGTAATGCTCGCTTAATACGCCGCGCACGAAGACTCATATTTACAAGTACGTTTTGTCGCAGAGCGAGAAACTTCTTTATTAGAGAGAAACGAGGCTATTAGTACAGTAAGAAAGAAATACGCCAATTAATTGATCGAGCGTGAATGGTGCAGTCAGGTCTAGAAGATACAGACGTCGGAGTCAATAGCACAGAATAAAATTATGCGATTCATACAAGGCGCAATGTAAAAAAATAAGAGAAAGGCCCAGCAACCTACAACAGCCCAGTAGAAACGTTAACGGTTTTTACGATCGGTTTCCAAATATGACTCTATTACAGATCGGTGACTTTTAATATCTATCTAACGTTAGATAGAATGTTAAAAGATAAAATTGATAAAAGATTAAATATTTTATGCAAAAACTTGTACTATGAGTAAAAAATAATATTTTAGAAAAATACACAACAATATAGATATTTTATTAAAAGGAATTATATATTAAATACTAATCATAAGTCTCTGATAATATGTCATAAAATCAATCAATTAACAACGTAATCATTTAAAAGTAATTACTTTTAAATAAAATAATATCTGAATGAGCAAAAAATACAATCTGACGATTTTCCTTTTTAAGAAATATATTAAAAAGTTATTACTATCATATTCTAATATTTGTGCAAATACAATTGATATCAGTATTTAAAATATACATGTTTAAATGTATTATTAAAACATGATCATGCATGAGGAAATTTGAAAACCGATATTTCGAATAATAAAGAAAATATTTTATAAAAATCTACATTTATTAATCAAAATATCAAGTAATTGAAATATTTAATGTAGTTGTTGTTTTATGACACAAAAATTCTAATATTTGTGTCACAAAGTCAATTGTATAAATGAATAAATATAAACTACTCACATATGCGTTTACTTAATAAATCAGTATATTTTTAAAATAAATTGACGATATGTTGATGTTCAATCGTTTGATTAATACAAATAGTATTCTCCAAAAATATAATTAAATTGAAACAATGTATATAGATAGCACTAAGAACGATATAAAATAAATGGATGAAATTTAAATGCTCTTGCACACATCCATATCAATTAGATGCATCTAATGTATTAAAAGTAAACTGTAATTTTATAGTGAATTTTATAATAACAATATAATAAAAAATTTAAAATCCACACAAAATTATAAAAATCATAAAAAATCATAAAGAATCTGTAATCTGAACAGGAAGAAAAGAGAAAAATGAGTGTATTGTTAGAGAAAATTATTTCAAAATTTCTTAAAACAGCGAAAACTCTTGCAACTGCAATTTAAATCTTTGAAAATTATATTTTAATTCTATGTTTCACATAAAAATACGAAAATACGAAAATTAAGTAACATTCTTTTTTACAAAATAAATGAACTATCAACTATATCATTCTTCAAACGAAAGACAAATTACTTACCGACGACAACGAAAAGAAATAATGTGCTAGCGATCTTCATTTTCGCCAATCCAGTTTTGATTATTACAGGAAGAAGAATTTTAAAGATTTCTAAAGATAAAGATGATCTTGAAATTTGCAGCTTCTTTCAGAAATAACAGATAAACCGGCGAATAACGCGATAAACCTCGTGGAGAGAACTTGTTTGCAAGTTAATCGACTTTGTCCTTGCTGCAAATGATCGACGATGAAAAACGTGCAGCAGGTTACTCGATCCCGCGGATACTAATAGCGCATGGATATGCTCGACGAAGGCAAGCACTTTCAAACTTCATCTGGCCTCCAGGGCCGTCTGAATCCAGGCCTTACGCATTTGATCTCTCATATAAAATACAATGTTCTAGAAGACTGAAACTTGTATAATTCTAAATGTGCATTTTTTAATAATATATGACCTTTCATAATTTAATAATAAAATATGTAAACAATTATTATAATCTTCAACCTTCGAATCTATTTCTATCTTATTTTTATCTTTTTTGATTATTTATTTTTTTCATATTTTAGATTATTATTATTATTTATATTTTGAAATAAAATATGTTAATATAGATATATTAATTATTATTGTAAATTTAGTACTTGCAGATACAATCTTCTTGATTTATTCTATAAATATTTTCTTAATTTACTGTTTTTTATATGCATGGATATGCTATGTTCAAACAAATTATCAGAAAATTTTACAAGAATTTATTTAATGATATTTTTATTATAAAATTACAAGTTCAATCAATATGTAAATATTTTTAAAAAAGCATTAATTTAAATTTAAGATATTAATTTTTAATTGAGTGCTATAGAATCTTAAATCATACATTACGAAGTAAGAGTTAAACATATTATGTTGAGATTTTAAAAATTAAAGAAGATTCGTTGCAAAAGCAAGCCGACACTGTATGACCCCACCAAGCTTCACCAAGAACGGCCCGTTTACGGAACAAGTCCAGTGCACGCGCGCCACAGCAGCAAGTTAATCCTGGCGAGGTGCCGGTGACCCACTCGGAAACGATAACGGGACTGACGTGCGTTCATTCAAAGACAACAAAATCGATCACACTGACTGGATACTTGTTCGGAAAATGAAAAATGCGAAATTTTATGATATTTATTTGCAAAATTCATTGCATTTTACCCCATTGTTTAACACATAATACACATACACATGCATTATAATTTAAAAGTTTATATTAATTTATAAATAATAAAATCATTGCATGAACATTAAGGATAAGAATATCAAAACAGATATGTCCTGATGAGATGTCGATGTTTCGGAAACGATAACGTAATAGACATGCGTTCATTCAAGAACGACTAAATCGATCACACTGACTGGATACTTGTTCAAAAAATCGAAAACGCGAAACTTTATTATATTCATTTCCAAAAATCATGCATTTTACCTCATTATTTAACGCATACACATAATACACATAAATACACACACATATGTACACCACAAGAGAAATTTTTTTATCACAATTTAAAAATTTATAATAATTTATAAATAATAAAAATCATTGCGTGCGCATTAAAGAAGAACATTAATACATATATGTGTGTGTGTGTGTGTGTGTGTGTGTGTGTGTGTGTGTGTGTGTGAGAAATGTGAAAGAGAAAAATATTATTATATAGATATGAAATCAAAAGAAAAAAAGAATATTAAAAAAGATGAGAATATATAAAAAGCAGATGCAATTTACTTCGAATATTAAAACAGATTCGATCTATAACACTTTCTATTACACTAATTTGTGAGCGAAATAGCATTCACAGTAAATTCACAGAGAGGGAAGCTCGATAGGAAGATTGAATATATTATTTACATTTGATATTTCGTGCAAATTATACACTGATAAATGCATTAAAAGAGCACACATTTCATTGAACACAGTATATAATTTCATTTAATTGTTTTGACAGTTCTACATGTTTATAAAGTAATACATTTGCACCACGTAAAGGTCAAGAATGAGAGAAGAGTCAAGTTTTACTTTTTTCACAACATTTAAAACATTAAACTGTATTTCTTAAAGAAAGAATAATTTAATTAATCTGATTATTATTCTAATTAAATCGTATATGAGTATGAACAACCAATACGAAGATCGTTGAAGAAAAAATTTGAATTTTCTGTTTGCTGAAGAAAACTTTATTTACAAATCTTTATTTTTTTCAATCATCCACAATAGAAATATATCATTTAATAATTAAATATACATATATCCTGCATTTTTGTTTATATATAAAATATTTAATACTATTTTACACATGTATAAAACTATTTTATGTATAAACACTACTTTATACATTAATATATTATATTTAAAAATGTAATTAAAAAACTTTACGTATTCTTTATATAATTTAAAATTGTATTATTTAATTCAGTCTTTATTTTATGTAAGTGTGAAAAAAGTGAGAAAAGTGTGAGAAAAGTTATTTTATTTATCGTTATCCAAATAAGATTCTTATTATTCTACGTATTATATAACTACGAATAAGAGATGTAAAGGTCTCTCGATTATTTGGACGTAATTAATTAATTGTTGTCCAAAAAAAAAAATATCAGTTGAAAAGAAAAAAGAAAATTACAATTTAGAATTTATGCAAAAACTATTGACATAAAGAATGAATTAATATGCAGGAATAAATATTGAACAAAATTCTTAAGAAACAGTTTCCGAAAGATTTCAATAATAATTTTCTATCATAAATTGATTATTTTAATTATGTATATAAAATATAAAATATTTAAAAAATAATCTATAATATTTCATATTTTATATTTGTATAAGAAAATCGGTTGATAAGTTCTTTGTTATAAAGATGTAGTTAATATAATATAATGATGTATTATCTTTATTATTATGTAAATGTAATTATATACATTTACTTTACATTAACTGATTCTCGATCGATATTCTTATAAAAATATCATTAAAAATTAAATATTTTAATTCAAAATATCGTAAAAATAATTAATCAATTATCGTAAATGAATAAATATCTTGAGAGAAATATCTATTAAATAAATATTATTTAATATCTGTTACTATTTTTTAATGACATATTTTTTACAATAATAAAATGATCAGATTATGAAAAAAAAATTATATGATTTCATTTATAAATTTTGAAATTTCGCAAATTATACATAATATTGCCTTTTTTCTTTTTTTCCTTTCTGAAATAATAAAAACATGATTTGTAAAATGAATAAAATGATAATAATTTGAGTTATTCAAAATGCTGCGTCAGATCAGAGATTTAAAATTTCAACTATATAAAGCAGTTACAATTTGATTTGATTTGTCTAATGCGTAATTCAAGTTATTTTTAATATCTTATTTAAATAAATTAATCTATGTATTTAATACGATATTAATTTAATATTAATGGGACATGAGTTCAAATGGGATGAGATAGCCATTTTGGATGAGGAACCGTCCTACAGAAGAAGACTTTTTTCAGAAATGTTACACATTGCCATCCAAAGGCCTAAATGTTCAAACTGACACATTACGTTTAGATGCATCCTATACTCCTGTCATCAATAAATTTCAATCTTAAAGCCTTCTTTTCTGCCTCTCTTAATTCCTGTATCTTCCTGGTAATGCCATCTAACTTTATTCTGCCTCATTATTTTTTCCCACCCTTCCTTTCCTTCTTCGCTTTCATATCCATTCGTGTTTGTTACGTGTCAGGATTCACATCTTTTCTCCTTAGTCTGCTAGCTGTTTCCTTCTGGTCCTTGCTTTTTCGGATTGACAGGTACTCTCATTTATTTTATTATGTCTTTAGTAATCAGTGATAATTCTTATTCAATTCAATTCATTATGCCTTTCTGAATCATTGAATTTTTCATTGTATTTTTTGCATGTGTTTCGGTGATATGTGTTGCTCCGTTATGATTTCTTTTACAGATCTTCATTTATTCTGTTTGGAAGTATCTTTACCACCTTTCTTTCTTCCTATTATTAAAACCTGCATTTTCCTGGAATGAAGCATTTTTGAGAAGACACATTTTCATTCTTGCTTAACGGATTATGTTTTCGACTGCTTTTTTACCAGCCCTGAAAGGCTGGCAGGTGAGCATCACATATGGCTGTTTCGCGTGTGGAAATTTCCGTCTAAGAATTTCTCTCTTTATAATTATGCGTGCGCTTTTTATTATATCCGATTTATCTTATATTGTTCTTGTATTTTTTCTGTTTGCGTCCGTGAGATCTCTGTTTATATTGACTTTATTGCGACTTTGACTTATGTTTTATTTTTATAATTTTCCGTTAATTTTGAATTTTTGCTGTTAAACATTGATAATGATCCGAACGGGATCGAAACGCGCGTCTGTCGTTGTAATTAATCGTCAACTGATAATTTTATAAGTTACATGCGTTGACTTATTATATATTAAAAAAATTTCTTTTAATTGTAGCTATCATTATCCTAGCGCTGTGGTTTTTTTTGCCTGTTTCCCTCAATTCATTTTGATTGTTATCTTATAACCACTTTTATAATTTTATAATCTTTATTGAAATGTACAAGCGTCATTAAACTTTTTATACGAATAGGAATATTCGAACGAATAATAATTAATCAGGCGGTTAACATTGTATGCTCTGTCCTGTGAAAAATAATATTTTTTATAATACTCTGATCTTTTGTAATATTAAAACGCATAATGATTCGTAATACGGAAGTGAAAATATTAAATTACTGTAAAAATCGTATTATCTGTTTTAGTTTCTACCTTAGCATTTATTATATTTACCTCGAATTTCTTTTTCTGTAACAATCCATTATCATTCGATTTTTGTATCTTTCAATAACTTTATTGCTCTGATCTCTTTATTTAATATTTTATTCATCTTTTCTTCAGAGTTATTTATTTGTTTCAGTAATTCGATTGCGTTGTTCGTTTCTGTATTGGAGGATATTTGTTGGTTTTCTTCCTCAAGAATGACGTTCTGCTATCGAGACATTGAATGATTCCATTCCAGACGTCTTATCATTCTTATTCTTTAGTTGTAAATTTTTTAGTTGTAAATTTGTTTTTTCTTTTTTATATAAATTTTCATATAAATTCTGAAGCTTGATCACTTTCGTGGCCAATTTCATTAGTTCTATCTCTGTTTTATGTTTCTCGATGACCAATGTCATCAGCGCGATTTGATTTTCTATAACACGTTGCAGCCACCATTCAATCTCTGTATATAATTTCATTATTCTATTCAACAACATGATGTGCATGTCAGACTTGTCTTCCTTGTGTTTAATCTTTTGCTTTTTATCGATGTTTTTATCTTCATCTTGACATTTAACGCGTATGTCCTCGTTGCAACACAACTTTTCAATCATCACCTTGTATACTTGGTTCTCAAAAACACATTTCGATATCTCACTTTCCAATTCCAAAAATTTCTTTATTATATTCTGTGTAATGGAATTTGTACGCGTGATCTCTAACTCTTTATCTGATATATTGTGTTTATCATGAAGTATTTTATGAAGTATTATATGAATACAAAGTTTCTTTTCATAATTCTTCCTGATTTTTTCATGAACTTTCATGATTTCTTTATGATTCTTCATAATTTCTACATGATTCTTCATAATTTCCTTATCATTCGTCATGAAGCGAAGATATGCATTCTGTTTCACGGACTCGCTCTCTTTATCATTGTCCTTATCCATCTTAATCATTTTGCTAGGCGATTCCATGTTTGTAATCTCATTTGCTGTTACGTTGTTTCTACAAATCATTCAAATTGAATATAATGCTCACTTTAATTATACATAAAAAAATTTTCTATTATATTTGAATAAAATATATATGTATATATATGTAAAAATAGAATATATATAATTAAAAAATATATCTATGATATATTTAATGTATTAAAAGATATAATATATTTAATACATTATAATGTATTAAAGAATTCTTATGTTATTATGATAAAGTACGAGAATTTAAGGAAGATAATATTAGTAAAACAAGAAAAATAATATTTGCATTATTTTATAAAAATTATTCTATTAAATTATATATTATTTTTAAAGTAAAATACAATAATTAATAGAAAATGAATAATCAACAAAAAGTCAATGCTTTAAGAAAACCTTATTAATAATAGCTCAAAATATTTAGAATATAATTATATGACAAAAAACTATTAATTTGCATGGATGCATTCGTTATCGATTGAGATTTATTAAAAATTATTGTGAATCTAATGAAAATTATGGATATTAAAATCGAGGATATTAAAATTCCTGCATAGAATAAGCATGTTATATCTATTTAAATTTCAATTATTTTGCGACGAATCGATTCTATATTAATCCACTGAACATCCTGTTGCTAATATCTAGGCATTATATGACTTGAGTTCTCAGAAATTCCGTCAGAAAATGATATTTTATCACTATATAAGATTTTGTATGAAATTATATACATTTTATCGCACATCTCGAAGAATTAAAATGCGACTTACAGGAATGTTCGTGACAATACAAGATATAATTTGGTAAAAACTCTACTCACAAAATTGAAATTCAGTTTAATAATATAAAATGTATCCTTATAATAACTGACAAATAATAATAAACAAATAGAATCTCACTTTATTCTTTATTGCGTGCCAAATTCTTTTGAGGTTGATCAATATTCTGGATAACAACTTATTTCAATCGTAATAGAAATATCTTCAGTCAACGAAATTCTTTATACTTTTCGGACACGTATTGAGCAAAACATCGAAAATAAACACGTGATAATAACAACACCAGCGCGACCTGATTATCGAAATTATTATTATGGACAACCGTCAGTTTTAAATTCAATTTTATATTCTATTAAAGTTAGAATTTGTGATAAATTTTAGATTAATTTAAATATATTAATAAAATAAAAAATATTCATATCAATCGTAATTAATAACAATTAGATAAATGACAATCGACTCTCAAAAATGGTATTCTATGTCGATACTCGAAAGTCTCGAAATATATTATTACCTCCTTTTCGGGATGATGATTGCTTACCTTACAGTGTTTACTTCATGCATATTTAATAACTTTTAATATTTTTAATATTCAGAAATGAAGTAGAATATTTTCTATTATACTTTATTTTCTATGATGGATGATAGTGATAAAAAGCATGACATGTTGGCGCGACGATTAAATAATTGACAAGTTTAATTCTTAAAGAATATTTGTCATTATATTGCAATAAGTGGTGGCGACGGCGGTGATTTTCTTCATTTTATCGTTCTTATTAAGTCGTTCTTTCGTTTATTCAACACAATTAATAAATTAATATAATTGTACCACGCAAATGTGAAGAGTAAGAGAGGAATCAAATTTTATTTTTTTTTTTTGTGAAATATTGAACTGCATTTCTAAAAGAAAGATTAATTTGATTAATCTGATTGCCATTTTAATTAAATCGTGATAATATGAGCAACTAATAGGAAAGTCGTGAAAAAAAATCGTTGAAAAAAAATTTTACAAATCTTTATTTTTCTTCAATCATTCACAATAAAAACATATCTTAATAATATATACATATATCATGCATTTTTGTTCATACATAGAACTATTTTATTTATTTTATACATAAAATTATTTTATGCATTAATGTCCTATATTTAAAAAAGTAACTAAAAACTTTTCGCATTCTTCATATAATTTAAAATCTTCAAACATTGTTGCATCATATAATTCACCATTAAGATAATTTAATTTTAATTTGTATTTTTTTATGTATTTATTTTGTTTTATTCAATCTTGATTTATCAAAAATTTATGAATCTTTATTTAATAAAAAACTTACAATATATTATCATCTACATGAGATTCTTATTATCCTGCATCTTAAATAACTATGAAAATAAGAGATATAGAGATCTTTTGATTATTTGGATATAATTAATTATAGTCATTAAAAGAAAAAGAATATAATAGAAAAAGAATATATTAATTGAAAACAAGAAACAAAATTTGCAATTTAAAATTACTCAGAAAACTATTGACGTAAAGAATGAATTGATATGCAGGAAAAAATATTAATCAACAAAAGTTATTAGAAAAAGTTTTCGAAACATTCCAATAACTCGTTAACATAAATTAATCATCTTAGTATGTGTATATAAAATATAAAATATTACAAAATACAATCTATAATGTTTCATATTTTATATTTGTATAAGAAAATTGATAAGATCTTTGTTATAAAGTTAATATAATGAGCTTTGTTATATAGCTAATATAATGTAGTGATATATGATCTTTATTATTATGTAAATGTAATTACATACATTTTCTTTATATAAACTGATCTACGATTAATCAATATCCTTACAAAAATATCATTTAAAATTAAATATTTTAATTCAGAATATCGAGTGAAAATATTCAGTCGTAAATGAATAAATCTTAAAATATCTTGAAAGAAATATCTTTTAAATAAATAATATTTAATATCTATTTCTATTTTTTAATGACATATTTTTTACAATTTTTTATAATAAAATGATCAGATTATGAAAAGAAAATTATATGATTTCATTTATGAATCTTGAAATTTCGCAAACTATATATAATATTGCTTAAAAGATATTGTTAATCGACAATATCCTTCGTGAAAAACATAATTTATTTTATTACTTTACGTATTTTTTCACCTTCTTGGAGTAACCACGATATTTTAGATTTAGATTATTATGTAAAATATTGTATTACATCTAAAAATCATTTCTTACTTTTTTCTTTTTAAAATAATTAAAACATGATTTACAAAATGAATAAAATAATAATAATTTGATTTATTCAAAATGCTACGTGAGATCAAAGATTTAAAATTTCAATGATATAAAGTCACAATTTGATTTGCTTAATATGTAATTCAAATTATTAATTTTTATAATCTTCTTTAAATATATTAATCTATGTATTTAATACGATATTAATTTAATGTTAGCTTTAATTTGTGATTGTTACTTTTAATGTTGATTTATGAAGCCTTACTTCTATATATATATGTGTAATTACCTTTCAATGTCTATAATAACAGTTTCGCCAAGATCTCTTTAACGAAATATCATTCGTGCTATCTAAATGATCTTTATCCACAATTGCAGAATAATAAGAATAATAACAATAATAGGAATAAGAATAATAGTCGTGAAAATGTTTTCTATATAAATAGTCCACCAAATCTTCCAAACATCAATTTGTTTATCAATTTTATGTGCGACGTTAGATATATCTTCTACTATCAAGGTTTCATTAGTCATTTTACTATTGTTTTCCAAAATTACATCTTTTCCATAAAGTAATGTTTCGTTACTAGTTGTGCCTGGATCCGTATTTTCAACTTCTTTGATTTTTTTTTCTTCTACAACCTTTATAACTTGATCCTCTTCGACAGTTTCGTTTAATATATATCCGTGTTCTTTGCTTTTATTGTTTACAGTAGTTTGACAAATGTTATTTACATGATCATTCATTTCATAATATTTTAATTTTAGGATGTCCTCAGCTAAGTTACAGTATGTATGTTTTATACGATTACGTATATGTGTATTTGCATCGCTAACGCCAAGCTGATTTTTGTCTCTTTGTTGAGATGTGCAAGCATCAATAAACTTTTTATAAGCATATTCCAACGAATGATAGTCGTCAGGCGGTTGGTATGCATTGTCCATAATATTTTTTATAATTTTTTGATCTTTTGTAGTATTAGGACGTAACGAAAGTAAAAAAATTAATTTTTTTATAAAAATTGTATCGTCTCTTTTATTTTCTGTCTTAGCATTTGTTACTTTATCTTCACCTCGAATTTGTTTTCTTATGATAATCGATTCATCCTTCGTTTCAATATCTTCTAATAACTTAATTGCTTTGGTCTCATTATTTAACATTTTATTCATCTTTTCTTCAGAATCTGTCACCAATTCTGTCAGAGAGTACTTGTCTACTTGTTCCGCTGATTGCTCGAATTTTTCTAAAACATCTTTAACTTCCTTAATGTTCTTCTCAGACAATGAGGCAAAATTTTCAGGTTTCGGTATAAAAATGGCTCGAGGTGCAACAACCTCTTCAAATAAATCATCGATCATTTCAACCTCAAATGGAGGAGGTATAAAAATAGACTTGTGTATATAATCCTCTTCATTTGAATCATCGATCATCTCGAGGCCAGCTGCTTTTACGTTCGTTGTAATTTGCTGTTGAGTTACTTCTATATTTTTTAACTTCTTTTTATTTTGCTTTTCCATTTCCTCTTCATTTTTATTTTGTTTCGATTTTTTTCGAACATCTTCAACTTCCTTAATGTTCTTCTCAGATAATGTGACAAAATTTTCAGGTATAAAAATGGCCCGAGGTGCAACAACCTCTTCAAATAAATCATCGATCCTTTCAATCTTAAATGGAGGAGGTATAAAAATAGACTTGTGTATATAATCCTCTTCATTTGAATCATCGATCATCTCGAGGCCAGCTGCTTTTACGTTCGTTGTAATTTGCTGTTGAGTTACTTCTATATTTTTTAACTTCTTTTTATTTTGCTTTTCCATTTCCTCTTCATTTTTATTTTGTTTCGATTTTTTTCGAACATCTTTAACTTCCTTAATGTTCTTCTCAGATAATGTGACAAAATTTTCAGGTATAAAAATGGCCCGAGGTGCAACAACCTCTTCAAATAAATCATTGATCCTTTCAATCTTAAATGGAGGAGGTATAAAAATAGACTTGTGTATATAATCCTCTTCATTTGAATCATCGATCATCTCGAGGCCAGCTGCTTTTACGTTCGTTGTAATTTGCTGTTGAGTTACTTCTATATTTTTTAACTTCTTTTTATTTTGCTTTTCCATTTCCTCTTCATTTTTATTTTGTTTCGATTTTTTTCGAACATCTTTAACTTCCTTAATGTTCTTCTCAGATAATGTGACAAAATTTTCAGGTATAAAAATGGCCCGAGGTGCAACAACCTCTTCAAATAAATCATCGATCCTTTCAATCTTAAATGGAGGAGGTATAAAAATAGACTTGTGTATATAATCCTCTTCATTTGAATCATCGATCATCTCGAGGCCAGCTGCTATTACGTTCGTTGTAATTTGCTGTTGAGTTACTTCTATATTTTTTAACTTCTTTTTATTTTGCTTTTCCATTTCCTCTTCATTTTTATTTTGTTTCGATTTTTTTCGAACATCTTTAACTTCCTTAATGTTCTTCTCAGATAATTTGACAAAATTTTCAGGTATAAAAATGGCCCGAGGTGCAACAACCTCTTCAAATAAATCATCGATCCTTTCAATCTTAAATGGAGGAGGTATAAAAATAGACTTGTGTATATAATCCTCTTCATTTGAATCATCGATCATCTCGAGGCCAGCTGCTTTTACGTTCGTTGTAATTTGCTGTTGAGTTACTTCTATATTTTTTAACTTCTTTTTATTTTGCTTTTCCATTTCCTCTTCATTTTTATTTTGTTTCGATTTTTTTCGAACATCTTCAACTTCCTTAATGTTCTTCTCAGATAATTTGACAAAATTTTCAGGTATAAAAATGGCCCGAGGTGCAACAACCTCTTCAAATAAATCATCGATCCTTTCAATCTTAAATGGAGGAGGTATAAAAATAGACTTGTGTATATAATCCTCTTCATTTGAATCATCGATCATCTCGAGGCCAGCTGCTTTTACGTTCGTTGTAATTTGCTGTTGAGTTACTTCTATATTTTTTAACTTCTTTTTATTTTGCTTTTCCATTTCCTCTTCATTTTTATTTTGTTTCGATTTTTTTCGAACATCTTTAACTTCCTTAATGTTCTTCTCAGATAATTTGACAAAATTTTCAGGTATAAAAATGGCCCGAGGTGCAACAACCTCTTCAAATAAATCATCGATCCTTTCAATCTTAAATGGAGGAGGTATAAAAATAGACTTGTGTATATAATCCTCTTCATTTGAATCATCGATCATCTCGAGGCCAGCTGCTTTTACGTTCGTTGTAATTTGCTGTTGAGTTACTTCTATATTTTTTAACTTCTTTTTATTTTGCTTTTCCATTTCCTCTTCATTTTTATTTTGTTTCGATTTTTTTCGAACATCTTCAACTTCCTTAATGTTCTTCTCAGATAATTTGACAAAATTTTCAGGTATAAAAATGGCCCGAGGTGCAACAACCTCTTCAAATAAATCATCGATCCTTTCAATCTTAAATGGAGGAGGTATAAAAATAGACTTGTGTATATAATCCTCTTCATTTGAATCATCGATCATCTCGAGGCCAGCTGCTTTTACGTTCGTTGTAATTTGCTGTTGAGTTACTTCTATATTTTTTAACTTCTTTTTATTTTGCTTTTCCATTTCCTCTTCATTTTTATTTTGTTTCGATTTTTTTCGAACATCTTCAACTTCCTTAATGTTCTTCTCAGATAATTTGACAAAATTTTCAGGTATAAAAATGGCCCGAGGTGCAACAACCTCTTCAAATAAATCATCGATCCTTTCAATCTTAAATGGAGGAGGTATAAAAATAGACTTGTGTATATAATCCTCTTCATTTGAATCATCGATCATCTCGAGGCCAGCTGCTTTTACGTTCGTTGTAATTTGCTGTTGAGTTACTTCTATATTTTTTAACTTCTTTTTATTTTGCTTTTCTATTTCCTCTTCATTTTTATTTTGTTTCGATTTTTTTCGAACATCTTTAACTTCCTTAATGTTCTTCTCAGATAATTTGACAAAATTTTCAGGTATAAAAATGGCCCGAGGTGCAACAACCTCTTCAAATAAATCATCGATCCTTTCAATCTTAAATGGAGGAGGTATAAAAATAGACTTGTGTATATAATCCTCTTCATTTGAATCATCGATCATCTCGAGGCCAGCTGCTTTTACGTTCGTTGTAATTTGCTGTTGAGTTACTTCTATATTTTTTAACTTCTTTTTATTTTGCTTTTCCATTTCCTCTTCATTTTTATTTTGTTTCGATTTTTTTCGAACATCTTTAACTTCCTTAATGTTCTTCTCAGATAATGTGACAAAATTTTCAGGTATAAAAATGGCCCGAGGTGCAACAACCTCTTCAAATAAATCATCGATCCTTTCAATCTTAAATGGAGGAGGTATAAAAATAGACTTGTGTATATAATCCTCTTCATTTGAATCATCGATCATCTCGCCGCCAACTGCTTGTACGTTCGTTGTCATTTGCTGTTGCGTTGCTTCTATATTTTACATACAAAATGATATACGGGTTATTTGGGAAAAATTATTTGCAAATTTTAAGTTTAAAAATTAATATCGCGATTGAAATGTATTGTAAAAAAACTTTTTTAACTTATGGAATTATTTTTACCTGCTCTATATGCCAATGAGAAATTGCCCAACTTTACCGAAACACTTCTTTTTCTTTTTGTTCTTCTTTAACATGCTAATAAGAGTTCACCCTCCAAAACATCCTATATAATAATATATTTAAAAAATATATTTAAAAAAAATTTTTGTATTTTAAAAAAACTTTTATAACTTGGAATTATTTTTACCTGTTTTGCATGTCAATGGGGGATTGTCCATCTTTACTGAAACATTTCTTTTACTTTCTGTTCTTTTTTTGCTTACTAATGAGAGTTTGCCCTCTGAGACATCCTATATAATAATATATACGTACATAACATATAAATATATACATATAAAATTTATAGATTTTTTATTATACATTTTTTAAATATTTTTTAATATTAAAATTAGTAGAAACAATTATACATATAACATATAATTTTACTGAAATTACTTATTGATATAAAAAACTACTATTGAATTTGATATTGATATGATTATTGACTATTGATATAATAACTTTAATAATTATTTGAAATCACTTTTTTTTATTTCTCTTAAAATTTTATTAAACAATTTTTTTTCAAGAACATTAGAAAAATTTTTTAAGATTTCTAAATTCTACAAGTGTAAATAAGAATAAAAATGTTTTTATAATTATAATTTTTTTTTTAAATAGATTTCACTAAAATTATCTCTTGTTTTATGACCTTTTCTGTTATGAACTTAATACAATTTATAAATTCTGGGAAACGAATCAAATTCATTTTTATATACAATAATTTATAAGAATTCTTATTTGATTTAAAATTATAGTTGTTAAATTATATCGATTATTATTTTGAAAATTATATCAATATCATTAATTTTAAATTTTAATAGAATTGAATCCTTCCATATGTATTTATTTTTATGAGAAACTGTATTAATTTGAAAAGTAATAATAATAATAATTATGAATGTATTCGTTACTTATTGCCGAAAATATATATCATATTTACTTTTTTGTTATATACAAAAATTGAAAGTTTACTTAGATTACAGTTAATAAGGAAAAATTGTAACGAAAAGTAATTAAAAAATTTTTTTTGATAACTATAATATTAACAATTACAAAAAACGCATAAATTTCTAATCCTGATTTATTTCCATGATTTTATACTCTATGAAATTCTTCTTCATTTTAATAATATGTAGCTTAATAGTATAATATTTAATAATATAATATCTAATTTTGTGATTGAATTAGACGAATCTCACCTGATTTTCTATTTGCTCTATGTCTTGATCTTACTGTGTTGTTCTTCTTGTTTGAGGTAGATTTTTATACACCAAACTAATGAATTTCTAGTAGAAGTCTTCTAGTCTTCTCCCGTTTACATTACACGTGTCCTGAAACAGAAAAGAAAGCGCATGGTGTCTAGGCATAACAGTAACTCGATAGTAGTGGCACCTCAATTATCGAAACTACAAGTGGAAACGATTAATCGATCAATCGATTTTTTATTTTTTATTCATTAAGAGATCATTTGTCTTTTCAATATCTTTTATATTCGAGTAATTCTTATGTCGTTTTTCTTACTCAATATTATTAAATTTTATTTATATTATTATTTTTTATTTTATCAGAGAGAAGCTCGAAAGCGGCTACCGGATCTCTTTTGATAAGTCATTTAAATACCTAGCTCAGCAGCGTCTCTACATCTACTTTACAGCAGTTTAGAACTACATAGTCACATCCACTTTTTGATGCTGGTAAAATTGATAAAATTTCCATTTGGTGTATCCGTGCTACATCCATAATTGTGTGGATTAAAAATACAGAAATATTATGAATATATTAATATGTTCTATTAGTTGCACATAATATTTCTTTATTTTATTATATTGGATGTGACAACGTATATATAAACTATATCATAGAAATATTTTTATATATAATATATACGTGCCTATATATGTATAATAAAGTAAATTTTCTTTATCAATTTTTTTAATGATTCTTGCTTTAATACAAAGAAAAAGTAAACTGTAATAAAAAACTGCGTTGTCTCCTGTACTTTTAAAACAAAACTATCGAGCAATTATGCTTTAAGTTTTTATAGCAAAATTTGTTTATTCATATTAGCGTGTAATTGCATTCGCATTAATACATGGCAAAAGTTATTATATACAAATTTACAATAGTAAATATTAGATAATTAAAACAATATGTTAAAAAGCATATATATATATAGTGTTACGTCCTTGGTTTGAGTCGAGTCTGTCTTGTAAAGGGAAGAAGATCTCGTTGTCAAGCAGTTGTTGATGAAGCTGCCGTCATTTGGAGTTAAATGATGGAGCATGCCGTCGTCTGGAGCTAACTGTTAGGCTGAGCGGACGCGTTTACGAATTGTTATCATGTTTCTTGTTATAATTCGTCGTTATGTGTGTTCTGTGTTCCGCAAGAAAGTTTCACATTGTTCTTAAAAGTGTTTAGTTATTTCACACGTCCCGCGAATGCTCGATAGTGTAGTACGCGCACTTCGATATATGTCGAACATTAAAATTATATATATATATATATTTATATATTTATATGTTATATATATATATATATATATATATATATAATTTTAATGTTTTATACATATATATTTTCTACACACACATTTTGCTCTAAGTGTTGATTTTAATTATAAAATAACACATTTATGTAAAAAAAGTTAACATATTTACAATTTAATCTATTTTAGTTAACACATTTAAAGTAAATTTAATATTCTTTTTGTCTTTAAGAAAATTTTACAAAAACATTTTTTTTAAATTATAAGATTCTTATAAGATTGATTATTTTTTTAATTGGAAAAGAAAACATTATAAAAAAAAATTAAAGCCTCTATTAAAATTACTTATCTTTCCGATTGATCATATTTTATATATTTTATATATTTTTGTAACGCATAATTATCACATAATAAAACATAATTAAAAATAATATAATATACATATATGTACATGTACATTAATATATATGTACATTTCAGAAGATGTCACACACAAAGACCAATTTTTTTAATACTAAATTATCCAGATAAAGACGTCCTTAACATATTTTCGATATCAATTTACGAAAAACACTGCTGTGTAATTTAACATATTATATAGCACTGAAAACATGACTATAGTGAAATATACATAATGCTATACAAGATTCGAAGAATGTTACATTAAGCTTACAGCGTTTCCAATCTTTAGAATATAAAATATTGGGAAGGATTTCCACTTACTTGCTAACGATCCTCTATTGCTATATCCAGCTTCAAAAGTCGCATCATCTTTGTTCGAACGGCAATCTGTGGTGCCGGTATCGGCAGTTCTGTTAAATAATAAGCATTGTTGTCGAGCAGGAAACTATCGGGTCGAAACCTGAGAAGACAATCATCCTTCTGTTTATTGCAATAATAATTAATTCGATAATGAATAATCGAATTTAATTTGACATGTTAGTCCAGTGAGAGGACAGGAATGATCTCGCCGAATCGCAAAGTCATGTGCATCACAAATCGAGTAATCGTTATGCAAGTATGGCGCCAATCGTGCGACTGCATTATTTAAATTAATTTCTTCGTTAGTTTCCTCAATATCGGCTATTATATATTTATAGCTCACCATGTAGAGATAGACCTTCGTTTTATTAAACAGTGTATTCTGGCTCATAGGAATACAGATAATTCGATAGGAAAATTGAATATATTATTTGCATTTGGTATTTTATGCAAATTATACATCGGTGGATATATTAAAAGAGCACATTTTATTATACGCGATATGTATTTTCATTCAGTTGATTTTAATCTACAAATTAATAAAGTGGTTGCATCACGCATAGCTCAAGAGTGAGAGAAGAGTCAAATTTTACTCTTTTTACGAAACATTAATATGAACAATCAGTCAATATGAATAATAATTTCAATTAGTAATATGAACAATCAATAAGAAAATCATTGACGAAAAAATTTGAATTTTCTATTTGCTGAAAAAAATTTTACAAATTTTTATTTTTTTTCAATCGCCTACAATAGAAATATATCATTTAATAATTATATATACATATATCATGCATTTTCCTTCATATATAAAACTATTTTACACACATTAATATACTACACACATTAACATACACTATATTTAAAAAAGTAACTAAATAACTTTACGCATTTTTCATATAATTTGAAAATTTATATAATTCTTCATATAATTCATCATTAAGAAAATTTAATTTTGGTTTCTATTTTTTTATGTTCTTTTTGTTTTATTTTATTCATTTAATAAAAATGTTCATTAAAATTCTTCATTTAATAAAAAATCTATGAATCTTTATTTAATGAAAATCTTACAATATATCGTCATTCAAATAAAATTCTCATTAGTCTGCATCTTAAATAACTAGGAAAGTAACAGATATAGAGATCTTTCGATTATTTAGACGTAATTAATTATAGTCATTGAAGGAAAAAAAATATGAGTTGAAGACGAAAGACAAAATGGCAATTTAAAATTACTCCGAAAACTATTGACATAAAAAATGAATTGATATGCAAGAACAAATATTGATCTATAAAATTTTTTAGAAAATGTCTTCGAAAGATTTCAATAATAACTCGTTTAGCATAAATTGTTTATCTTAGTATGTGTATAAAATATAAAATATAAAAAATATTACGAAGAATAATCTATAATGTTATATATTTTCATATTTTATATTTGTATAAGAAAATCGGTTAATAAGATCTTTGTTACTCCCGACTGCTGCCAACCTACTTATAAAGAAGTAACTAATATAGTGTAGTGATATATGATCTTTATTATTATGTAAATGTAATTATATACATTTTCTTTACATAAACTGATCAACGATTAATCGATATTCTTATAAAAATATCATCAAAAACTAAATATTTTAATTCAGAATATCGTGAAAATATTCAATCAGTTATCGTAAATGAATAAATATGAGAGAAATATGTATTAAATAAATATTATTTAATATCTATTTCCATTTTTTAATGATATATTTTTTACATGCATAATAAGACAATCAGATTATGAAAAGAAAGTTATAGGATTTTATTTATAAATTTTGAATCTTCTAGTTTGATTTGTCTAATTTATAATTCAAATTATTAAACTTTTTTAGTATTTTATTTAACTATATTAATCTATGTATTTAATACGATATTAATTTAATGTTAGCTTTAACTTGTGATTGTTACTTTTAATGTTGATTTATGAAGCCTTACTTCTATATATATATGTGTAATTACCTTTCAATGTCTATAATAATAGTTTCGCCAAGATCTCTTTAACGAAATATCATTCGTGCTATCTAAATGATCTTTATCCACAATTGCAGAATAATAAGAATAATAACAATAATAGGAATAAGAATAATAGTCGTGAAAATGTTTTCTATATAAACAGTCCACCAAATCTCCCAAACATCAATTTGTTTATCAATTTTATGTGCGACGTTAGATATATCTTCTATCATCAAGGTTTCATTAGTCGTTTTACTATTGTCTTCCAAAATTACATCTTTTCCATAAAGTAATGTTTCATTACTAGTTGTGCCTGGATCTATTTTCAACTTCTTTGATTTCGTTTTCAACTTCTTTGATTTCGTTTTCTTTTCAACTTCTTTGATTTTGTTTTCTTCTACAACCTTTATAACTTGATCCTCTTCGACAGTTTCGTTTAATGTATATCCGTGTTCTTTGCTTTTATTGTTTACAGTAGTTTGACAAATGTTATTTACATGATCATTCATTTCATAATATTTTAATTTTAGGATGTCCTCAGCTAAGTTACAGTATATATGTTTTATACGATTACGTATATGTGTATTTACATCGCTAACGCCAAGCTGATTTTTGTCTCTTTGTTGAGATGTGCAAGCATCAATAAACTTTTTATAAGCATATTCCAACGAATGATAGTCATCAGGCGGTTGGTATGCTTTGTCCATAATATTTTTTATAATTTTTTGATCTTTTGTAGTATTAGGACGTAACGAAAGTAAAAAAATTAATTTTTTTATAAAAATTGTATCGTCTCTTTTATTTTCTGTCTTAGCATCTGTTACTTTATCTTCACCTCGAATTTGTTTTCTTATGATAATCGACTCATCGTTCGTTTTCATATCTTTTAACAATTTAATTGCTTTAGTCTCATTATTTAACATTTTATTCGTCTTTTCTTCATTTATCAGTAATTTGGTCAGAGATTCCTTGTCTATTTGTTTCAGTGATTCATCTGCTTTGTTCAATTTATCTTTAGTCAACATTGGAACTACTTGGTCGTCCACTGCTCTATCCGTTTCTATATTGGTGATATTCGTTGTCGGTAACGTAATATGATTGTAATCTCTACTTTCCATCATTTCTTGTCGATATATTACTGGCGATGAAATGTAGTCTTCGTCAAAATCTTTAGGAACTTCCTTTCCAGCCACTTGCTTTTTCACGTTTTGCAGGTTCGACGATATGTTATTTATTTCTAATGTTTGTTGGCTTTCTTCCTTAAGGCTACTCTTCTGCAGTGTCGAGGCATTGAATGATTCCGCCCCAGATGTCTTATTATTCTTATTCTTTAGTTGTAATAATAAATTTATTTTTTCTTTTTCGAGTGAATTGCATAAATTCTGAAGCTTGGTTACTTTATCGGCCAATTTCATTGACTCTATCTCTCTTTTCTGGTTCTCGATCATCACTGCTACCAACGTGCTTTGAGATTTTGCAAAACATTGCTGCAACCATTCAGCCTCTGTACACAGAAAAAAAACAAGTGTCAAATTAAAACTTATATACTTAAACTAATATACTTAACTTATATACTTAAACTAACGCGTTCATTGTTTCGTATATACGCAATAATTTATAATATTCTTAGAAGAATTTAATAATTTTAAATTTTAACAATATTATAGTCTTATTTTAATATTGTAATTGTCACCTCAAGAATATAAAATTTAATTCTACTTTAAGAAAATTATAATCTTTGATTTAAAAATGTTATTTTCTATCTAACATTGTTTCTTTTCCATTCAAGAAAATTAAATCTTAAATCATAAGAATATATTTTTTTTGATTGAACTATATAAAATGGCTTCATTCGAGTAAGCAATTATTCAATTATAATAATTATATTTTTCTTTAATTAACACGATATAATCTCATTTCAAGATTTTCATGTTAAAACTAAATATATTTTCAAAACAAGAATGTCCTTTTTCCTGTGTATATAATTCCATTATCCTCAGCAGCATTATGTGTATATCAGACTCGTATTCCTCGTGTTTAATCTTTTGACTTTTACTGTTTTTCTATTCATTTTCTTGTCGTTTAACACGTATGTCTTTCTCGATGCAACACAATTTTCCAATCATCTTCATGTACTCTTGATTCTCTAGATAAATTTTGGCAGCTCACCTTTCAAATTCAAAAATTTGTCCGTTTTGTACTGCTCGACGGGATCTGTGCGCGGGATTTTCAACTCTTCATCTGACATATTATATTTATTACAAAGTATTATTTTATAAAATGTTTTATGAAGACAGAGTCTCTTAATTTCTTCATGATTCTTTGTTGCCATAAGATGAATATATGTACTCTGCTTCATCAGCTCATTCTCTTCATCATCGTCCTTACTCTTATTAGATATTTCAACACTAGACGTTTTTATGTTTTTAGACATTTGCTGGTGCGCTGCTTCTGCATATTTGAATTCTTCTTCATATCACTCGAATTCTTAAACAAGTTTAATTTCCTTAACACTCTTCTGAGACATCGTGATATCATATACAGATTGCTGCGCAATAAGATTTTGATATATATAATAATCAATTTTATTTAATATATTTTTCTTTACCTCTTCTTCTTGTAAGCTTGCGCTATTTGTTGTTTGCAATTCTCCTTATAATGTATCGCAAATATTCTTCCGTTCTCCATTCGCACTAATATTTTGATCAGGATCAATATCACTTCTTTCCTTAAAACTGTATTTCCTGTTCAACGCGTTTTGTCACTGGTAAATTTTGTGATGCTTAAGATATATTATAATCTACTTTGTTTGCATTGAGACTATTCGGCAGAGTTAAATTCAGCGGTTTAAATTGCGTATTATAAGATAGATCCTGGACAATGCAATCTGGAAGTTATAGAATTCAAATTGAATATAATGCTTATACATTAATTATCCACAAAAATTTTTCTGTTATATTTTATAATTATATAAAAAATATTATATTATAATATTATAATTATATTAAAAAATAAAATATATATAATTAAAAAATATAATTAAAAAAAGTATATATCTTAATATATTTATTATAATTTGTATATAATTTGTTGTAAAATAAAAAATATATTTCCATTATTTTATATTCTATTAAATTATATATTATTTTTTCCATAAAGTACAATAATTAAAAGAAAATAAGTAGTCAACAGAAAAGATAATGCTTTAAAAAATTATCTTATTAATTATAGCTTAAAATGTTGAGAATACAATAATATTATAAAAAATTATATTAATTCACGCACACGCATTTTTATCTTGAGCTTCATTAAAAATTATTGTAAATCAAATGAAAATCGTGAGGATGTTAAAATCCTTGCATGGATTAAGCATATTATATCGATAAATCTAAATTTCAATTTTTTGCAACGAATTAATTTTATATTAATCAATTGACTGTTCCTGTTACTAATATCTCAGCATTATGTGAGAGAGAAAGAAAGAGAGAGATTTGAGTTCTCAAAAATTTTGCCAGAAAATAATATTTTATCGCCACATTAGAAAATTTTATACGATGAGGTTATACATATTCTATCTGGCGTCAAATCATGAATCAAGAGATGAAATACGACTTGCAGGAATGTGATCGCGACAATGCGAGATAATTTGATAAAAACTCTATTCGGTTCACAAAATTAAAACTCAGTTTAATAATATAAAATCTACGTTCATAATAACTGACAAATAATATTATAAAATGTACGTTCATAATAACTGACAAATAATAATAAAAAAGTAGAATCTCACCTTATTCTTTATTTGTTGCTTACCAAATTCGATTGATCGATATTCTGGAGAACAATCTATTTTAATCGTGATAGATATATATTGACCAACGAAACTCTGACGAATGTCCTTTACACTTTTTGACACACGAATGTGTTGAGCAAAGCAGTAGAAAATAAATACGTGGTTATAACATCCTAACGACCAAACTATCGAAATTATTATTAAGAAGAACTGCCAGTTTTAAATTCAATATCAATTTTATAGTATATTAAATCTCTTTGTAATAAAGATTTTAGATTAATTTAAATATATTATTGAGATAAATGCAATTTCAATAGCAATTAATGATGACTAGATAAGTGACAATGAACTCTTAAAAATGGGATTACTTCGTGTATAATTAATAACTTTTAATATTTATAGCATTTAATATTTAGAAATAAAGTTGAATACTTTGCTTTATATTTTAAAAACTCATTATTTACATCATCATTTGTATTATTGTATTTTGTTTTTGGAACATCCATAGCTAAATCACAATAAAATATATTTTGGATAATTAAAATATTTATTTATATTCGCATTATTATTATTAATGTCAAGTTGATTTTTATCTTTTTGTTAAAATGACATCATCAGATTTTTTTGTATAAACAGCAATCTTCGAATAATTGATAGTCCTCAAGCGGTTGACGTTGATATGTTTTGTGGATAATATTTTCTTTGCTGTGATTTTTTTGTAGCATTAGAAAGTACTGTCTCGTGATACTTAAGTAAAAATATTAAACTCTTTTAAAAAAATATCGTTTTTCTTTAGTTTCTTCTGTTTTATCATCTGCTACTTTGTCTTTATCTCAAATTTATTTTTCTACAACACACAGCCGATTTCACAAATCATTCGTTTTCATATCTTCTAATAATTCCCACATTTTAATGATAGTTTTATTTATCATATTTTTTATGCTATCAAAGTCTTCCATCAAATTTATCAAAGAGTCTTTATCGTATTCTTTAGTTTTTTTCAATAATTTCATTGATTTATCTGATTTTCCGGCGAAATTTATCGGTGGTGGCGTAATATGATAATCTTCTTCTTTCATTCTTATCATTTGCAATGTTACTGACGGTAATGTAATATAATCTTTCCTAGAAACTTTAACAACTTTAGAAATTTTTGAAGTATTTTTTGTGTAAGATGATACGTCATTTTCATTCATTTTCTGTTTCATCTTCTCAATTACGTACAGTCGATTAGTGCGAAGGTGTGCGTCCTGCTTCATCAGCTCGCACTTTTTATCATCAATCTTATTCGGTACAAGAGTCATTTCAACACCAGCCGTTTTTGTGTTCGTTGTTATTTGTTCTTGTATTACTTTTGCATTTTTTAATTCCTCTTTATTTTGCACGAATTTTTCTGGAACATATTTAATTTTCTTATCGTTCTTCTCAGACAATGTGACAAAATTTTTAGATTGCGGGGTATAAACCCGTACACAAGCTTTTGGCTTAATGATTATTTCATTGTGAGACATTTCTACAGTCGTTATCATTTGCTGTTGCGCTGCTTCTATATTTTTTAATTTCTTTTTACTTTTCTTTTCCTTTTTATCTTCATTTTTATTTTGTTCCAATTTTTTTCGAACATCTCTAACTTCTTTAACGTTCTTCTCGAACAATGGGGCAAAATTTTCAGATTGCAGGTTATAAACAGGTACGCGTATACAATCAGCTTTTGGCTTAATGATTATTTCATTGTGAGACATTTTTACAGTTGTCATTTGCTGTTGCGCTGCTCTTATATTTTTTAATTTTTTTTTACTTTTCTTTTCTTTTTCCTTTTCATTTTTATTTTGTTTCAATTGTTTTCGAACATCCTTAATCTCTTTAACGTTCTTCTCGGACAATGTGGCAAAATTTTCAGATTGCAGGGTATAAACAGGTATGCATATACAGTCAGCTTTACTCGACTTAGTGATTATCTCGTCGCAAGACGCTTTTACGTTCGTCATTTGCTGTTGCATTGCTTCTATATTTTACATACAGAATGATATACGGATTATTTGGGAAAAATGATTCGCAAATTTTAACTTCAAAAATAAATATTGCGATTGAAATATATTAAAAAAAAATTTTTGTATTTTAAAAAAACTTTTATAACTTGGAATTATTTTTACCTGTTTTGCATGTCAATGGGGGATTGTCCATCTTTACTGAAACATTTCTTTTACTTCCTGTTCTTTTTTTGCTTACTAATGAGAGTTTGCCCTCTGAGACATCCTATATAATAATATATACGTACATAACACATAAATATATACATATAAAATTTATATATATTTTATTATACATTTTTTAAATATTTTTTAATATTAAAGTTAGTAGGAACAATTATACATATAACATATAATTTTACTGAAATTGCTGTTGATAGAAAAAACTACTATGAACTATTGAATTTGATATTGATAATATTATTAACTATTGATACAATAACTTTAATAATTATTTGAAATCTCTTCTCTTTTTCTTTCTCTTAAAATTTTATTAAAATTTTTTTTTCAAGAACATTAAAAAAATCTGTTCTTAAAACTTCTAAATTCTACAAGTGTAAATAAGAATAAAGATGTTTTTATAATTATAGTTTTTTCTAAATAGATTTCACCAAAATCATCTCTTGTTTTATGCATTGACCTTTTCTGTTGTGAACTTTATACAATTTATAAATTCTGGAAAACAAATCAAATTTATTTTTATATACAATAATTTATAAGAATTCTTATTTGATTTAAAATTATAATTGTTAAATTATATTGATTATTATTTTTAAAATTATATCATTAATTTATCATTAGTAGATATTAGTAGATTAGTTTTAATTTTAATTTTTAATAAAATTGAATCTTTTTATATGTATTTATTTTTATGAAAATTCGCATTAATTTGAAGAATAATAATAATAATTATTATAAATATTCGTTACTTATTGCCGAAAAAATATATCCTAATTACTTTTTTCGTTATATACAAAAATTGAAAGTTTGTTAAGATTACAGATAACAAAAAAAATTGTAATGAGAAGTAATTATAAATTATTTTTTTTAATAACTATAATATTAACAATTACAAAAAATGCGTTTTTATAATCCTGATTTATTTCCATGATTTTATATTTTATAAAATTCTTTTCCAGTTTAATAATATGTGCTATACGTAGCTTAATAGTATAATATTCAATAATATAATACCTAATTTTATGATTGAATTAGACGCATCTCACCTGATTTTTTATGTGTTCCATGATCTTGATCTTACTGTGTTGTTCTTCTTGTTTGAGATAGATTTTTATACACCAAACTAATGAATTTCTAGTAGCTTCTCTCGTTTACGTACATTACACGTGTTCAGAAACAGAAAAGAAAGCACATGGTCTAAGCATAATAGCAACTCGATAGTAGCGGCATCCCAATTATCGAAACTACAAGTGGAAACAATTAATCGATCAATCGATCAATCGATTTATATTTTTATTTTTCATTAAGAGATCAATTGTCTTTTCAATATTTTTTATATTCGAGTAATTCTTATATCGTTTTTCTTATTCGATATTATTAAATTTTATTTATATTATTATTTTTTATTTTATTAGAGAGAAGCTTGAAAGTGGCTGCCGGAACAATTAATCGATCAATCGATTTTTTATTTTTTATTCATTAAGAGATCAATTGTCTTTTCAATATTTTTTATATTCGAGTAATTCTTATGTTGTTTTTCTTACTCGATATTATTAAATTTTATTTATATTATTATTTTTTATTTTATCAGAGAGAAGCTTGAAACTGGCTGCCGGAACTCTTTTGATAAGTTTAAATGCCTAGCTCAGCAGCGTCTCTACATCTACTTTACAGTCGTTTGGAACTACATAGCCACATCCACTTTTTGATGCTGGTAAAATTGATAAAATCACTATTTGGTGTGTATCCGTGCTACATCCATAATTGTGTGAATCAGAAATACAGAAATATTATAAATGTATTAATACGTTTTATTAGCTGCATGTAATATTTCTTTATTTTATTATATATCATGAACACGATACCAATTATATTATAAAAAAATAATATTATATACTATCTATACGTGCGTATATATGTGTGTGTGTGTGTGTGTGTGTGTGTGTGTGTGTGTGTGTGTGTGTGTGTGTGTGTGTTGCGTGGCGCGTGTGTGCATGTGCGCGCCCGGTGTATGTGTGTGTGTGTAATAAAGTAAATTTTCTCTATCAATTTTTTTAATGATTTATGCTTTAATATAAAGTTAACTGCAATATATTGCTTGCTTTCCTTTACTCTTAAAACAAAACTATCAAGCAATATAGAAAATTATGCTTTAAATTTATAGTAAATTTATTTATAGATTCACACAATGTGTAAATGCATCCTTAATACATAGTAAAAGTTATTATGTACAAATTTATAATAGTTAATATTAGATAATTAAAACAATATAATGAAAAGGATATATATAAATTTACAAAAAACATTTCTGTGTAATTTAGCATATTATAAAGCACTGAAAACACGACTATAGCAAGATTCGAAGAATGTTACATTAAGTTTCGTCTTTACCAAATCCAGTCAAATGAGCTCTTAAGATAATCTTATATTTAAAAACCCTAGTGAAAAAGGTTAGTTTACGGCAGTCTTATTGAAATGAATGTTTAAAAAAATATCGAAATAAGAAAAGAAAAAAAGTAAAATATTTTTAAAAATCGTAATTGGTTTTACTTGGCTCAGTGATTATCTCTATTTTTTTAAGCCAAAACCCTTGCAGTTGCAATTTAAATATAAAATTTTTTAAAATTTCAATTCTATGTTCAGAAAAATACAAGAATTAAATAATATACATATACATATACATATACATATATATATATTCTTTTTTAAAAAATAAATGAACTAACTGAACTAATGAAATAAATGAACTAACTGTCACTCTTCAAATAAAAGAGAAATTACTTAAGAATTCTAAAAGATGAAGATGATCATGATATTTGCAGCTTTTCTCAGAAATGACGGAACATCGTAAAGAGAATTTGTTTGCAAGCTAATCGAGTTTGTTCTTGCTGCACAAATGATGAACGATGAAAAACATGCAGCACACAGGTTACTTGATCCCATGGATATTAATAACACATAAATATGGCAAGTACTTTTAAACTTCATCTGCCTTCTAGGATCGGCTATTATCCAGGCCTTACGTATCTGATGTCTTATATAAAATGCAATGTTCTAAAAGACTGAAACTTGTACATATCGTAAAAATGCATTATTTAAAATTTAATATTATATGACTTTTATCATTTATAATAATAAAATATGTAAACAATTATTCTAATCATCTTTTATCTCACCAATCTTCTTCTATTTATTTTTGTCTGTGTTTTTGATTAATTATTATTTTCATATTTTAGATTATTATTATTGATTTTTATTGTTATTATTTATATTTTGAAATAAAATATGAATATTACATTACTTTTGCAAATTTAGTACTTGGAGATGAGATACAATTCTTTTGATTTACTCCTTATATGTTTTCTTAATTCACTATTTTATGTGTTATATTCAAAGAAACTATCAGAAAATTTTACAAGAATTTATTTAATGATTTCTTTATTATAAAATTAGAAGTACTCATTCAATGTGTAAACGCGCGGCACAGCCGCAAGATAATCCTGACGAGATGCCGATGACTCGGAAATGATAATTGGAAACGGAATTGACATTCATTCATTCAAAGACAACCAAATCGATCACACTGACTGGATACTTGTTCGAAAAAGCTCTAATTAGAATAAATCGAATCTTGTTTCTACATTTCTAGATGTAAATCTGTAGTAAAATACTATTTGATCCTGTATATAACTGTATAATGATATAACATTTTCAATTGCATTGATTTTTGAGCGAAACAACATCGTAAATTCGCAGAGAGGAAAACTCAATAGGAAAATTGAACATATTATTTACATTTAGTATTTCGTGCAAATTATACATCGATGGATACATTAAAGAGCATATTTCATTGAACACAGCATATACTTTCAATCTGTTGATTTGATTCTACCTAAATTAATAAAGTAATACATTTACATCACGCAAATATCAAGAGTGAGAGAGGAGTCAAATTTTATTTCTTTTTATGAAACATTAAACTACATTTCATAAAAAAAGATTAATTTGATTAATCTGATTGTCATCTTAATTAAGTCGTGATAATATGAGCAACCAATAGGAAAATCATTGAAAAAAAAATTTGAATTTTTTATTTGCTTAAAAAAATTTTACAAATCTTTATTTTTCTTCAATCATTCACAATAGAAATATATCTTAGTTATATATACATATATCATGCATTTTGTTCATACATAAAACTATTTTACACATTGCACTATATTTAAGAAGGTAACTAAAAAACTTTATGCATTCTTTATATAATTTAAAACCTTAAAACTTTATAATGCATCATATAATTCATCATTAAGATAATTTAATTTTAGTTTTTATTTAATATTTTTTTTTGTTTTATTTGATTCAATCTTCATTTAATGAAAATTTATGAATCTTTAATTAATGAAAATCTATGAATCTTCATTTAATGGAAATCTTACAATATATCATCATTCAAATAAGATTCTTATTATTTTTCATCTTAAATAACTAAAAAAGTAACAGATATAAAGATATTTCTATTATTGGCATAATTATAGTCATTGAGTCAATGACATAATTATAATCATTGAAACAAAAAGAATATGAGTTGGAAACGAGAGACAAAATTGCAATGAAATTGCAATAAAATTACTCCGAAAACTATTGACATAAAGAATGAATTAACATGCAGGTACAAATATTGGTCAATAAATTTTTTAGAAAAAGTTTTCGAAAGATTTCAATAATAACTTGTTTAACATAAATTGATTATCTTACAATTAGTATGTGTATAAAATATAAAATATTAGGAAAAATAATCTATAATGTTTCATATTTTATATTTGTGTAAGAAAATCGATTGATAAGTTCTTTAAAAAGAACTTTGATAAAGATGTAACTAATATAATGTAGTGATATATGATCTTTATTATTATTATTATTATGTAAATGTAATTATATGCATTTTCTTTACACAAACTGATTAACGATTAATCGATATTTTTATAAAAACATCATCAAGAATTAAATATTTTAATTCAGAATCGTCGTTTCGAATTAGCGTGAAAATATTCAATCAGTTATCGTAAATGAATAAATATCTTCAAAAAAATATCTACTAAATAAATATTATTTCATATCTATTTCTATTTTTTTAATAACATGCTTTTATGCACAATAAGATGATCAGATTATGAAAAAAAAGTTATATGATTTTTTTACGAATCTTGAAATTTCGCAAACTAATACTGCTTAAAAGATATTATTGATCAACAATATTTGTTCCTTCATCTTAAACATAATTTATTTCATTACTTTATGCAATTCATTATTCTACATTATTGGAGTAACCAAGATATCTCACATCATCATATAAAAAATCGTATTACATGCCAGAATCAATTTTTTACTTCTTTCTTTCTTTTTTTCCTTTCTAAAATAATAAAAACATGATTTACAAAACAAATAAAATAATAATAATTTGATTTATTCAAAATGCTGCGTAGGATCGGAAAATTAAAATTTTAACGATATAAAGTCATCACTTTTGGTTTGATTCGTCTAATTTGTAATTCAAATTATTAAATTTTAGTATTTTATTTAAATATATTAATCTATAAATTTAATACGATATTAATTTAATGTTAGCTTTAACTTGTGATTGTTACTTTTAATGTTGATTTATGAAGCCTTACTTCTATATATATATATGTGTAATTACCTTTCAATGTCTATAATAATAGTTTCGCCAAGATCTCTTTAACGAAATATCATTCGTGCTATCTAAATAATGTTTACTCACAATTACAGAATAATAAAAATAATAACAATAATATGAATAAGAATGATAGTCGTGAAAACATGTTTTCTATATAAATAGTCCTCCAATTCTTCCAAACAATTTGCTTATCAATTTTATGTGCGACGTTAGATATATCTTCTACCATCAAAGTTTCATTAGTCATTTTACTATTGTTTTCCAAAATTACAACTTTTCCATAAGATAATGTTTCGATACTAGTTGTACCTGGACCCGTATTTTCAACTTCTTTGATTTCGTTTTCTTCTACAACCTTTATAACTTGAACTTTTTCGACGATTTCGTTCAACGTATATCCGTGTTCTTTACTCTTATTATTTACAGAAATTTGACAACTGTTATTTACATCATCATTTTCTATCTTAGCATCTGTTACTTTATCTTCACCTCGAATTTGTGTCCTTATAATAATCGATTCATCGTTCGTTTTAATATCTTTTAACAACTTAATTGCTTTAGTCTCATTATTTAACATTTTATTCGTCTTTTCTTCATTTATCAGTAATTTGGTCAGAGATTCCTTATCTATTTGTTCCAGTGATTCATCTGCTTCGTTCAACTTATTTAAGTCTTTAGTCAACATTGGAACTACTTGGTTGTCCACTGCTCTATCAGTTTCTATATTGGTGATATTCGTTGTCGGTAACGTAATATGATTGTAATCTCTACTTTCCATCATTTCTTGTCGATATATTACTGGCGATGAAATGTCTTTATCTTCACCTCGAATTTGTTTTCTTATGATAATCGATTCATCCTTCGTTTCAATATCTGCTAATAACTTTATTGCTTTGGTCTCATTATTTAATATTTTATTCATTTTCTCTTCAGAATCTGTCAACAATTTTGTCAGGGAGTTCTTGTCTACTTGTTCCGGTGATTGCTCGAATTTTTCTGGAACATATTTAATTTTCTTATCGTTTTTCTCAGGCAATGTGGCAAAATTTTCAGATTGCCGGATACAAACAGGTACGCACATACAACCAGCTTTATTTGGCTCATTAATTATATCGTTGTGAGACACTTCTACAATCGTTGTCATTTGCGTTTCTTCTATATTTTTTAATTTGTTTTTATCTATCTTTTCTTTTTCTTCATTTTTATTTTGTTTCAATTTTTTTGGAACATCTTTGATTTCCTTAACGTTCTTCTCGGACAATGTGGCAACATTTTCAGATTGCCGGATATAAACAGGTACGCGTGTACAATCAGCTTTATTTGGCTCAGTAATTATATCATTGTGAGACACTTCTACAATCGTTGTCATTTGCTGTTGTGTTTCTTCTATATTTTTTAATTTGTTTTTATCTATCTTTTCTTTCTCTTCATTTTTATTTTGTTCCAATTTTTTTGGAACATCTTTGATTTCTTTAACGTTCTTCTCGGACAATGTGGCAAAATTTTCAGATTGCCGGATATAAACAGGTACGCGTATACAATCAACTTTATTTGGCTCAGTAATTATATCATTCTGAGACATTTCTACAGTCGTTGTCATTTGCTGTTGCGTTTCTTCTATATTTTTAAATTTGTTTTTATCTATCTTTTTTTTTTCTTCATTTTTATTTTGTTCCAATTTTTTTGGAACATCTTTGATTTTTTTAACGTTCTTCTCGGACAATGTGGCAAAATTTTCAGATTGCCGGATATAAACAGGTACGCGTATACAATCAACTTTATTTGGCTCAGTAATTATATCGTTCTGAGACATTTCTACAGTCGTTGTCATTTGCTGTTGCGTTTCTCCTATATTTTTAAATTTGTTTTTATCTATCTTTTCTTTTTTTTCCTTTTTATTTTGTTCCAATTTTTTTCGAACATCTTTGATTTCCTTAACGTTCTTCTCGGACAATGTGGCAAAATTTTCAGTTTCCTGTATAAAAATATACCAGTGTATATAATCCTCTTCACTTGAATCATCGATCATCTCAGCGCCAGCTGCTTTTACGTTCGTTGTCATTTGCTGTTGAGTCACTTCTATATTTTTTAATTTCTTTTCACTTTTCTTTTCCATTTGCTCTTCATTTTTATTTTGTTTCAATTTTTTTCGAACAGCTTTAATTTTCTTAACGTTCTTCTCGGACAATGTAGCTACATTTTCAGGTTCCTGTTCAAAAATGGACTTGTGCATATAATTCTCTTTACTTGAGTCATCGATCATCTCGCCGTCAACTGCTTTCACATTCTTTGTCATCTGCTGATGAGTTAGTTCGATATTTTTTAATTTCTTTTTATTTTTTATTTTCATTTCCTCTTCATTTCTATTTTGTTTCAATTTTTTTCGAACATCTTTAATTTTCTTAACGTTCTTCTTGGACAATGTAGCAACATTTTCAGGTTCCTGTTCAAAAATGGATTTGTGCATATAATCCTCTTTACTTGAGTCATCGATCATCTCGCCGCCAACTCCTTTCACATTCTTTGTCATCTGCTGATGAGTTACTTCGATATTTTTTAATTTCTTTTCACTTTTCTTTTCCATTTGCTCTTCATTTTTATTTTGTTTCAATTTTTTTCGAACATCTTTAATTTCTTTAACGTTTTTATCGGACAATGTGGCAAAATTTTCATTTTCCTGTATAAAAATAGACCAGCGCATATAATCCTCTTCACTTGAATCATCGATCATCTCATCGCCACCTGCTTTTACGTTCGTTGTCATTTCCTGTTGAATTACTTCTATATTTTTTAATTTCTTTTTATTTTTTGTTTTTATTTCCTCTTCATTTCTATTTTGTTTCAATTTTTTTCGAACAGCTTTAATTTTCTTAACGTTCTTCTCGGACAATGTAGCAACATTTTCAGGTTCCTGTTTAAAAATGGACTTGTGCATATAATCCTCTTTACTTGAGTCATCGCTCATCTCGCCGCCAACTGCTTTCACATTCTTTGTCATCTGCTGATGAGTTACTTCGATATTTTTTAATTTCTTTTTATTTTTATTTTCCATTTCCTCTTCATTTTTATTTTGTTTCGATTTTTTTCGAACATCTTTAATTTCCTTAACGTTTTTCTCGGACAATGTGGCAAAATTTTCAGATTGTCGGATATAAACAGGTACGCGTATACAATCAACTTTATTTGGCTCAGTAATTATATCATTATGAGACACTTCTACAGTCGTTGTTATTTGCTGTTGCGTTTCTTCTATATTTTTTAATTTGTTTTTATCTATCTTTTCATCTTTTTCTTCATTTCTATTTTGTTCTAATTTTTTTGGAACATCTTTGATTTCCTTAACGTTCTTCTCGGACAATGTGGCAAAATTTTCAGATTGCCGGATATAAACAGGTACGCGTATACAATCAGCTTTATTTGGCTCAGTAATTATATCGTTGTGAGACACTTCTACAGTCGTTGTCATTTGCTGTTGCGTTTCTTCTATATTTTTTAATTTGTTTTCATCTATCTTTACATCTTTTTCTTCAATTTTATTTTGTTCCAATTTTTTTGGAACATCTTTGATTTCCTTAACGTTTTTATCGGACAATGTGGCAAAATTTTCATTTTCCTGTATAAAAATAGACCAGCGCATATAATCCTCTTCACTTGAATCATCGATCATCTCATCGCCAATTGCTTTTACGTTCGTTGTCATTTGCTGTTGAATTACTTCTATATTTTTTAATTTCTTTTTATTTTTTGTTTTTATTTCCTCTTCATTTCTATTTTGTTTCAATTTTTTTCGAACAGCTTTAATTTTCTTAACGTTCTTCTCGGACAATGTAGCAACATTTTCAGGTTCCTGTTTAAAAATGGACTTGTGCATATAATCCTCTTTACTTGAGTCATCGATCATCTCGCCACCAACTGCTTTCACATTCTTTGTCATCTGCTGATGAGTTACTTCGATAATTTTTGATTTCTTTTTATTTTTCTTTTCCATTTTCTCTTCATTTTTATTTGGATCCAATTTTTTTCGAACATCTTTAATTTCCTTAACGTTTTTCTCGGACAATGTGGCAAAATTTTCAGATTGTCGGATATAAACAGGTACGCGTATACAATCAACTTTATTTGGCTCAGTAATTATATCATTATGAGACACTTCTACAGTCGTTGTTATTTGCTGTTGCGTTTCTTCTATATTTTTTAATTTGTTTTCATCTATCTTTTCATCTTTTTCTTCATTTCTATTTTGTTCTAATTTTTTTGGAACATCTTTGATTTCCTTAACGTTTTTCTCGGACAATGTGGCAAAATTTTCAGATTGCCGGATATAAACAGGTACGCGTATACAATCAGCTTTATTTGGCTCAGTAATTATATTGTTGTGAGACACTTCTACAGTCGTTGTCATTTGCTGTTGCGTTTCTTCTATATTTTTTAATTTGTTTTCATCTATCTTTACATCTTTTTCTTCAATTTTATTTTGTTCCAATTTTTTTGGAACATCTTTGATTTCCTTAACGTTCTTCTCGGACAATGTGGCAGAATTTTCAGTTTCCTCTATAAAAATAGACCAGTGTATATAATCCTCTTCACTTGAATCATCGATCATCTCATCGCCAATTGCTTTTACGTTCGTTGTCATTTGCTGTTGAATTACTTCTATATTTTTTAATTTCTTTTTATTTTTTGTTTTCATTTCCTCTTCATTTCTATTTTGTTTTAATTTTTTTCGAACAACTTTAATTTTCTTAACGTTCTTCTCGGACAATGTAGCAACATTTTCAGGTTCCTGTTTAAAAATGGACTTGTGCATATAATCCTCTTTACTTGAGTCATCGATCATCTCGCTGCCAACTGCTTGTACGTTCGTTGTCATTTGCTGTGGCGTTGCTTCTATATTTTACATAAAAAATGATATTGCAAGTTATTTGGGAAAAGTAATTCGCAAATTTTAACTTTAAAAATAAATATCGCGATTACAATGTATTGGAAAAAAACTTTTGTAACTTATGGAATTATTTTACCTTCTTTATATGTCAATGAGAGGTTGCCCAACTTTATCGAAATACTTCTTTTTTTTTTTATTTTTCTTTTACATGCTAATGAGAGTTCGTTCTCCGAGGCATCCTATATAATAATATATATGTACATAACATATAAATGTAAACATATAAAATTTATATATTTTATATTATACATTTTTTAAATATTTTTTAATATTAAAATTAGTAGGAACAATTATACATATAACGTATAATTTTACTGAAATTGCTACTGATATAAAAAACTACTATTGAATTTGATATTGATATTATTATTGCCTATTGATATAATAACTTTAATAATTATTTAATATCTCTTTTCTTTTAATTTTTCTTAAAATTTTATTAAAATTTTTTTTTCAAGAACATTAAAAAAATTTGTTCTTAAGATTTCTAAATTCTACAAATGTAAATAAGAATAAAGATGTTTTTATAATTATAGCTTTTTCTAAATAGATTTCACGAAAATCATTTCTTGTTTCATGACCTTTTCTGTTGTGAACTTTATACAATTTATAAATTCTGGAAAACAAATCAAATTCATTTTTATATACAATAATTTATAAGAATTCTCATTTAATTTAAAATTATAGTTGTTAAATTATATCGATTATTATTTGGAAAATTATATTAATACCGTTAATATTAATTTTAATTTTTAATTGAATTGAATCTTTCCATATGTATTTATTTTTATGAATAAACATTACTACCGCATTAATTTGAAAAGTAATAATAATAATAATAATTATGTATTCGTTACTTATTGCCGAAAGTATATATCATATTTACTTTTTTCGTTATATAACACAAATAAAGTACAAAAATTGAAAGTTTATTAAGATCACAGTTAACAAGAAAAAATTGTAACGAAAATTAATTAAAAATTTTTTTTATAACTATAATATTAACAATTACAAAAAACGCGTTAATTTCTAGTCCTGAATTATATCCATAATTTTATATTTTATAAAATTCTTTTTCATTTTAATAATATGTGCTATATGTAGCTTAATAATATAATATTTAATAATATAATACCTAATTTTGTTATTGAATTAGACGAATCTTACCTGATTTTCTATTTGCTCCATGATCTTGATCTTACTGTGTTGTTCTTTTTGTTTAAGATAGATTTTTATACACCAAACTAATGAATTTCCAATAGCTTTTCTCGTTTACGTACATTACAGTGTCCTAAAACAAAAAAGAAAACACATGGTGTCTAGGCATAACAACAACTCGATAGTAGTGGCACCCCAATTATCGAAACTACAAGTGGAAACAATTAATCGATCAATCGATATTTTATTTTTTATTCATTAAGAGATCAGTTGTCTTTTCAATATTTTTTATATTCGAGTAATTCTTATGTCGTTTTTCATACTCGAATATCAAATTTTATATTCTTATTTTTTATTTTATCAGAGAGAAGCTTGAAAGCGGCTCTCTTTTGATAAGTCATTTAAATGCTTAGCAATGTCTCTACATCTACTTTACAGTTGTTTGGAACTACATAGCCACTTTTTGATGCTACTGGTAAAATCTCCGTTTGGTGTGTGTCCGTGCTACATTCATAATTGATCAGAAATACAGCAATATTATGAATATATTAATATGTTCTATTAGTTGCACATAATATTTCTTTATTTTTTTATATTGAATGTGACAATATTTTTAATTTCTATGATATAAATTATATCATAGAAATATTTTTATATAAAATATATACATGCGTGTATATGTATAATAAAGTAAATTTTCTTTATCAATTTTTTTAATGATTCTTGATACAAAGAAAAAGTTAACTGCAATAAATTGCTTTGTTTCCTGTATTCTTAAAACAAAACTATGGAGCAATAATAGAAGATTGTAGAAAATTATGCTTAAAATATTTATAGTAAATTTATTTATTCACATAGTGTGTAAATGCATTTGTGTTAATACATAGCAAAAGTTATTATATACAAATTTATAATAGTAAATATTGGGAAATTAAAACAGTATAATAAAAAACATATATATATATATATTATTTTAATGTTTTATATATAAATATTTTCTACACACACACACACACACACATTTTGCTCTTAGTGTTGATTTTAATTATAAAAGAAAACATTTATATTAAAAAAGTTAACATATTTACAATTTAACCTATTTAAGATAATTACACATTTAAAGAAAATTTAATATTCTTATTGTCTTTAAGAAAATTTTATTTTAAAAGCATCTTTTAAAAATATTTCTTATAAGATTGATTATTTTTTTTAATTAAAAAAGAAATTATTATAAGAAAGTTAAAGTTTTTATTAAAATTTATCTTTCCGATTTATCATATATATTTTATATATTTTTGTAACACATAATTGTCACATAATAAGAAATAATTAAAAATAATATTATATATATATATATATATATATATATATATACATGTACATATATATGTACATTTCAGAAGATGCCACATGTAAAAACTATTTTTTTTAAATACTAACTTATCAAGATAAAGATATTCTTAAAATATTTTCGATATCAATTTACAAAAAACATTGCTGTGTAATTTATAGTATATTATATACCTCTATATAAACACAACTATAGCGAAATATACGCAATGCTATACAAGATTCGAAGAATGTTAATTCGAATTACGTTAAGCTTACAGCATTTCTAATCTTTAGAATAGAAGATTAATTGGAAAGGATTTCCACTTACTTTTTCATGCTAACGATCCTGTATTGCTATATCCAGCTTCAAAAGTCACATTACCTTTCGAACGGCAATCTGTGGTGCCGGTATCGGCAGCATATTCTGTTAAGTAATAAGCATTGTTGTCGAGCAGTAAACTATCGGGTCGAAACCTGAGAAGACAATCATCCATCTATTTATTGCGATAATAATTAATTCGATAATGAATAATCGAATTTAATTTGACATGTTGCAGTGAGAGGACAGGAATGATCTCGCCGAATCGCAAAGTCGTCATATGCATCACAATTCGAGTAATCGTTATGCAAGAATGGCGCCAATCGCGCGGCTGCATTATTTAAATTAATTGCTTCGTTAGCTTCCTCGGTATTGGCTATTGTATGTTTATAGCTCACCATGTAGAGATGGACCTTCGTTTTATTAAACAGTGCATCCTGGCTCATAGGAATACAGATGATTCGTTCGTGTTGCCAAGGAATGCGTCTCGATATTGCCAGTTGCATAAAAAAAGAAATGCATAATAAAATTAAGAAAAAACAAAAATTACATCATTGTAAATATATTTTTAATAATGTTCGTTCATTCTGTTGTTATGACGATTTTATTTTATAATTTCTTCCTGTTATGCATTTCGTACAATTAAATAAATTATGTTTCGTTATTTCATTTTTATCAATTTTAACATATTTTAATATATTTTAATAAACTTTATTGTATCAAAAGCTTTCCAATTCGTGTTCTATTTTCTATTTCTTTATAGCATGTAATAATAATAACATGTTGCTCTATACATTTCTCGCCATTGCTTCAGGTTATATCTAAGATTCAATATTTGTCTTATCGAAAAATGAATTGGCTGGTGCAATGACGTCGAAATCTCTCTGTAACAACAACGATAAAATGATCAATATTTCTCAGTATAGATGATATTGTTTAAATTGGCTCATATTGCATGACGTTTTCATGCAAACTGCGCACAATCTTGCGCAACATAAATACGTTTCCTTCATAATTATCTTGTGAATGATAGAGATTATCCATGTTCCATGATCCATGTTTCGATGAAGAGAAAATATGTTGTCATATCAAAGATTGTCAATACATGTGTGTTTCTGGCAGCTAACAAATTTAATATAAATCTCATATGTATATTCATAAAAAGAAATAATATTTATCTAAAAATTTAATTGTAATTATAAATAAACAAAATTAAACATGAGAAAAAAAATTAGCGAAATAATTTTAAAAGTTTGTTTTCCAAGAATTTCTCTTATAAATCTTGAAATCGTTTTACTTGACATTGAACTCCAATCACATCGCTCTTTGAATAAAAAATATTCATTTCCCGGATTTATATAATTGTCGACTTTGTATCGCTTTAATCTCATCAGTGTAATTATCGTTTCAGGTCAATACTCGTAACTCTCAGAAACCACGTGATTCGAGTTAGTCAGTGCATTCATACATTAAAGAGAAAAACCTTCTCCTTAACCAATACTAACAATGGTCGCTTTGTTCCGCGCGTAATAATTTTCCTTCTTCGCGATTTACAGAACATTCCTTATTTATATAGCATATATATTTCCGGTTTTTGAGATTAATAAAGATTATAAGTAAAATTATTTATATTTGTAATTATTTTTTTGTAATTATTTTCTTACAACGTAAATATAAAGTGATTTCTTCGTAAAATATATTGAAATAAAGCAAATTCTGACATTTATATTAATATCTGGACATTTATATCTGACATTTATATTAATATCTGGACATCTATTGAGACTTAAGAAAACGTGATCGACAGATGTTTAATAGTTCGTTCACCTTTCAACATATCAAGCGTATCGCGATCTTAATGCAGCAACACAATTGCATCGACCTGCATTTTTTATGCATTTATTCGTCTGACTAAACTTGATCGATAAATTCTTTTACATTAATTCATTGGTCGATTTGATTCTTGGCCGATAATCAAAAATAGATAGTTTTCTATTCTTGCCACAATCATTATAGCAAATCCAGATCTTGACAAATCCGTACAAAGTTCATCGCCATTCCTTGCTGAGAATGCATTTCATTATGTTCTTGTATCCTTGAAGGAACGGAGCGTTTGTTTAACGCATTATCTTTCCCGTGCTTGAAATTACTTATCGACCAGCGTGCTGTCTTGTATACGAAAAGCACATGTAGTATGCATTATTCATAATCATCCACATGCCAGCGAATTAAAATTCGCGCGAATCGTTGCGAGGCACCGAAAAGCAAATGTATTCTCTCGGTATCATTAATTTATTTGCACCGGTGTAAAATTAATTATTTTAATTAATTTAATTTTCATTATTATGGCAATATTAATTATAAATATTAATTATAAATATTAGCAAATTATAAAATATTACATAAATTGCAAAGTATATCTAATTCTGGTCACGCAAAACTAATGCATAACTTTATTTATATAATTTGATAATTTAATAATTTGAGTTTATACAATCTTCTTAAAGTTCAATTTTAAAACAGAATCATAATCTCGGTTTATGGTCAAATTTTAAATACAATTACCTATGTTTTAAATTCTATCTATATAATTATAATAATATGTGAGCTTCTTTCCGCATGAAAATAATTATACTTTTAAAAATAAATTTGTTTGTACACCGTTATTTGCATCACTAATAACTTTGATGAATTTAGCAATAATAAATGATTGATGATTGCTCCTGATGACCCCGCGCAGGCGCCGCTGTGATCGAATCGTCCTACGGGAGTAAACAAAACCAGATCCGACCGCGTGGTATCAATCAGTCAGACGGCGACTCCGCTCGAAGGAATACTCTACCCTTCAAGATACTATAGAAATCTTTAATTCAAGATCTCTGTGTTTAGCTTTGACCGGGAGATTCGCAGGTTTATTTCGTCGATCGTTGACTCTCCAGGATTACCTGCGACGAGAAGAGCGCGACGAGTGATCGGCGTTTCTTATCGATATAAGGATCAGATCAACAACCTTGATCGATAAACTACGATTTAGGTAAAATCGTGTCAAGCCTCGTCTTGAAGAATCCTAAGTATCACGAGACAGAGTGATCGACTCGAAGAATGAATCTGCAGAGAAACGATCGCGATTTTCTGAATTTTCGTAATTTTTGCCGCGTCGAAATTTTTGCTTCTCTTTTATAAAATTCTTAAATGAATAAAAATGCAAGAAAAAATCTTGTAAAGTTTTTCTGTAATTCTTATTTCCAGCATGATTGATTGATTTAAGATTAATATACTTTGAAATTTATATACGATTTCTTGTTATTTTCAACTAGTTAATATTGGTAATTTGGAGTAATTTTTCATTTTAATATTTTCTTTTCACAATTAATTATCTTTATCATTAATTATTTTGTAATATTTTTGCAATTAATTACTATTGCGAATTTTGCGCAGAAATTGTTTTCGAATATCTCATCCATTTCTTCTTCAAAAAGAGTATTCTTTCAATATAGAATTAATGAACAAGTTTCTATCTAAAATCATTTAAGAGCTCTTTAAATCATCTTTTTATCACTGATTTAGAATTAGTCTTATTAAAATTCAACATAAATTTGACTTTGAGTTTCTCGTTTAGCATTACTGCATCTTTTTGTATTAAATGTTAAAAATATATGCATGTGAATAGCAATAACATGTAACATTTATATCTGAAAATACAAAAACAAGAATACGACGCATTGAAACTATATAAATATAAATGACTCGCATGCTTTATGTGACAAGAAAAGTTTATCTGGATTTACTTTGAATTTATTATAACTTAAATCAATCAAAAAACAAAAGCAAGAAAAAGAAAAATATATACGTCAAATGATTAAATTAATCGATGTTTCTAAACAATTGCGTTAAGTTTGGAAAATAATAATTGCTAATCGACACTCCAAGAGAAATTTATGTCAAATTATAACAATTTATGTAAACCAGTTGGCAAACAATAACATCAAGTTGTTATTATTATATTGTGTTTGATCGCGTTTAAATTTTGCGACAAATTCGAACAAGCAAACTTTAAGTGAGAAGAGCTAAATTTTTAAACCCGGAAATTATTGTAAAAATTACAATCATGTTAACGGATAATTGGCAGAATTATACTTTGTCAAATTTTACTAAGCCGACGATGATGCCCGATGCAATAGCTAGCATTGTACCGAAGAGACACGTGTCTTTCGTTTCGCAATTTGTATTAACATTAGTTTATATAACCGGTGTCATCGGCAACATATCCGCTCTGGTTATCCTGTTCCACAAAGATAAGGTAATTCAACGATATAAGATTATTTTCTTCTTCATATATTAATTAATTAATGAAATGCTTTATATATTGCATAAATTATAATGTCATATTATTATTAAATTTAAAATACAATAATTTGCTTAATAATACAAAAATATTATAGATAAAAAATTACTTATTACAAATAATAGAAATGTAACAAATGCTTTCTTTCACAATTAATTATGAAATAAATAATCCTTAAAATTTTGTTAATTAATTTTGACTTATAAATTCGGGAAAATAATTTTTAAGTCAATCTCGGAGATAACAAGTAAGTTTTTTTATTAAAATCTTAAAGCTTTTGTTTCTAAAGCTTTTTAGCTTTTCTAGAATAGCTTAATATATAAATATAATTTTTATTTTTAATTACTTTCAATTATTTTGAATTATTTTATAAATTAAAGATTTATTACATTAATTTTCTTCATTTTATCATTTTATTTTAGAGAAGAAACCGTAAGCATCTGCTAATGCTGCGTTGTCTAGCAACCAACGATCTCGTGGCATTATTAGGGATGTTGGTACAAATGTATGTCACTATTTATGTAGCTGGTGCAACGTCCATGAGAATATTTTGCTCTCTACGTGTGGTTTGGCGACTTTTTGGACTTTTTAGCGGTTGCGTTGCCATTGTTATGGCAGCAGAAAGATGGTTGGCTTTGACTAGACCCTTCTTGTATCAAAAGGTGAGCCTAGCTTTAGGATAATCAACGTAATTAAAGGAAAGCTAATTATACGGAGGTTCACAGAGGCAGTTTGTTCTTCGCCATCGACATTTCTCGAGTAATTTAAATCATTATTAATTAATCCAAAGAATATGTTGAGATTTATATTTTAAATATTAAGCCTGAATTAAATCTTTGTTACGGATCTTTTGTATTCTTTCTAAGGAATTTTTTATTTTGCTAATATTTTAAGTTATAAAATTAAATTAGAAAGATAAATTAAATAAAGTAAAAATTTTTACTTTATTTAATTTATCTTTACGGTTTAATTTTTTTCATACAGAATAAATTGAATCAACAGAAAAACTATGTAATTATTTTTTAGAAAAATAGATTCTTTTAATAAACCTATAGTTAACAAGATTACTCACATCGCTAAAGTAAACTGCACGTTATAATTCATGACATGTTTTCGCTTTATGCGAATGAGCTGGCGTGCGTAAGAAAATTTATACACGTGTGCCGTAGAAATATTTTAAAGTTCTACGACGTTTATAGAGTGGTCAAAGATATTACGATGAAGAGGTAAAAGCGTAAAAAATTTGCAATTGATTGACGAATCGGAGTAGGAACTATTTTCGTAAATTATTATTTTAAATTATTATTATTTATTTGTACAAAAACATTAACTTAAATTATCAAATTTCAATAAATGAACAATTTCTTCTAGAATTTCTTTTTATAGAAGCACTATAATTAAGAAGGTATCGATCGTAACGCAGAATAGATAAGGTTGATGTTTTTCATACTCTAATAATAAAACGTCAATGTATACACTGTGATCATCTACAGAAGCAGTACCCAAGATTGCAATTAATTGAAGATGATTAATCTTGTTCTTATATCACTTACTATCAAGATATTAACTTTTCTAAAAAAAACTTAATCTGGGATATTTTTTCTCAAAAATATCATCAAGTAATAATTTGCAACTCATATTGATTTAATAAGTACAATTATGATAAATTAACGCGAATTTAAATTAACAATTTAATTCAACAAGTATTATAGTCATAAAAATTAGAAATTTAATAAGAAATTAGTGGAGAGAAAGATTAAGTTAAATTAGTTAAAAGTTCAAACTTATATTAAATTTTAAATTTATTTCAATTTTGATTTTCAACATAATGCTTTGAATATTTAAACATTTCGATATAGGTTTTTTGTTCAACTCACGATCGATGATTTTTAATGTATAGAGCACACATCACTTTATTGTTCCAAAAATAGATTGAACTGTAATTTTCAATACATCATGTCTCTTAATCGTTAATCAATACCACTTATAAGAACAAACATGTAAGTAAGAATTTTATTACTTCCTTTTTCTACGCTATAACATTTATGATATTACTTGTCTATATATTTGACGCATGAACAATATTACAATAATATGTTAGAGTATTTTATTAAATAGTTTATTAAATAGTCAAAAGCATTTTATTAAATAGTTAAAAATTTTATAATATTATCTTGTCTAAATTAAATTTTATTTTACATTATTCTTGAAAATAGTAATTTAAAATAAATTAAAAAGATTGAAATTAAAATTGTTTTAATAATCTGTTATATATTGATTCCGAAATATATATAAATATATTATCGTGAAATCGGAAAAGGAGAAATTTAAAATTTGCTTCTTTGTATAAATGAAATATCTATCTTTCATGAAAAAATGTATGATTAATTTTAAAAATTTGTTAAGAAAGGTGATATTTCTTTTCGCTTCTAATAGTACTTCCGATTTTTCCGATATTCCTAAAAATGATTGTATAAAACTGATATAAAACCGTCAAAGAATCGATCAATTTATCGATATTGGTTTAACTGTTTTTAAAGACATACTTTAATATGGGATCTCGAATATTAATTTCACGGATCTCAAAATTGCATGATCACTTTTAAAAATTCTGTAAAAATTTAGAAAAGATACTCTCGAAATGCCCGAAATGACGCAATTCGTCGAAGCAAAGCACGATGTATTATAATGTGAAATGAGAGACTCGCATGTGAAAATATAGAGAAACAAAATTGAACTACTCCTTTTCTCGTTTATTAGATCTCATATTTTTCCTCTTTTGATCTTGCTGAAGCAGAGAGTAAGGGGCATATAATTCCCAATCATGTAGAAGAAGAAGTAATAACGATTTACGCGACTATTGGGAGGTAATAAATTTAATGTCTTGAGAGTTTGCTTTAGAAAAAATCTCACATATAGATCTCAAAGCTTGGTAACTTGATTTTTATGGCACTAGTAATCATTAGAAGAAAAGATAATAATATGAGTTCTGGGACAGAAATTTGATTCATAAAAATATAAATTAATTTTTTTTTAAGAAGTTTCTCTTTCTCTCTCTCCCTAGATATTTTGATTAAAATTTTTCATTAAGGATGAGATCAGATTATTTTTGAACACTAAAAATAGAAGAAAATAAATCAATAAAAATGTATAAGCTCCAAACAAAAGAATTGTCACTTTTAGCGACCCTGATTAATACATAATTGTCTGTCACGGGATAAATTGTGTATCGTGCTTAGATTTGACTTCTAAAGTTTAAAGCATTTGGAGAAAAAAAGTTATCTTACGTTGTAGAGTCAATCGAACTGATTCCTCGGGTATCTCAATATTTAATCATTGCGTCATGCAAGCGAAAAAACGATGCTTGCATCGTAATATTTTGATATCTTAATGGATGGCACGCATGTATTTCCAGCAGGTGACGTATCCGGTAATTGTACGTTGTATGTTGAGTCTTTGGCTGGTCGCGCTGGCGACGACCAGTCTTCCAGTTATGGGCTTTGGATTGTACTATAAAGACGAACGTTGCGTCCGTTATAGGGAAGCCACAGAGCCGACTGACATTGCTTATGCTTACGTATGGTTTGTTTTCGGTCAGTAAATATATTCATTAAAATTTGTTCAAAATTAGGCAAAAAACTTGTTAAAAAAAAGCTGCACACACATATATATTTATGTACTGTTGAATATAAATGAAAAATTACATAATTATGATTCTGTTTCTAGCAAAAAGAATGTTAGAAGACCATCATCTTTATATTATACTGATTATTTTGACTTTTTAGGTACAGTTTTATGTTTGTCCATTGTCTGGTGCAATTTGGCGGTCTCTAGAGCTTTGAATAGAATAAGTCGCCGCGCAGGTTCTCTCAGGCGAATCTGTAAAGCTTCATCGCGAGCAAAACCCTTGCTAACCATAGCCGGGCCTCCGAATCGACCAGAAGTTGCTACGATTGAGGAAAAGGCATTTGCGAGATTGATGGCTGTATTATCGATATCATTCGTTATTTGCTGGATGCCACATATGGTAAGTTTGGCGAATTCAATTAGTTTTAATTTATGATAAAATTGTGTGAAAAGAAAACAATGAATCGAATTTTTAAATTAATTGATTTACACAGCAAATCTTCTCGCCGGAAACAATAATCGTAATTATTTATATATCATCAAAACAAATAAAAAATACGTACGTTTCCGCTTTAAAAGCGACGAAGGTCAACAGGAACGAATAATGAATATTTGAAAATAGTTTCACGTACGAGCCATCGAGACATCCGCGAGCCAGTATTCTGATAGTCATTGAATTGATTTTATCCTGTTGACAATTTTGTTAGATGACGGAAAATTTTGTGTTTAGAAAAATCGCAATTTGATAGAAAAAAAATTGAAATAATTTTTCTACGCTTTCGAAACATATTTGAACATTTTTCTTCCTTATATTAAATTTAATAAAAAAAATATACAGATATGTTATTTAAAAAATGCATAGAATTTATATTTCACCTATAAAAATTTTTCTGAAAGGAAAGATTTTATAATACAAAGTTGTAAATATTTTATTATATGTATATTTTTTTTCAATTATCATTCGTTTATTAGAAATTATTTATGTTTTTTTTTTAAATTTCGCTCATAGATTTCTATTCCGTTGGCTCAATTGGTGATGCAGCTACCACAAACAGCGATCACTACACGGAAGTTAATTCGTATCTTCCATATCATAGCCGACATTCTTTTATGTATTCACTTCACCTTGGATCCGTATATTTATGTTCTTTTGCGAGTACCACGACCGAGATTTCGATTGCTAAAACCGCTCTGTAGGATCTGTTGGCCGGATCGGAGCCGTTCCAATTCGTTTACAGGTGAGATGACCAAAATTTGAATATCAAAGAATCGAGAATATCCTTTTATCGTGGCCAAGAGTTTACATGATAATACTTGAATAAATATGTGAATTTTATTTTAATTACAAGTTAATTGCTTGTATTATAAGCAAGTATAATTTACATGATTAATATGTATCATGTATAGATAAAAAAAATAGAATATTTAACTGCGACTAGTATATTGTGTAATTAAAGATGTGGGATATTATTATTGGTAAGACAAAATAAAAAAAATTAAATTTCGCATAATTGTCACGAAACTTATTTTATGCAAGGAACAACAGATCATCAATGTAGCAGCGGTGATCCACCCACGCCGATTACTGAGGCTCCATCGACACCTGTCAGCGAGGAGCACAATTCGCATCTCGTCATGGCATCGGCATCTCTTTGAGACCGGCCTGTGCGAATGATCTTTCTAAAGCGATTGAAAAATCACGTATCAATTCTTGGATCGTTTCGATACCGGGAGATATTATTTTGCGCAGTGCAATTTGAGTTTTTTGCGTACAAAATCAAAATTACTTAAAGAAAGAGTTTCAGTTTATAGATAAAACATATACTTGAATCGATTTAAATGATGAATCGATTTTTTACTTAAATACATGTCTATGTAAGCTTCTAGTCAGTAATAAGCATAAAATAAAATAAATGACGGATTTATTAGTTGCCTGTGTAATAGAGCGTATTAATTACGCAGGCAATCAAAATGCAATGCATTTAGAGTTGAATGAAAAAAATGTATTCTCCAAATATGGAAATTAAAAAAAAATAGAATATTGAAAAGTATATTTTAAGGGGAAAGGAATCTAGTTTTTTTAAGCTATATGTTCTTACAAATTTTTTTCTAATTCAGAATATTTATAAAATAAAAGATGTAGTTTTATCATTTAGCAAGCATTCTTATATCATGCGTCCGAAACGTTTTTCAACGCAACAAAAATGATACGAAATTAAAAAAAATTATACGAAATAAAAATAAAATAAAATTATACGAAAATTATACATATATATTCAACGTAGCATTGCAACGTAGAGCGTAGCAATGTCGTCAGTATATTTGTAAACGGCTTTATTTTAAACGAACATTGTTATTTGTACATAGTATCATACATATATATGTTAATATCTTGCGTATATCGCACGGTATTCGCATAGTATTTGCGCGCGTTCAACAATTTTGGAATAATAAATGTTAATTCGAAATTCTCTCTAAATCACGATTCCGGTCTCCGGAACAAGCACACATCCACAAATGCTCTCGCACACGTACAAAAGGGGTAGAATGCAAACATACACTTCGCATTCCTTGTGCAGAATCTAAGGTATCGTCCCACGTCGCGCGCTACCTGCTATATATTATGATATTCGAAGTGATGTAGCGCAGCGAGATATAATTAATAATAAACCAAAAGAAGTATCGAATGACATTATATATGATACAAATGTAATCACGTGTGTCGAAGCAGATAACTCGCCCATAGACACTGACAATATTGAAAATATAACTTATGTACTCACTATCGAAAAAGAATCGGAGTCTCGCTCGAAAAACGTATACATTTCTCACAAATGCAAGTTTAATTAAAATTTATGTATACATTGTGTAGTGCGTATACAGCATGTAACGTCAATCAGAAGTTATATTGATTGCGCTCTCTGCGTATATGTTTTTGCTCTCTTATATATTATAATTTATTTATAATATAAAAGAAAGATGCAATATATATTTCAGCATTAAATTATGTCATCTGTTATCACGTTTCTGTTAGACATTAAAATATTACATATGTACTCCTAATAAAGATTTTTCTGTTTATTTAGCATTGTCGACATGTATTGTTTCCAATAAAACATATTTCTAATACAATTTTTTCTTTTAATTTAAATTACAATTCCCTGAAAGCGCATGAATATCTCAACATTTTTCCTACATTCCGTAACGTTACACCGTGTATATTTGCTTCAAGAACGATCTCTTGGAGATCGAAGTGTTATACTTAGATTACATATCGTTCACATTCATACATGTATTTTCAGTTGCCTTAATTCGAAAAATTTATATAATTTCATAATATATTCTTTTGAGAGACAAAATATGATTTTTATGCGTTAAATAAGTGCGCCAAATCCTGATTCAGACATTATAATCGACATACACACATAAATAGAATCGTCGAACATTAGAAATGGAAAGACCAAGAGATTGCGTAGAACGATAAATATTATATTTTTTTATCTAAAAAGATCTGCCTGTCTTGAGTATATATTCGAATGATAAACCGTGAAAGCCAAAACGCTGCGTAAGATGATAATAAACTTTAAGTTACGCACAATTTTTCATCTGACGTTTAATATAATAATATCCATTGTACTTAATTTATAAATTTGTCATACTTTTTTCGCTGCAAATATTGCAAGCAATTTACTCACCATTAATTAAATATTAACTAAATTCAACACCACGTAAATCACTACATTCGCGGATAATTGGAATAATTACTTGGCCGTTGCTTTTACAGTCGCTTGTTTTCATGAACAACGAAGGATGTTACAAGCAGAAACATTGATGACTTTTATATACATACAACTTCGGTTGGTCTCGTGTATAATTCGAGGTTCATTATCATTTAATTATTGTCAGGCGTACGTATACTTTATTAAAGACTGTCAACTTTATTTAAATCACACGCGACTGCATACTTATAGCAATCAATGTTGCATGTTTTTAGCTAAAAGTTAAAATGGTAATTAATTCTTCGAATATTTAATATTATCACATAAGATTAATAGACGCGATAAATTATCGCGTATTTTCTTGTTAAATGCGCTGCAAGTTTTATTATCAGATTCTTATTTTGAATTAAATGTGCTTCCAAATTACTATATTATTCGACATTGATTGCAAAGAGCTCCTGCAGAAGCAGCGAGTGTAAATGACTAAATTATTAATTATCACGATCGTACAAAAGCAGTGGTGCACAACCTTTTAAAATTTCTCTTGTATTATTAGATTTACAATACTTTTTCCGATTATAAATTAGATGATGTATTTTTATATAAGAGTAAATAAGTAAGAAACTGTCTACCAAAGAATGTATAATTAAGTTGACATTTCTTACTCTTTTTAACACAATTTTCTCATGCATAAATTAAATATTAAGGAAAATTCAGAAATTTGAAGATAATCGCCTCTAAGTATCTGTTATAATTAAGTTAAATTTGTGTAAATTTAAAACTGGACTCTAAAATTTTGTAATAACTTTTATATAAACAATGTAAAGACGAATAAAATATAATAAAACGCGTACATGATGACAAATTCAGGAAAGGTTTATTGGCACTTATACTGACTTGCAGTATATAAACTTGTTTTCACTGACTTGTGATCTTAACTAGAAAATAATAAAAGTAATAAAATCCAGATAAAATGTAAAAATATTCACCTCTAAGCGAAAGCTTTAAGTGTCTCTTTCTTTCTCTCGCCTTTCAAATAAATAAATAATTTTTGTATCAAATTAATCTAGCTTTTACGCCTTTGATGTACATAGATCCGATAAATTCCTCAACAATTAACACGAACACATCGAGTTACATTTTATACAACGTATGTAGAAATAATCAAGTACGTCAGTATTTTTGATCGACAAACGGGGAGTAAATTTTCGTTTTATTTTATTTTTTGGCACTTTTAGTAATCATAACAAATTATAGATCTCTATATATCTGCTAATTGATTTAGGCCAGTGTTGATACATATACACATATATAAGCTCGATTCAACGCCCTGCCAGGTACTTCACTATCGTCGATTTATCGATGTCGATGATTTAATTATTTTTGATCATAAGTCAGCCCGTTAACACACATATTTTAATCAGTTGCACTTTTTATTATTTTTTGAATATATTTTTCTCTATCTCTTTCTCTTTCTTCCTCTCCTTTAGAAGCTGTACGTTTATTCTGTGTTTTAGATTTATAAGATATTAAAAAGTGCAACTAAGAGAAAACATGTGTTCGCAGAACAAACCCGAGTGACACAAACGTTCAAAAAACACTCGTTATTTAAAAGATGTAGCAAGTTTGTAGTTTGTTTTTTCAACTTTCGTGTCGTTTGGGAGTATGTTAATTTACCACGTGGACCACGCTTGAAATCCCGTCTTTGTATATACGGCAAACATACATCGACATCGAGAACTACATTTAGAATCAGATCCTATCAAGTTTCCAACATAACATTCAATATCCGCGATGTATCCGCTTTTATTTACCAAAGACACGTGCTCAATGCAGAGAAATTCGTCATGTTACGTAATAAATATTACAAATACAGCATCGAAATAAATATAAAACAAATTGCTAACAACTTGATAATCTACAATGTGAGGGAAAATATATGTAAAATTTTTACACAAACATTCAAGTCTCTAGATATTATGCAACAATTGTTTCACAATATTATTATTCAGAAAAATATATATATATATATAATAAAAAAATTGGCCATCGAGCACTTGTCATTGGTAGACTCTGCACCAAATGTGTGCGACTGATGACGGCCAAACAACGACGGACAACATCCGTTCGTGGATCGCGTAAAAACGAGATAAAAAGAGATGGTCCGAGACCGTCCTCGATGAGTTGGAACTCCCGCGCGAACTATAATCGATACTTCCTCACATCCTGGGAGTAGTGCAGCTCCCGCATCTTGCCCTTAATCCATTCGGCTAGTATCAGCCAGAGGATCCTACCGCGTTCCTTGAAAACCCGGCCTGTCGGCGCGTCCTGATCGGCCACGATCAGACGACGACGATGGCATCCATCCTTGTGCTGCGCGTACAACAACGATTCCCACGGCGTGTCATGCCGGCTTTCGTTTACCGCGACCCTTGCCTACAATGCAAGCAATTTTGTCAAATTGTCCCTCCACGCGATAATTCGCGGTGATTATAGATCTATCCAAGATCAAGCATGTTCAACTAAAACTGCCTCTCTCCGAAGCAAACTTGATCACTATCATTCACTATCATTCGCATGAATAGATAATGAATTATATATAGTAATAGTTATTTAAAATTAATAATAATTGTTACGTATTTTCGCATCACGATAATTATCGCGAATTTCTTGTTTTTACCTATATCTTTTTTTTCCAAATTATATTTTATCGATAAAATAATTATATAAATAATTATTGTAGATCTATAGTCACTAATTTTGATATTAAAATGGTTGATATTTAAATGGAGACTAAAACTAGTGTTTGTCAACCAAAATCACAGGAAAGAACTAATTTTTCAATACAATAAAAATTACATTGAATATATTTCTTGCAATGGAATTAAATTGTTATCTTTTTGTTTTAATTTTGTCACATTAAATATAAGCATGCCTGCAAAAGTAATATATAATAAATGTTATTTAAAGAGTCTTTTTAAAAAATATAAGAATCTTATCTGTCTGAAGAAATGAAAGTTTTCTGGTTTTTTTTTAAAAAAGACAATAAAGGACAATATTTTATAGTAAAAAATTAATACAATAAAAAATAAAGTCAGTTGCTACAGGAAATATGTGCGTAAATAAGTGACAAACTATATATATCTAAATTCTACTGGACAAGTTGGATATCAAATTTAAAATTTTTCAATAAAATAATGTGTCTGCGTATGTGTATATGTGTATGTGTATTTGTGTGTATGTATGTGTGTGCACGGTGTAATACTTACTAGATGTAAAGTGGCTACTGCATCATCCTGAACATTGTTCAACATGATAAAAAAATATTATTTAACATAAGGTGTTAATAAAAATATTAGAAAAAAGATTGTATCCGATAATGAAAGAAGCACATTTTAAAATAAGTGACAAATTTTCTGTAGAAACGACAAAGTCCTGCATTTTTCTACGACTATAAATATTCCATAAATTTCATCTCTTCCACAAATAACGACGTACATTTAAAATAATATGTATAATTAATGTCGCTTATGTACACATTTTTGGCATAATCTATATATTTTAAATAAATTTCTCTTTAAATATTTTCCTTATCCTTTACCTCGGGTCGTACGAGATTATATCACACTTTCCACAACAGCAGATGATTCGTGGAGTCCTCGCGACCGGCCTGCAGCTCCGCGGATGCCTGAGGTCCACGGAAGTCCTCATAACCATCTCCGCCGGATATCACCAGGAGTTTGCCGCGATTGATATTGTTCTGCTGCGTTTTGCTCGACTTCAATGAATAACGATTCACCTTCGGACGAGGGTCGGGTTTCGAGGGGCTCGGGGTTTCCACGCAGGTGAGAAAGCGCACGTGTCCCGTGTGTCCATGAGGGATTCCTGCGCGGGACGAAGTAAAATTCCTTATTACAGATCGGAAGGATTTCGGATCCAGGTGTAAGCGCCAATAATCGACAACGAACTTTTTTATCGAAATACTATACAGAGTGTTCCATGACTGAAGGTCCATAATTTAAGAGCGTGTTGCTGATGCCATTTAGAGTAAAAAAGTCTAATAAACATATGCCCGCAAATGCTTCCTAACAAACATTTTCTATTAGTCTGTTATTGTTTACATTTTTATTTACTTTCTTTGGGGGCATATGAAGTCGATGGTTTATGCGAAACAATCTCACAATAGGGATAAACTTATTAACAAAATTATGGATGCGGCAACAAATTAAAAATTCTCCTGGAATGGTGGAGCAAACTGTTAGATCACTTTTATGCAAGGCAAGACTTTGTATTGAATCTGCAAGATGTCATTTTGAACAGAATTCGTAAATGAACAAATTAAATTAAATGTCTTTCTTTTCTTTCCTAAATGTCTTTCTTTTTTAAAATATTCTATAACTTTCAATACTTGTATTTCTGTTAGGAAGCATTTGCGGACATATGTTTATCAAACTCTTTTTACTCTAAATGGCATCAGCAACACGCCCTTAAAGTATGGACCCTCGGTCATGGGACACCCTGTATATACGATATATTAATTGTATATAAAATGGACGATTAATGTGTTACGTCCTACGCCGAGGGGAGGAGAAAAAAAAGAAAACTTGACACTGATCGATCGCTTCTGTATCCTTCCGCACGGACGGGCATCGGGCGCGATTTGGGATGTCGGCCAGCTTTCTAATTATATCACGGCGCAATAATAACGGCGACAGAATGTGACGAGAATGTGACGTCAATACGCACCAGTCACGATCGGTGGCTGCGACATCCTCTGAGTGGATGGCTTTATATGGGGAATTGGCACGGTGAGCAGCACGCCGGCGCTCGTACCGATCCAGAGCAGCTCGTTGCAAGCCAACAGTGCGGTAACCCTGAGACACGCGGCCTTGTGCTGCCGAATTATGTCATCGCAACCTGCAGCAAATTTAACGCTTCCGTTAAAATAAATGCCGAATCTCGCCCTTAAGGCCCTGAAGCCCCGTTGCCGTCGATCAAGCGAATTAGAATAAAACACGATTTTATTTTTCAACAAACTTGTGAAAGATAAATTTGTTATATGCATTTTGATTGTATCTTTTAATGGCAAACATTTTTATTAGGCAAGATTAGAGAAAAGGGACAGTTTTAAATTAATAGAATTTTTGCCGATCGATTTTAAACCAGCTTGATTTCTCAGAAGCTATAACAATTAGGTAAATATATAAAAAATTACCCACTATATTTATTATCTTAAAATTTATCTTTTCTAACTTAATTCATTTTATGAAGAAGAAGTGTGGAAATCTTGCAATATACGAAATAATAGAAATAATAGAAATAATTAAGAGGATGCTTAAGACAATGATGGGGATATTCAGTTGTTCGAGAGTTGAGACTTACTGGCAAGCATTTTGGTGACAGCCGGCGCGATATTGATATCCGTTAGGCATTCATAGCTACCGGAATGGAAGAGCCTCAGCACAGCGCTATTGTGTAAGGATATCCAGACGCCTAAGCCCCCGGAATTCGCCATGCAAGAAACGGCGCGGCTCGTGTCACTGCTAACCGTGAACGTGTGCTCGATGTCCAGGGTGTGAGTGTTTAAAACTTTAACGCTATTGTGACAGCCGCACCAAAGTTTCCCGGAAACGGATAGCATCTTGGTCACCGGCGACGCCACCGTCCCAACGGATACCGTCGTCGGATCCGGTGTGTTCCATCCACCGGCTGCGATACAATGGAAAATGAAGCAGATTTATAATTGACAATATAATAAATTAATATAATAATATAATAACATTATAATAATAATATAATAATATAATAATATATAATAACGATATAATAATAAAATAAAATAAGAATAATATAATAAATTAATATAATAATATAATAAATTTAATAATTTTTTAAATAAAAATTTAATAATTTAATAATAATTTAAATAAATTTCATAATTTAATAAAAATTTAAATAATATAATAAGATAATTTTTTAAACATCATTTTTTATTATAAATCCAAAAAAACATTATTAGAAAAATATCGCAATACGTACTATGGTCCCGAACGTAAACAGTGATGTCTCCATTGGCGAGAGAGACGAACACTTTGTTATCCAAGTATCTGAAACATTATTATTGCATTACGTAAGAGATGGAGATCATTAAAAGTCATTTACTATCAATGGAAAATAATAATAATAATAATAATAATAATAAAGTTAGGAGAAGGTTCTTACATGATGCAGTGCACGCTGCTGCCGTGCTGGATCTTCACCTTGTTCTTCTTGATCCGGATATTGTCGTTGCAGTTGTACACGTGGATGCAACCGTCCTCGGTTCCCAGCCACATCGTGGGCTGATTCGCGTCCTCCTCCGTCGTAGTATTGTCAATACTCGACACGTCACCGCTCAATGTCACGCTGCCCGTATCTGCGCATGGAATGTCGTCCGAGTCCGAGTCGTCGGAGCTCGAGCTACTGCAAAAGGTAAAGATAAATGTGTTAAACCGATGCACATGAATTATCCCATATTTTAATAAAAATTGAATCAAATTGATTCTTCATCTGAATAAAACTGGAGATGTTACATTTAAATGAAGAGAGGGAACAAAATTACCTGTCTAACTGTATGTTACCGCCACTGGCATCCACGTCTTGCACCGATATGCTTATACCGCTCTTGCTGTTGATGAACGGACTGTTGTTCGACGTGCACGAGTTGGAGCTGAAAAGACAACGTTTTTAAACTCGTGTCTTCGATACCTCGACCGCATAAGCTGTGCTCGAAATTATCTCTCGTCAACTCCTCGCCTAAAATTTCATCTCGTTGATCTTACCCAGGCGTGCAGGCAGGTATCCCGGCGACGCAGAGTATCCTGGCGTTGCAGACCCCGTTGCACGACGTGACCTGCGGTGGTTCCGGGCTCAGACTGAGAACGCACACCTGACCGACGTAACCATCGCTGTTGCAGACCCAGACGTCCCTCGATCCCTGTCCGTTCACCAACGTCGGTGCCGCACACGTGAACTGGAGGCCAGCTCGCGTTTTCCTGATCGGCAGAGGTCCCACGAATTCGGGACACGGCCTCCTGTCAGCCGACAGCGCTGCACGTGAAATAGCAAGATGGTTAAAATGTTCTCCAACTTGTGAGCTTATGATTCAAAAATTGAAAGGATAAAAAATAGAGATTTTACATATGTGTATAGCAAGATTTTACAAGTTGATACGCGTGGCAACGTTGAATCTTAATAAACAAAATGTCATGTTTATTTTAGGATCGTAATTTAATCTGTAACGTACTATTTATTTAATTACCTTCATTCAAATTTTTATTTTTAACAGATATTGTTTGTGAAAATTCTCTCAAGAGACGTTATGATTGATTAAATGATTCATTTAGAAAGTAATATTCGATATTCTTTTACTATATTGCTACTGAATGTTGTTTAAAAAAAATCGAAAAAATATTATTTTCAAAGTGTATATTAATTTTTAAAGCACATATACATATACATTAATTTGAAATTTCTCATTAAGAGTGACTTTCTAAATATGAAAAGCTCGACGTAAAGCTACTCACCGAGTTTCTGTTTGGCTTCGTTGAAACTCTCTTCCCAACTCGCACGTTTGTCAGGTTTCGCGAACATAACAGATATATTCTCAATTCCGGCTCTGTAAATAAAGTACGCAAGTACAACATGAGTCACGTTGCAATCATGATCAAATTATCATGATCTAGAAATTCTCAACACGTATACGTAGCGGAAACGTGATCGAAAACGATTCTCGGAAAACGCGGCAGAGATTAAGGGATTTCGAGCGATAATCTTGCAAAATTAGCTATCCTCAACTGATTATCAACCAAGCTAAATTTAATCGGTTGAATCGATTTAATCATAAATTTTCTAGTTTATTTTGTATCTCATGCATAATTATAAAACAACAAACATATAAATAAATGTATGTCCAATCGCAGATTGATTCTCCATATCAGAATTTATTTTGTATTCATGCAAAGATTATAATTTCTCGAAATATGCAACAAATAAAGACCTGAGTGTGTCAGATCTTAATTAATATTTTAGGCGCTCTCTCTCTCTCATTTAATTCTCGAGAGATGATTTGTCGAAAATCCAAATAAATAAAATAAAATAAAATTTCTCTCGTGTGCTTACTGAGTATTGAGTGTTAGTTCCAAGCAAGCCAACTGCGAATGCGCCGCATTTCTTTCTGCTAGTTGTCGTTGAGCCTGACTCAGCATATCCTTGATAAGATCCTCCAACTGCTGCTTGGCACCATGCAAAGTCGCGGCGAGTTCCTGAAGTTGAGTTAATTTCGTGCAGTCTTCTCGAAGATAGTCTACTTCGCGCGCCATTCGCCTTAAATTCTCGTCTTTGGCTGGAAAATCGATTTTAAGATAGTTTCATTCCAAAATGACGAGTAATTCGGTAAATCGGTGTCTCTATCATACCTTTCATCACTTCGAGATCATCCAGTGAAATTCGCATCAGCATTTTGTATTTGTTCGCGTCAAGTAGACCAACCAGGCTGTTTGGACACGTGCTCCTGCGAATTTTTATCCTTTATTATTGTCACAAAAATTTTCTCTTTTATTTTTTAAATTAAATTATTTACTTTTACGAATCAAAACATGTAATGTAAAATTTATATAATTTATACAATTTTAAATTAAAAATATTTCATATCTTTAATAAAAATGTCAAAATTAAAATAAATTGATTCTAAATAAGTTTTAAAAAATTTCTACAAATATTGCCACAACATCCGCATTTTATTCGAAAAATGTTATCTGCCGAATAAAATCTAGTTAAATTAAAAAAAAATAAATTTGAAAAATCCTTATTTGATAGAGAAAATTCGCAATATTTTATACTATGTTTTTCATTTGAATATATTTCAGATATTCTTGTCAAGGATACGTACGTTGACGGTTTTCTTATCGTGCCGCTTCTGCGCTTGATGCTGGTGATGACGAGGAGATCGGAGAACAAAAATAAAGCCCGTTCCTTCCGCGTGCCCTGATTCGATGCTATGGTGACCAGATCGTGTCGTACGAAAGCTCTACGGGAGGAAAAACGGATAACGTGTCACACGATAAATTCGATGAATCTTTTTGTCGCGTCGCGGCCAGTTTCCACCACAACACATTATTATTGATAATCGATACCCCGATTCCGACGGCTAAATAAGTCCGGTGGAAAAACGATGTAACGCGTGCGACGCGATTGGCACAGAAAAGCGCGTGAAGTGGAACGATGTTTCTGTCACAGCAATAACCGACAATTTATTGGAAAATGTTACTGCGACGAGACAGTTTCTCAATCACTTATGATACATGCATTTTCTCCCGATCATTTACGCCTTTAAACATTTGCTTTGAAACGGCTATTCTAAAAGATTGATATAACGACAGCAGACTGTAACAACATTTTTATATCATTTAATTAAATTATGAAACTAAAATATACTTTAGTTTATTAAATTACACAATGCTGTGTTAAATATCAACCGCAATCTATATATTTCATTATTATATAGCTCGAAATAAACACTTGATGCTCAAATATTTAGAAACCAGGAAAATATGAGTTGAAAAATATGACAAAATATGATTTTGAGTACGTTCTATAAATTGAACAAAATTAATTACAATTTCCACATCTTAATCAAGACTACTCTCACTCTATTATTTTTCCGCACTTTGCTGGAAATTAATTAATTAAAAAAATAATTTGTAGTAGATGCGTTTTATTGACGCAAAAATATTATGCTGAAAAATGATTGTAAATCGAAGGTAAATTCGAGATCAGCCATCGGAACCAGGTGATCAAATATATTGTTCTGTTAAAAATCGTTCAGATCAGTCAGTTTGCTATCAGTAAAGATCATCCTCGACTGTCACAAAAATCGTAAATAAAACTCGTTGGCCATTAATACCTGTCGTTCGTTACGATCCCGGCGAGGCCTTCGACGAGGGCCTGGACCTCCCTTAACGTTGTCTGCTGTTGTTCCCACTCGAGTGACTCCCTTTCCGTGCAGTTGATTTTCACGACCAGCTCGTGTACCTCTTTCTGCGCGGCCTGCAGCAACTCGTAATCGGGATGCGTAGGGTCTGTGTGCTTTAGCAATCTCTGTATCAGCAGCTCATACCGCGGGATCTTTTGCACGGGTTTGATCAGCAGCTGGTCCAGGCCCAGTTTACCCTTGTGCTCGCGCTCCATCGTCTAATTATAACAAAGTGTCAATCTATAACCACTCAAGACTTTTTTATAATTTACCTCGGGTAAAATTATACCCCGGGTTAGAGAAAATTTATCTTGACACGCAATTTAGATATTTTAAGCGGTAATAATTATAATAATATCGTGAGAGCAAGATAATTTCGAGGATTAAATTATACCAAATATCTATTCCTTTGTACTTTTACTTTATTAAACTAATTTACTAGCTTAATAAATAGTCTTTCGTTGACTATAATTTCATGTAATGTTTTCAAAAACATATTGGATTTTATTAATTTAATAGAGTAAAAAATTATAAATTCTTTCTTGAAAAATGCTAAGTGCAGTTTAGCGTTTAAAGTGGTTGACAATCCGCATTCCAAGACCTAAGTTACCGAGTATGTCAAAGATGTAGTCTTGAGAGATTCTATGCGGTAAATAGACGAAAGTGATACTGACCATCAAAGTAACAAATTAAATTGTATCAATAAAATTGTGCAAACAATCAAGATCGCGATTAAAAAGAGAGAGTGGAATAAAAAAAGTCTCGTATATTTAATAATAACTGTCGAGTTATATAAAGAGGAGAGAAAGAAAAAAGAGAAGGAATTACAGCGATAGTACCTCGAGAAATCGTGCAAAGGCCGGTTTCGCTTGGCACGTTGTTTTTATCGCCTTCCTCGCGGATTTCCAATTGTCCAGGAACAGAGTGTAGGTCTCCAGCACCACCGGTTTCGTGAACTGCAAAACACAGCACAAGGTCCCTTTATGTTTATCCCTCTGCGTGTCAATGAAAATATATTCCGTAGATAAAACGCAATTCTCCAAGTAAATACGTTATTTCCAGCTAACTCATTATTTAAGCATTCATGAGTTAAGGCTGAAATACACGATTACGTCGCAAAATTGTCATCGCGAATTTATATTCGTTACATAATACGGGGAAAATATGCAGAGCGCAAACAATCGCATTTCAAGGGCTGCGAAACATCCCATGTGTTTACGTAAAGCGGACGATATGGCTACGGGGCATATAAATTAATTTATTAAGGAGGACCGAATAGGGGGACGCAAATTAATGCAGCGGATCTGTCGATTTTTAATTAGTATTTTAGAATCTTAAACGGCAGGAAAGAAACGAATATATTGTTATGCGCTTAATCTATCACACACATAGCCCGAAGATATTTGCGCGCCTAGTAACAATGTAAACTGACCACATCGAGGAAGACATCGCCGATCGTCTGCTTGAGTTCCCAGGTGTCCAGTCGCCTACGCAGCTCCTCCAAGAATACCTCGTGATGGCTGAGAAGCGCAGGAATCTGAAAAAACGTAAGCATTTCCCTTCGACAACTTCATTAATCAAATGACGCGAGATTCAATAATGCTTTATACGAGGTCGAATAAAAAATACGAGTTAATTTTCGATTATTCAAAATGCAACGCATCGAATTTGACAAGCAAAGTGCCGTAACTTTTGTGAATTTTACTGTGAGTTATCGATTTAATGCAGATATTAAAAAAAGATAAAAGAAAAATAGATAATTTTATAATTTTAATATTTCTTTAATATTTCTTTTATAAAAGTCTAACATAATAGACATATTTTTCATGCATCTTTTATTAACTCCAAATACCAGTATTCGATGAACTAAATGTCAATTTAATTATATTAGTCTATATATATAAACTATTTACCAGGCTGTAAATTATTGATCAATTGATAATTGATTATTTGTTAGTTTTCAGAGACGTAATTTATCAACAGCTAATTAACAGTCAACAATTTGCTAATTAACTGCTGCTTCGAGCATATGTCAAAGACTTAAGAGTAACGTTCTACAATCAATGATTGCCAATTTCATATTGGTTGAAATCTCGTTCTAAATTTAATGTATGATTCGGCATAATTTAAAAATCCCTTGAAAAGCGCGAAAAGAATATTCTTCAAAACTTTTCGAATATTAAATCGTTCAATTAAATGATACAGACTTACGATGCGATGAAGGGAACAAATATGTCTTTTGTTGACAAAGTAATAGTGCATATATGTACAAGATTGAGAAAAATAATACATTTATATGACACAATTTGAAATAATAATATATTTCTTTTTTTCGATATTTTAAAACAGATGAAACATATTTTTTTTTTCAAACAAAAATTGATCTTGAGTAGGATGATAACTTCGTATTACCTGATAAAATATCTCGTCGACCGTCCCGGCATCCACCAAGCCAGCATTCTCAGGGCTCTTCAAGGGCTGTAGGTATTTCTGTAACCAATGCAAATACTGCGTTTATAATATGTCTTTTAAACAGACATGCGTTGGCAGTAACAATTTTTCTATATTCAATTCTCTATCAACAAAATTAAAAATATGTCTCTGACATTAGATTTTTCTCACAATTAATAATATTTTTAATTAAATAAGAAGTAAAACACACACATTTGTGTGCTAAAAAATTGTGTCAATTAACGAAAGAAATTTCCTACGAAACGATGACGAGATAACAGGATATAAATTATCAGAAAGTAGTCTCGCGCGCATTTACCGCGAAACCTTCGGCTTGATCCTTACGTCCTTCGAGTTGAAGGAGACCCCGTGAACTTTAAACGCACGATGATACGTAATCGACTGCGGCGGGAAATATGTCTCGCAGTTTATTTGTGCAACTCCTCCGACACCATTCCCATTATATTTTTTCCTACGTCGGCGACGTAGAAAAATGCGGGGCATCTTGTCGCTTCCAAGGCCATTGTTAAATAATCGGCAAACATGCCGACAACAGTTCACGGCACAGCCGTGTTGTTTATAAAATATAACAATCAAGTCGGTCTGTATCCGCTGTTACAATAATGTTGAAAATCCATGGGCTAATAATACAAGTTAAAAAGTCGTCTCTGAATTTCGAGTAAACTAGCACGCGCCCTTTGGGAATGTAAGCAGTATAAATTGGATTTGACTACACATCTCATATATATATGTATGTATGTGATAGCAGATTATATATTTATATAATATTAAAAAAAATATGTATGTATATATTTCATTACATATTGTTATATAAGTACATCCTTTTTCATTAGATATTATATACATTTTATATATATTTTGTCACATATTAAATACATATCTGTTTACTTTTAAATTCAATTCAATTTACTCAGTAATTATTTCAACGCTTGTTTTAAATATTGCGTATTGTCCTTTCAATTCTTTTAACTTTGTTCTTTAATATTTAAAAATGATAAAATTATACAAAAAAATTTTTTTCATTATGATAATTGAAAAATAATTTAAAATATACACGAGAGAAGAAATATATAAAACGAATGTCGAATAATATTGAAATGTGTGTAATTTAAAAAATACACGTACTTTTAAAATATTTTAAATTATTTATCCATATTTCTCGAAAGAGGAAGGTTTCGCGGAAGGTTTTCTTATCGTCAAAGGGGTGAATCGAGAAACGATGTTTTCGTTTGAAAGCTTACGTAACATGATCGTTTTATAACGATTGCTGATAATTGGCAAAACGAGAGGCGAATCATGCAGTAAAGTAATATTTAATTTCCTGATAGCTTTATCGCCTGTATTAATTATCGTAATTGCTCGATTCAATGGTTATGCCACGTTGCAAAACAGCAATGCAATTAGCGCGGCACATAACACGTTTAATTATTTAAAACAAAGATCAGTTTCAACATCGGTCTTCCAACCCAATGTTTGCCCAGATACCTTTTATTAAAACCTCAACTACAGGCCATGTAATTGTACGGAGCACGCGTCTTGCGCTGCACACGTGCTTAAACTGGCGCACTTTCGGTTACGAGCGACTCTCACGTGCTCGAAAGAGTTTTATAAATTTCGAAAGACATCGAGAGAAAAGCAACGTAACAGGCTTTGTATATTCTCGAGGAAATTAAACGGTTTTTTAAAATTTGATAAATTTTAAATCCATCACATATATTTATAATTTACGTTTTATGCATTTTTTACACAGAGTGATATAAATGCAAAATGTAAATATTTATTTTATATAATTTAAAAATATAACTATAAATATTAATTTTATATAATTATATAAATTTTTATTTTAATTATCACATCTTTGTATCGCAAAATCCTGTCTCATTTGTGTGCGTTCTCTTCTGTATGTCAATTCTGTATGTCATTCTGTATGTCTTGCCGTAAATTGATATTTGTGTGATTTTGAAAAATCGCACAAGCCATGAGATCCTATTGGTGGGATTTATTTCCAGCTTTGAATTTCAGTAGAGTCAGAGATAAAGAGATGATGCAGAGACAGCTGTGAATTGGAACACTATTCCGCATGCGGAATATCCGCGTCGGAAATTGGATTTAAATGAGTAACGCTATTATCATTTCGCAGGATAGCGACACCTTGACATGTGCATTTATTTGCAAACTCATTCTACACGTCGTCCAGTAATCAACTTTGCGCAGCGCCCTTCAACAAATATCAGATGCGTTAAAACGAAATATTCGAACGAAGGACACAAACAATACGCTGAAAATCAAATTGCGAGTCCGAGGTAAGAAGGTGCGAAATTTTGTGTCACATTTATTGCCACCTTGGAATACACTATTAATTGTCACGAACTCTCTCTTAGGAATTTATGCAAATTTTGAATGTTATGTTAACGTTTTTCATATAGTGTTGATTTTTTAATAGTATGAAAAATTACTAGTTACTAGTTTATTAATGTAATATTAATTTATCATTTCACGATTGCACAATTAGAAATTAAAAATTGAATTTCTTTTTTCTAACAACAATTTGCGCAATAATAAAAATGCATTAAATCTTCACGTAAAGAGGCATAATTCCATTATTTCAATTATTTTGAATGAGAGATTCTAATTACATCTTTTTTTGTTAATTAATAAAATAAATATATATACATATCTTTCTTTAGATTTATTTAGACTTTTCACAATTTTCTTTTCGTTCAAATTTGTCCTTAGTATTAAAGAAAGTTAGACGAAGATGGATTTAGACAATAGATCACGATTTTTAGCAGAAAAATTGCTATCGCGATATAAAATTTATTACTATTGCGTCGCCATCTGATGTGATCTGATCTTCTCAGTTTTTTAAGAGCAACGATACGTGTATAATCGCGAATGCGGTCTTAGTGCAATATTATGCAAACAGACCGATTCCCGTAACTATTTACCACGACCTGGTATTCGAGTCTATTTCCGGTGTTTAACGAAGAATGATTATGAAGTTAAGAATGGAAATTTGATGAAAACAACAAGCCGAGGAGAGACGGCGCGCTTGGGTCAAACTAGCAACAGCTCGCTCGAGCGGAGCAAGTAATAAACGGACGGGGGTGTTTGTTTACAAGATGCAAGGACGAATCACAGTTTCCGACATGTATCGATTCAACACCGTTTCTTCTGACGTTATAACGACTTGGGAAAGACCGATGCAATTTTCTTAACCGATGTAATCGAGAATAATACTTTTAGAGAAAATCAATTTGTCTGTGCTTATCTCCTTTTTATATGCTCTAGTAAAGATTCCAAAGAACCTTAATTATAAATATTATATTCAGTAATAAATATAATCAAATAATCGAAGAGTAAAAATCTGTATTACATTTGGATAATTTCACCAAATATTAAAGATTGTATTTAATTATGTGGGTTAATATCTCTGTTAAGCGTAAGCTAAAGAAAATCTTTAAACTTATTATTCACAACTTAATTACATTGCACATCAAACAGAAAATAGTTTTTAACGATATTTATTTCTCTTCAAAAAATTTGATTTTATTTCGAATTGAATTATTTCCCTTTTTCTGATCTAGAATCAATAATACTCACATTGACTAGTATCTGTAGCGCCTCTACGTAGGATCGTTCCGTGTCGTAAAGCTCCACGACCACGTGAGTTCTCGTGTCCTGTAACGTAAAGAGGAGACAATTATTGAAATAATCGTTGAATGCCGTTCGAAGAGAAGGAAGTGACAGAGCGAGGAAGAGAGGAAGCTGCTTCACAGCTGTCACTTGATTATTGCGTCGCGTTTCGCGATAAAGCTCGCACGTGCATTTCTGAAAGACCTCACGTGCGTGTGTGTGTGTGTGAAGGGCTCGATTATGATCGTTATGTGAACGACAAGCCGGAAGATCTTGCGTCCTGGGAATACGCATCGCGGAGGATAATAGGAACGATGCGTCGATACCGAGATTATTTTAGCATCGAGAAACGCCGATGAAAGACTTAATCAAGGATTACTGATGCACAGTGTAATGAATCACGCGCGATCCATCCCAGAATCTTCCGCCATTATCATTTTATCTCCTAAGCGCTTTTTTGACGTTTTCAAGTCTCTTTTTTCTAGTTACATTAATTTTTTCTTTTACATTAATTTTTTTTTCATGTATTTTATATCTCTAATTCGCAAACGAAAAATTTCCCATATTTCTTGCATTACATTTAATTCATCATTTAATTTACGAATTTAAAAATGTATAAAATATATAAAATATATTTAAAAATGTACAAAATATATTTTTTCGTCGAAAGGTATGGGAAAGAACTAACAAAAAGTACGACGGAAAAAGTCTATCTGATTTTAAATACAACATTCGGGATTTATTTTATAGAAATACTTTTGCGACGCGTGTCAAATACGTCAAAAGAACAACACTCGACGCGCTTATTCACGGTACTCGGAATGTTTTTTCATTCAGAATTAGCTGCCTGCCTAGTCTATATAAACGTCGAAAACGAGAACTACCCACGCGTTCGGAGGTGACGCGTTCGTTATTCTCGCTGTCCACCGACGGCTGATTGATGAGCTTGCGATCGGCGTTCATTGTCATCCTCGTAGGCCACCTGTACTTGAGATTTCGTGAGCGCGGATGTGCACTCTACTCGCGTAGCATCCTCGCGAAATCGATGGGCCGCGAAATGCGGCCGGCGCAAAATATTCACACTCGCGTCTCGCGTGTTTCCGGTCTATCGGCCTCGATAGCTGCTCCGTTTGGCGGAAACGGCGAAACCAAAGCCGAGCTCTTACAGTTTCCGTAAGCAAATGTGCGCCGTCCTCGAAAGAGTTTTATTCTCGGATTCTTCCGACGAGTTTCTCCTCGATCAAGAGTTCCTCGTTTCGATCAACTGCATCGAGAGAATAGCAATTATGTAATTTATGTCCGCACTCTTTTTATGAATTTCATGAGTTTCATCGATTTTATACGTCTGGAAGTATTCGAAATAAATTACAACTGCACCTTTCTCACTCCCTCTAATTTCTATAAACTTTTCTAATAATCAAGTTTTTAGAATTAAAAGAAAAATCATATCGATCATCACGAGTGATCACTCTTGGCAATCTGTCACATATTTCTAATTCCTCGTCATCGATAAAAATGTTCAAATAAGTCATTTTCGTAAAAATGCATTTTTAATGACGAATTTGTTAAGAAATTAAAAACAGATGCTTCTGTAAATATTTTTTATACCTTCAATTTATATTAATTATTAAGAATTTTAAAAATTTACGTCACATATAAAAATTTATATATTATTACTTTTCATTTTGAACACAAGAATTGCAAGATAAATAATTTTCGCGAAATTTTTATTCTAGAAAACATATGTTCTAGGAAAAATTGAAATCAAAGAAGAGAAAGATTCTTCTCAATTCTAGGGAAAACCGAGATTAACCGAGAGAAAGATTTTCTCGATTCTCTGAACCAAAACATGGCGAACGAGCAGCGACAAGTATTGCAAGTTACACAAATTCCCGCTCTCAAGATTTGCAAATGAGGGGAGGACGTCGTAGTTTGTACATGCGTCGCATCCAAAGATAATGCGCGCGTCGAGGAAAAAACCCGACAGCGCCTCTTTAAAAGCTTCGTGGAGCTTTTGCGCGAAGCGGGGCTTTCAAGACGATCGCGCGTCGAACGCTTTTACGTACGTTCGTTTACGAACGAACCGACCGACCGCCCGTTATATTTAGCGCCGTGACTAAGGACCCTCGCTTCCCCCCGGCCGATTGAGCTTGCAAGCTCTCATCCATAGCACTCTGTCTCTCTCGCTTTTTCCACGCTCCACGGTTTTTCCTCGTGCGACCGAGTTGCGCCCGATTACAAAATCGATTGCGCGCGATCGATCATGACTTCTTGCTTGATCCCGTTGTGCGAGCATAACGATTCACTGTGCGATCGCTTAATTACACAACTTCCTTTGCTAATTAACGCGGAGTTATGTCATAAATGTTCTCCGCGGTTTATCCTCATCCCTAAGTAGTCTTAGACTCGGTATCTTCATGTTAATATCGGGGAAAGAGGAGGGCGCGTAATTAAAATCAATATCCTTCAGCGGATAAGCTATGTGTGAATTTTTCACAATACACTAGGTGTCCCGAAATTTGCGCGCTTCTTTTATTTTATTTGCATTGTTTATTAAATTTTTTTTTATTATACTTTTCTCTTTAGTCTTGGAAGTTTCATAGAATTTTTTTTCATTAGCATGATTGAATTTCAAACCTGCGTATCTATCTCGGAATAAAATTATAAACTGAGATTTTGCTCGAGGTTCTATTGTGTAATATAATTGTGTAATAGAAAAAATCAATTATTTTATATTTTATTAGCTATCCAATCGCATTTGTGACAATTGCAACTAGCTTTATTATCGTACTCGCGTAATTCTATTACATAAGCTAATGCTTTATATAAATAAACGCATGTGTGTATAATGTATGAAAGGCAAATATTTTGCAGACAGAAGAGCTTGTCGAGATTTGTTAATTAATATTTTCGAGCCAAAATAGAACATAATTTCGCAAACCAATTATTTGCTGCCTAATTATTACTAATTGTGCGTATAATATCATTGATAATTGCTGTTTGAGAGATAAGCCTTGTGAATATTATAGATTTTTATTTATTAACATTGTTATTTTATATAGAAAGTGGATTAATTTTTTGATAAGAAATATGCGACTTTTTAAAATGATTTAAATAATCTGCGTAAAAGATGCGACAAGACTTCGCGATGGCATGATCAATTTTGCAAGGTTCTCAGTAGATTCGACGAGGCAAGGTCAGGAAGAAGTACTCGGTGGCCGTGACATCGAGAAGAGGAAACACACGTTTCCTGATACTGGAACGTGTCGAGAGAGAAACCAGATGGTCCTGGCATCCGAACGCATTTCGACGACTCTTCGATTAGACTTGGGCGACGCTAATATATTTTTAAAGCTTTATATGCAGCATCATTGAGGTGAACTGAAATACGCGCGAAAATTAAATTCAATTTGTCAAATAAAGGGAGTAAAGTTAATATCCGAGCGTAATAGAGTCTTCAAGCGATATAAAGTGACATTATTCAATTTGTCCCTTATACGCACGGAATGGTTAAGAGCTTTTATCAGCAACCATCTTTAGTAACAGCGAGAAAAAATCAGAAAATGTTGCACAAGCGATTTTTGCAATAATTATCTATTTTAATAATAATAGTTTCGATAATAATATAGCATTTCTTTTTTCACAATCATTAGAGATGATATAATTGTTTTCTGTTAGAAAATAGTATATAGACTTAAAATTTTCTTAAATTCAAATGCGTAGTATGTAATTATGTCCCGAATAATTAACAAACTTTGAAAATTTTATGAATTTTTAAATTTCATCGATAAAAATAAGACTTTCCTTTTTCATTTTAAGCAAATTTTATCAAAATAGCATTATAATTTGATAGTTATGGAAAAATTAAATAGATAGACTTTCAAATATATAAGTATAATATATTATATAACAAAATTGTAATTTTTTTATGATCAAATAAAATTTATATTATTTGTATATTATTTATATATTAACAGGATTTTAATAAAAAAATCTGCAACCAACAAAATATTTAATATTTAATATTTGCAGAATTATGAGAAGAAGAAAGACGTTGAGTCAAGTTCCTAAGCAAAAAAAAAATCAATCTCCAAGTAGCCGAAGAATTTGAAAAAAAGTTTTGAAAAAGGAAAGTTTGAAGCAGAAAAAAAAATGAGATACAATAGATGATTGAATATAACGAGGCGCATTAAATGCATCGAACCGTTAACGGCCTGTCCTGTTTAGAATCGTTCACGTACTTACAAGTACTTATCCACGTGCCTCCCTGCCGCCCTAGAATGCCACGCGATCGCGAGTAAACACTTTCAACACGAGTTTGTTCGTCGACGAGAGGCTCGAATGAAATTACAACCTGTTACACGCGACGGAAGCGTCGCGACACGTCTGTAACAGATATAAAATTGCCGCGCTACTTGAATTTTGGTCAAGAGAGCGAGAGAGAGAAAAAGAGAAAGATGAGCATAAATCGAAACCACAGTATCCTTAGACCCTCCTTCCAACAGAGATATTACACCTATAATAATAAGAATTCGCCACCGTGTCGTTATTTCAACCTAAAGTGACAAACGAATAACATAACATCGAGATGACATAACGCTGGAAATCGAACGACTCGAGAGATGATTTAACGCACGAGGCAACTATATCGATCGAGAATGGATGCGAGATGATTGTCTCTTGCTTCTACCCTCCTAAAAAAATACAATTTCGAATTTCGCTAAAAATACACGAGATCTACTTTATTTTCTCACTCTGCGAAATATTTTTACACAAGTGCCACAATTTTGTTTATTTAAAAACTGAATTTTCAATTCGAGAAGAAGGACTTTTATTTAATTCCCGAGCATTTCACTTTAACTGCTCTATTGTATAATATTATGGCGAAAGTAGTAAACAGAAGAATCGTTGTTTTCGACGGAAATATTATTCGTGCTAAAATGCGCGCGAAATAAACAGCATCAAAATATTTCGCACGAGGAAAATCCAAAGTTAATTTCGAGGCTTTCTTTTTAAGACTCATTTATATTCCCCCATATCCCCAA